GTGTCCGGTATATGCGGGCCGCTGAGGGTTGGAGAAAGAAAGAGAACGTGGGCTCTACTATGCTGATCATGATTGCATCTTTCCAGAGCGACCAAGGTTCTCCCCCAGTGCTTATCTCAGACGGGAAGGAGGTGTCGCTACTCGGTGAATTCACGCAAACGAAGGTTTTCGCTTATCCACCGAGTCCCAGACTTGGGGAAACTCTCACTATTGATTCTTGCAGAGAGTGACACCTTCCATTTGGAATGAGCCAATTTCATGTTGACTTTCGGTCTATTTGGAAGATGCAGAGAACACAATAAATGCAGAGATCTTCATGCACGATTTCCCTTCTCCGACCTCAGCTCAGGTCAGAGTTTGTCCGCTCAAACGTTGCCATTTTGCCACTACACTACGGAATATGGAGTAGTTGGTCATGGAAACGCTGCAAGGCAACCTTCAATATCTCTACAACGTTGGGGTCATTTGGAGCCACCGAACCACGAATGGAGAGTGGTACTATCCCAAGCCCGACATCACTAGATTGGCCTCTTGCAGTGTTGGAAGCTTTGGTCGGGGGTTGGACGAAAATAGCGCCGACATAGACTGAAACTCTATCTGGATAGAATTTTACTCCAGAGGTATTTCTCCACGCACTATCACTGGATTTACCTATGGAAGGATTGGCCTGACTGATCGCTGCGTCTCACCGTGAGACCTTCCCGTGGTGCATCTACGTCGTGGGTCCAATGCAACCATGCTGAGGAGTTGGGTGCATTGAAGAATTTGATAATTTTTTGCCTTCGCATTTCCGATCTCCGTCCTCTCCGTTATCCATGATCGCCTCCGTCCCCGTCCTGGGAGAGCCTCAATCTGCGATTCGCAGTACCAGCGGTGACGGTGGACACATGAAACATGGTGGCGGGCAGGCTTCAGCTGACCAGATGGGGGTGCCAGATCCGATACGAGGAAATGATCGGTTCAGATCTTGCCGCGACATACTCGGCCCGTGGTTCACGATGGTTGCTCGGGTCAACTATGGATCACAGATAAAAAAAGATGAAGCATGCGTCGGTACCGGGAGGAGCAGCGCTCAGGTTCCCGCGTTAGCGAGTCTTGTTTTACAGGTCGTGCACGACCAGGTCCTTAGATTGCCAATCTGAACCGGGGAGAACCGTGGATATCGGAGACCGGCGCAAGCACCAAATGACGACATTAGACAGCGTGCAATTTATCCGCGATAGAGAACATACGCTGACGCAATGCTCTTGGCCAGCGTTCGTCATGGTAACATGAACATACTGGTTCGGCAACTGGCACACATCCTTCGGGATTATCGTATGCTCAACTACTCAGGAGGACATAATACTGCTATTCGCTAAACTACAAACACCACGCAGATATGTCTTTATTGAAAGGCAAACCTTTCCACCGCCAAGTCCAACGCCCACAAAGCATCGAGGTAGGACAGGGTGCCCAGCAGCGACCAACAAAGAAATCAAGCAAAGAAAAGGTAGGACAAAAAGGCCTCAGTGGATGGAGTTTGAGATCACATTCCCAGCAGGAATCAGTCTCTTCCTATCATATGTTTAACATCCAATTGTCTCATCATAAGCCTTATTTGTTTATAGAAAGAAGAAGGGAGAAAAAAAGCGAAAGAAAATTTTTCATATCAACCTCTTATGTAATCATTCTCATTACCTAATTCTGGCTCGGCTAATAGTCTAGCATGGATTGGGAACGTAAGTCCGGTTCCGAAAAACCACAAGATAAATATCTCGCGATGCTGCGATTCTTTGAGAATTTTTTTCTTTTCTTTCTTCGTGCGGCGACGCAACTACTATTTCACCCGTGTTGCTTGGACATCATATCTCCCCCATGATGTGACCAAGTGTCAGTTGCGTCACAGAGAAAAGAAAATTGCACGCTGGTTCTACTTTATTGGTCTTTCTGAATCTTCTAAGGATGAGACCATTTGGTTTGGGATCGGACATTTCCATTTAGGCCTCCCATCAAGCCGCCTGGCAGTGCCAGGTACTTGGAGGGGGATCGTCGAGAATAGCTATTAGAACAGATGAAACAAACAAATTTTCAATCAATATTGCTTCTGTAGAATCGTAATCACGTCCGTCTAAGGTATCCTTGTCATGTCAAGAAAAGGTCTAGTACTTATTCGCCAGGTTCATCACCAATCTTCTCAAGCTTGCCCATCTCTCTCTTCTCGCCCGCCTCGCCAAAGATACGGATACGGTCCACGCGCAGCTTTTCGCTGTCCCCATCCCCATCCACAAAGAACATAACCAGCGACGTAACCCTCTGGAACTTGACAAACCGCAGATCAATCTTGGCCGTTCCGGTCTTCTTATCCCAATCTTCGGGCTGAATAGACACCGTCTGCACCGGATCGATCCCGTCCGCCTCGTCAAAGCCCAGCACATGCGAGCGGTTCGTGTAGAGCTGGATCGTCTGCGGGCGCATGGGAACCTCGTCATCGTCACCATCACTAGGAGGCAACGAAGTGATCTGCAGCGAATGCACCCTGATCGTCGACTGGAACGGAACAAAGAGCATAAGTTGTTCATCGGTGTCACTCTCGACCCAGTCCTTGGCCTTTCCCTTGCCGTTGTTCAGCGCCGACGGCTTTGACGTCTCGAAGAGTGTCTTCGCCGATCCGAACTCGCTGTCCCGGTTCAGCAGCTCCAGACCCTTGGGGTCGTACTGGTCCGTGATGTCGGCGTAGTTCTTCGGCGCGGCCAGCCCGATCCAATCTGCGTCGGAGCTGCCTGATGAGCCCTCGCCGCCGCCGCCGCCGCCGTCGTCGGGTTTGCTGGCCTCGGATGCGAGTTTGCGGACCACTTCGGACAGCTTCTTGGGGTCGGCGCCTTTGACGGTGGAGGTTGGACGGCCGCGCTCGAAGACGATGAATGTGGGCATGCTGTGTGTGGTTTGTAGTGTTAGTACGAGTTGTAGGCGTTTGGGTGTGGGACGTACGCTGTAACTCCGTAGGCCTTAGCGATGTCCTGCTGGTGATCAACGTTGATCTTGGTGAAGGTGATTCGGTTCGGGCGTGACAGCTGTGCTGCCAGCTGCTCGTAGGCAGGGGCGATGGCGTTGCATGGTCCGCACCAGTCCGCGTAGACTGTGAATATCAGTTAGCAGCTGTCGATGTAGGTGGCTTGAAGCTGGGGGTGGGGTGATGCAGAGGCATGAGGGGTATGATTGAAGCTTACAGTCCGCGACAACAAAGCGAGACTTCGTCAGCAGGGTGCTGAACTGCTCCTTGGAGGAGATATGAACGGTGCTCGTCATCGTGGCGGTCGAATGGGGAGTGAGAAGGGGAAAGGAAGAAGAGGGGGGCGGAGTTGATGTTCGGTCAATATATGTCATCACAGCCCCTCCGCAGTTTCGCCGCAGAGGCTTAAAAGGAACCCTGACGCTACACGTAGATTCGCTATGCAAACGTGTAACGTAGTTCAGGTGAATGTTACGTGTTCCTGGTTTTTATGGTATTGAATAGAATCTAGTCACAGTGAACGTTGTTCGTTATGAAGCTGGTTATGTATTGGTATATATTCTCAACAATTTATAGCTGGCACCACACTGTACATGCTATATATATTACCATGCACCAAGTTGCCTCTCAGTAGGCTAATAACAACATGCACATTGCACACGAGCCCTACTCCCCTTTTCCCTTCATACACGTCCTCGAAGATATCACATCAGCTCAGCGATCTATCATCCTCAGTCGTTCAACTTGACGCTGCATAACGGGACTGCTGTCACACTATCCCTTGGGCATTTTCATAGAAGAAAAGCCTCAAACCGTTCGCGACCGAGTAAAGGCACGGGCGGTACTGTATCACGACCAGAATCTGGAGAGGCACAGGCCAAGTGCAAGCCCGCGGCTCGAGTCTCGAGAGACAAAAAGTCCCAAATATATCAAATCTTTCAATCCGAGATTGCACTGTTCAACCATCCTCCTCAACGGCAAACAAAACCTTCATCCACAAACTGCACCCCCGACACCCAATAACAATCTCCCCATGCTCAGCCTCTCTCTCCAGATCCTCCTCCGACACCAAGAACCCCTTCTCATCACCGCACCGACAGCCCCTGTACCAGAAAGCCGAATCGCCTTCTTCCTCGCAGGCAAGATCCTCGAGATCAACCACCTCCAGCCCAGTGTGAAACACCGCACCCGTCTTCTCGCGCTCAACAATCTTCGCCCGGTCTAGTCGCAAAGCGCGATCATATTCTGCGCGGAGCTGCGGGTCGGAGAGGGTCTTGTAGGCTGTTGTTATCTCGTCGATTGTGTAGGTCTTGCTGTCGCGCGACAGGTCCTGGCTGGACTGGGGGAGGTCGGCACCGTTTGTGACGGAGGAGGCTTTGTCTGGGTGGTGCTTTAGGAGGGCTTTGTGGTAGGCGAGTTTGAGTTGTTGTTTTGAGAGGTGGGCGATGTTTCCTGTAGATTGGATGTTGAGGATTTCGTAGTAGTCCTGTGTGACTGGGTTTGAGCGGGTCATTTTTAGTTTATCTAATGAGGGTGTTTAGTTCATTTGTGTAGTTTTTCTAAGGGTTGTTTGTATGGAGGGTCCAAAGGAGTGTATGGTCCAGTGAAAACTGGGTTGGATGGTGGGTTGGCGGTGCGGAAATTGAAGTTCAAGACTTTCCGCGATGTCGGCTTTTTGTCACCGCCGCCACTTGCGATTCCACCAACGCTTTCTACCAATTGCGAATGCTACGCGCCGTTATCTCTCTATAGTGAATACGCGAAGTACCATTTGGCAGCTCAGCTTTAGTACAGTTTGATGGTAAGTGTTTGATTCCAAGAGTTAATCTTTTCTACCAAACTTCCAGTTGCCTGGTGGATATCCTCCACATATACATGGCAAAGTAATATGCACCATCTCTGATGGCCAGTATCTAAATGACACGCCGGATATCAAAACAGAAAAAAGGAACAGTGCGCTGTAACCAAATCCAACCAAAAACATGCGACATCAGGGCATGGAAACCGCCTACTCAGAGGTCTTGAAGACGAAGCGGTCCTCGGGCTTGCTCTCGAAGGGAACGCCGAGCTCGAGGAGCTTGACGTAGACATCAGCGAAGTCCTTGAAGAAGGCATCGCTGTCGCGGGCATAGCGATCAACGTGCTTCTTGAAGGCCTTGTCCTTGACGAAGGCCATGTCGGCGGGGAGCATCATCAGAGTTCCGGTGGTCTTGTCGGTGAACTGGGCGGGGCCGTTCCACTTTCTGGGCTGCCACTTCTCATCGACCAGCAGACGGAAGAACTCGTTGGTGAAGACAGTAGGGCTGAAGTTCCAGGGACCGTCGAAACCGGAGCGGTCAGGGTGGGCACGACCGAGGGCGTGGGCACCGATCAGAGCCACGATCTCCTGGTCGTTGAATCCCATGCGGTAGAAGATGTCACGGACGTGCTGGTGGTCCTTGGCGGCGTCAGGTAGACGGCCGTCAGGGGTGCAGGCAGCGACGTCCTTGTCCTGACGGCCGGGCCTCCAGGGGATGGTAGGGCCACCCAGCTCCTGGATGGCGCAGGAACCAGCCAGAGTCCAGAGATCGGAGTAGGTGATCCAGGGGAACTTGGCCTTGACAGGCTCCAGGAAGTCACGGGCGGTCTTGAGACCAGCGTTGGCGCCATGGTCGGACTCGGGGGCGAATCTCATGGTGGCACCGTTGCTACCACCGGTGCCAGTCTCCTTGTCGTAGGTGCCACTTGCGTGCCATGCCAGACGGACGAGGACCTACGAGAAATGACGGGTTAGTTTCCAATAGCTTACACGAATTGGATTTGAAGGCTTACCGGTCCATAGCTGCCATCGTCATAGTCAGTCTCATTGGCGAGGCGATGAGCAACCTCGTCGTACACCTTCTGGTAGTCCTCCTTGGTGGGGACGAAGTTCTTGGAGCTGACGGAGTCACCACCCTGCAGGTAGAAGTATGCACCAGCACCACCGGCAACCGCGAGACCAGCCCAGAGGAAAGTGTTGCTGGACTTGGCCTCACCAGCTTCCGAAGCGTAACCGCGACGGGCGGAAGCACGGAAGGCCTGAGTGGGAAGAGCGAAACGAGTGCTGCGGACAGCAGGTCTGACGGAAGGAGTCGAGCGGAGGAAGGCCCGGGAAGCAGTTCTAGCAGCCGAAGCCATTGTGAAGGTGTTTACGAGGTAAAATAGATGATACAAAGGGGGATGGAGATGGATCGACAAGGGAACGGTAGATGAAGTCAAGAAGAAGAAGGAAGACGAAGGAATGAATGAGTGAGTGAGTGAGAGTAAAAGGAGAGGAGAAACAACCCTAGGACAGGGATACTACTAATAGAATGACTTTCCAGAGTCCGAATGTCATCGAAAGGTGAGACGCACCAATCAGAGCGTCCAAGAGCTTCCGTCTGGACCAGAGGCTTTTTACTCATCAACGTCTCTCCCCTCAAGGCAGCGGAAGCAAAGCTACAGAAATGCGGAGAAGCTCGACTGCGCATTGGCTCTTGCTTGGACCTGCCGTGGCAACAACCCTCCGATCCATGGCTCTTTGCCTTCATACCTCATCAGTCGAGCTCTCTGGCCGGACATTTCGCAGCAGTATGGTCATTCGTTCAAATCGGAGGGAGCAAACCCATGTTCTGTGGTGAGAGGGCGTCGACATCTTCACGATCAAACATGAACCCGATATCCAGGTCGGCTCCACATGCTCAAAACATCGCCGTCTTCCATTAATAATTGCGACGCGCTGTTTGGCAGAAGCGACCCACTCTGTCTTAGTAACCGAGGATTATTGAATTCGTCCAGACCCCTCGCATTACTAACCCCGACGGTCTCCCAAATTTGGTCAACTGGCATTCTCGCGGCCTCAGCCGGGTTCTTCCTCTCCCGTACGGGGTACACATTCCCTATCCGTAAGGGGCATGATTCCTCTGCGGTCCGGAATTCCACCGCACAATCCTCATTCTCCAGCCGACTACGCAACAGGGTCACTACAGAAATATTCGACCGATCTATTCCATCAGATATCAAGCTACAATTCAAGATGTTCGTCGTAAAAATAGTCCTGCCGTTCGATCAAAGCGAACGCCAGGGTGGAGTAGACGCAGCCCTGCTAAAAGCTGTTTGGTTTTGATCTCCCACTGAACGAACAAAAAAAGAGTATGCCTCTTCGCCATTGAAAAGGCTAGACGCGCACTGTGTGGTTGTTCGGTTGCTAAATAAATGTGTCCATAAGTTCTACGGATTGCTTGTCGATCATTGAAGGCATTCAGCCATGGAGGTTCAGATTATGGTGCTCACACATACAAGCACCATGCGCTGATCCAATGTTGGGAGGAGGAGAGGAAAGTTTTTATCCTTCCAAATTTCGGAAGAAAAGTTCGGAAAAGTGATCACATGACTTACTCGGTTAATCTTTCCTTAGTCTGGTTCCCTCTCGTGTACTTTCGTGTAACTGTTTTCGCATGTATTGCTGGCTACGGGGCACTGATGAATATCCAAATCGAACAGTAGTGCAGTCACTCAATGTACATTTGTATTCATATTAATCAGAACATGATTTACATATCTTTGCGTATCTTGTGTATAGAAGTGATCAACGCCCAACCTCCTCTCCAGTACCCACCACGTCACGTGCCAGGAACATATAAAAATCTCTTCAACCGACAAGCTTGGCTTGTTTTCTTTTTCTTCTCACACTTTTACCTAACATTGGAGTAATCTAATGTTAACGATCGCATAATCAACCTACATACCTGGTATACCCACAGGATCTGGGTCATATTGGCGAACAAGATTGAAGTGGGCAGCACAAGACTCCTCTACCGTGCTGGGCTCCTTCGGGGGTCTGTCGCGATGGTGGCGGAGTCACCTGCTGCCCATACATCCTTTGCTGACTACCGGTAGTGTGTAATTTCATTGCGTAGAACGTCTGGTCTAGACTGCGGTACCGTGTACCTGGAGATGAATTGATCCCTGTAGGGTTTCCTGCGATCACCTGGCTTGTCTAACACCATGGCCATGGGACTGCTTCAAGACGACCTCCATAGACATGGAATGGCCATTTAACGTCAACGTTGTCAAGGCCAAGACTTCCCCGGTCTCCATTCCCGTAGACGCATACGTTGGGCCATGCTGTATGCATCTGCAAATGTCCAGTGTTGTCTCGCTTCCTGAGTTACGTTTATCGCTGATGTTGGTTATTCCTGCATACACATTGCTATGAAGTTGCAATACTGGATTGCCAATCGTTGTTGTCCCACCTAGACAACTCGATGTAAGCTGCTTCAAGCAAGTTGAAGTGAGCCGTATTCTGGCATCTATATATTCTGTGCTCTTTCGTGGCAAGCGGGGCGGCCTGGAGCTATTGGTCACCCCTGAAGGCACACTTGAAGGTCTACAAGTAAAAGAAGTAGGTCAAGTGACCTCGCTGCCCGACACAAAACTAGGGAGAGACATGTAAAGAGGACCCCGACGAGAACGCGAAGGCTGAAAACTCGTAATAAGGCGATGCTTAGAGCAGAATCCTGTGATACAGCAAGCCCTGATATAGCATGTAGCTCGTGTTGCAACTCGGCCGTCATAAAATAGGGGGCCAGGAGCCGCAATAGCATCTATTCCAAGGCCACACTATCATCTATATAGGGTACGTCAGTATCAACGGAAGTTATGAATGGACTGGCCCTAGCCGTAGCTATAATATGGATATAAGTGTGAAGTAGGTTTCCGTTCACTTCATAACTCCTTGTGCAATCTATGCTTTTCTCGCCACTGTAGTAGCCTGGAAGGTATATATTACGTCACCTTTTGATAAAGTCCATAGTGGTTACAGTGACTTGTGAACACGCCCTGCGAGATTCCAGCTAACTTGGAGCCGTAATTGACCAGAAAGCTGGGATGTTGGGGTGTGGAGGGACATGGATTTAATGGCACATGATGGGCTATGAGGATTGGGGTATAGAAAAGACAGGCACATGGTTGAAGAGGCTAGATTCAATGAGAAACAACAAGGTGTGTATTCATCTCCCATAGAAAATAGCACTATGCAAAGCATACCATTCTAGGGAACTCGGTATGCTTAATATAACAACGCTGTGGACGAATTTGTTGACTTTAGTAAGAATTAACCTACAGAGGTTTTCCAGCTACGGATTTTAGTGAAGTATCCCTAGACAGGAGTATCCCGTCGTATCACACGGCCCGTCTTAGAATCCACACTTTCACGAAGGCCATGCCGTATACCGATCCCTATGTCAAGTGCTTCTTTGCCGGTTAGTGCCACCTTATCCTATGAGGTGATCTCAAATCCAAATGGGTCTAATGTCACGTTAGTGCGCATAGGATACAACTTCAGCTTTCTCCTAAAAGAGGAATATATCTCAGTCACTAATATGGAGAGTTTCTTGTTTTGACGACCCAGTCCTTTTCTACCCAGGCGTCTCATTAGTGATCACTCAAGGGATAGTACAATTGATTTCATTACTAGTTATTTCTTACATCCTGTGTTCTGATGGATGGGTTGTACTCATGAACTCCTGTTGGTTAGGTGTCAGCTGATACCGCTGAGAAGAACAAGAACCTTTCTCGAGGGTGTATCAAAGCGTAGGGGGACAAACTTGAAAATGAATGTGACTCTGCGCCATGATAAGTTTCAAATGGGGCTGGTGAGTCTCCCACTCTGTATGTAGATAGATCACAGAAGTTCTTGTTACAGCTAGGCGACATGCTACCTAATGATAGTCCCGAGAAGTATGGTATGCCCTCGTAGCTATCCAACTGCTCGCGGCTGATGGTAAAGCCAGTGCAGATGAATGTAGATATCCGGGAATGATGAGATGTCCTGCGATACTATAGGCGTAGAAACTTGTGTTAGAGTGGTATTTTACACAATGGCTTCTTGGCGCACTGATATTTTTGAGAAGGGATATTACAGGGCTCACTTTAAATAGCCTGAGAATCAGTGCCATGAATGGGTAGGTTCCAGAGCCAGGCTTACACCAAATCCAATGGAGTTGGGTTGATTGCAGGTGGGTTGGCATCACCACGGTAAAAAAAGACTAGCCCACGGAAGAATACTTAATTGAGTGGCCATGTGAGCTCTCATTCGATTGTGTTATATAGCACCATTCTTTTCTGCTTCTTCCTAATCTCTTATACACATCTCAACTTTGTATGTTCAGCAATATCCAATCATGTACTTCTCAGAAACATATGACCCAGTTGATTTCATAGCAACTCTCTTTACGATGCTAACAAACACTTTCAAAGCCACAGTGGGCTTTCCATGATAGAAACTAAGTTGAAGCCTCTACTTTTACAACATAATGTGGCAAAGATCTTCGATATCGCACTTGTCCACCGCCACTTTGACTTGAATGAGGACATGGTGCTCGTGGAAAAACATATGATCACAGCTCCTTGGAGATGTGGGAGCTCTTTTGCAAAACATGGTGGCAAGATCATCCCAATCTCTTGGTTTGGTATGGAGGGCAAAATATATCCGTATGAATTCGGCTTCTTTCCTTATTCTCGCACGGCTCCACCAGAGCTTGGAACTCACGCTTCCTTTGTGGAAGTATTATTTGATGCTGGTAAGCACCATGGATTGGAGGGTACACTCGGTCTTCGTCGTTTGTCTGGACATGGATCTATAGGGATGCTGGAGTGCACTGAGAGAAATATTAACATAATGTTCCCAAGTAACGAGGTAGGTTCATTTCCCTCCACTACTAGACATCATAAAAGCTCATCCAAGCAGATTATTCCAGAGTATCTACAAAACGGAACGGGTACAATGTGGTTTTTCCGATGGCCAGCCTCCGTATAGCATGTACCGATGTGCTTATACAGATACCGGTGGACCTGGAAATCCGAACCAAAACCATATTGATCAGCCTTGAATCTTCATTGCGCAGCGGAGGGAAGCGTAGCAAGCAATTTAGGAGGCTGTGCGAAAGGATCTGGGTTCTGATTCCTATTCTCTTTCCAGATCGCTGGCTGTTTAGAGAATTAGTCATGTTGGATATTTAGTACTTCAAAAGAAATACGAGATATGCATCGGCACTGCAAGGCTGTCCTAGAGATGTAGAAGCGGATCTGATTGGCATTTATAGTATGATTCTCTGAAGGGAAAGAATCTCTTTTTCAGAAATGCTTTCGATATTGGACACAATAGACATCAGACATTTCAATTACAACGTTGCACATATAATTCGAGCACAAGGGATTTGTAATGATAACTGCGTAATATTATATCGATATGTTGGTATAAGTAATAACTAGTTACTGTACTAGGTGTTTTAGTCATCTTTCAATGTCATTCATTAGACATCGCAACTTCGTTTTAGTTGCACAATATTGTCAGTGTCATGTTCTTCAAGTTATACATAAAGCCACCGGATGCATTTTATTTGCTTCCGATCGGCTGCTGGTGGCTGACATGTGTGTGACATATCTTGTCCGACTGTGATGGCAATTCCGGGGTGAATGAAGCACATCACGATACCGAAACAAACCGTTTCTCACAGAAACCTGTCCAAGTCAGTGTTGTCATCCTTCGGCCCTCCTCACTCACCTACACAACTGGCGCTTGCTATATCTAATCCCCCAGAATGGCAAATCCCTCAAGTCTCCTCTCTGAAGCCCGTTACCTTCGCGAGGGAGTTTGATGCTCACTTGCCGATGAAGACCCCTGTCAGGGTGGCTCACACAAAGTGTTCAAGGTTGTCTTTGAAGACTTCGTACAGTGGGCTGATCGTGTCTGCCATGATCCCGACAATTGGAAGTATGACTTGCGTGCTGTCAAAATGTTTCAACACATTAAACAAAGCCACCCAGACATCAAAGCCCCAGGTTTGTTTTTCAGGGCAGAACGCCCTGTCTTATATTCAGAGTGGGTTAGTGGCGAACCGCTGGCGGTTTGGAATTCCCAGATCCCTCTTAACAAACGTCAAAGGCTCCTCGAGGACCTTGCAGAGTTCTTACTGCAATTATGGACCACCGCAGCCCCTCACCCTAATTTTATGCCAGAGTCAAAGCCCCAGTATTCAGCTTGGCTTACGGAAAGCCTAGACCGAGGTCTCCGAAGAACTCTCACTGGAACTGCTAGATGGGGCGATGCTATCGAGTATCTGATCATGAGGTCAATGATCCCAGAATATGCAGGTGAGTATGACAAGTACACAGATGTTGCTTCGCCCATGGGGGTCTGAATGCGTATAATATCATGAAGGACGATGACTCCCACTTGACAGGGTAAGAACGTGCTGTATTACTTGATATTTTGCTTTGGCGGCCTTTTCTAATGGATGGCTTGAATTCCAGGGTTATCGACTGGGATTGGATATCGCTCGCATCGCTTCCTGCTGTGATCCATCACCCTTGGTTCATTGCAGATATTCCGGGATGGAGAAATAATGGCGTCGCCGAAGGAGAAAGCTTTGGTGAGGACCGGTGTTTCCTTGAGAATGCAATTAAGGACAAAGAAACATTGCGACAGTTGCCGGATACCGTGTCAACACTGCGACGTGATTCTGGAAGAAGACTCTTCTTCCAGTCAGCCTTCCACATTAAGGGCATCCATGAGAAGTTTGTTAAGATGCACTGTACACGGACAGAAGAGAACATCAAAGCTGCGACTTCACAGCTGGATGCTGTGCTTTCCTTGTATCCCCAGTGGACTGAAGTAGAAGGGGTGCAGAGGATTAAGAGGAAACTTAATGAATATATGCGATAATAGGGATGAGTGACATGTCTTTGGAGATGTAAAACATAAGGAAGTCAGATACTAAGGCAGTATGTGCTTGACACTTTGTTACCCCGAATTGTAAGCATGATGAGTCCACTTATCATCTCGAAAGCCTCAAGCCTCCTTTGTCCTTGCTAATTAGGGTTGTCTAACCACCCCTGGCCGTATGTGAGATAGCCTCAGTGATTCAGTAGTGAAATTTCATTCAAATATTCGATCAAGATATGAACAACTGGTAAACCTTGAGTATACGATGACAGAGGTATAACATGTTTCTTGAGTCGATTTGAAACAGTTCTTCAAATTGACAAGCACGGCCTTTTGCAGTACGTCGACATAGCGCAAGGTTTGGGATTAAGGGTCTTGCCAATGATCGGGGTTATCAGTTAATATTTTTATTATATTGTTGAAGTGTAAATTGTAAAAAGTACTCCGTAACAAACCTCGAAAATCATATGGTCACATGGTCACATGATCACGTGCAAAAAGTCTGTCAGTGACCGCACCTCCGAGCTGGATGTTGTACCCTACCCAACCCTAATATCAAAGCAGATAACAAGTTGAAAGCACGATAATAACCAACCAACATTAGAAAAACTAGGTAGAAATAGACCTACAGTAGAGCTGCAATGTCGAACTAAGATATAGACCCACTATAAATCTTAATATACCCGAATCCATGGAACAAAGGCCCTAAGAAGGATATACAACCTATACATGATATTTCACTATTTCTTGATCTTTAAACAAGAACAGCGGGTGTAGTCTAGTGGTTAATGATGCGCGCTTCCCAATCGGGACTAGCGCGAGGTCCGGGGTTCGAACCCCCGTTCCCGCATTTCTTGTCTTGTTTTTGGAGACTTTATAGGCATTTTTCCTTCTATTTTTTGCATGGAGCCTAGTCTACAAGCACAATATTAGAAATTCTTGAGAAGGCAGTATCCCCTTAACGAAAACCCAAGTTTACTCATAGTATATAACCCATTTCTCCTCTCTTACCCGTAAAACTGCAAAATGCATGCATCTTAAGGTAGAAATTGTTACCAGTTAGTCTACCCAAGTGGAGCCTAATGGCTAGGACTACCGTGTCCCCACTATAGTGCTAGCCTGCTAGGCCTACAGGTGAATGATACAATGAAATGAGACAAGAAGAACGTGGGCATGTCACACTTTCATGTTACTTGCCGTGCTTTTAAACCTTTCTCTATCCAGAACGATTGGGGAGCTAATGACCCTATATTATCCTTCCGTTTTTCTTTTATACCATATTACTGGAACTAGTAGACATGTCTTTAACTTCGTCAGGCACCATATAATACAAGTTATGGCCAATTCCCTGGGATATCGAGAAAATAACCCGTAACCCAATGGGTTCATCTAGAGGCCCCAAAGCATGAAATAATGAGTACTATCAAGTCACAGCCGTTTGCAGATATGGTAAACAGGGCTTTTTATATTGATTCATCTATGTACGAGTCGATATTACACTTGGATGTGGTTCGTAGTTCCAAGTTATAGTTTTTGCATGGGAACAGGTAGTGAGCCTGGTATAACGTGACTAGGGCTAGTCAACAGAGGCTTAGCTCAGCACTTTACATAGAGACAGACCAGAGTGAGGGCTATTTAATATAGTATGTTAGGGCTGATTGCCTTTTTGATCATAATACTATTATTACACCGATAGGTTTATTTATTTTCTGGATAGTAAAAAGACTAATTTATCGTAGCGAGCTACTTGGAGAATATTCTTCTTTTCCTCTCATATCCTGGAGGATGTGGGGTTCGATCAAGTAATTGAATTACTATGGACTAATATAGTTTTTTAGCCACGCAAACTATCGATGAGGAAACTAAGATCCAGGACTGGTAAATGTGATTGGAATTCGATCTTTCCAGAGTATGTATTGCAGCTCTGATGTAAAATTTTCACTGTACGGCAGGTGACCATTCAGTTCAGGGTGACAGATGTAAAAGTAGCTCAAAATTCACATAGAGTAAGTGAAAACCGATAATATAGTGACAGTTCCGACGACAGGGACGAAGTTTATGAATGATGCCAGACTAAGTCCGCTGAGGTTGAGGAAAGATCTTCCCCTCGTCAGGGTTATCAGAAGTTAATGCCTTCTGAAGCCCAGGAGCAATCTTCACTGTGTCAGGTCCCTAAATTCCCTGGAACTAGACATAAAACCCACTGAGAGAAGAAGATGAAATAAGTTTCATCTAACCATCTCAGTATCCTTAGTCTTGTGAGATATGCTGAAGAAACCGGTAAAAACCCTGAGCTTCTATAAGCCGGTTATACTACAGCCTGAAAACATCCTTCTCCGACTGGAGCTGGAGCAGAAGACGCCAGCGAGTCGAAGTGAAACTAAAATAACGAAATAAGAGCCCGTCGAGCATGCAGCTAGTGTGTCTGTGAAGACCGACGAAGAGCTCAAATATATTCTCCACAACATCCCCGAAGCCCCCTTCAACCTGGAAGGGGCCGACGTTATCCTTATTGATGACGAAGAGTACCTCGACGAGTTGAAGTATGAGGACGCCGCCGGTTATAATATCGAAATCGAGGATGACCTGCCGGAACAAGATTATAAGGAGGCAGATTATCTCGAGAAAGGGGGCTTCATCTCGGACAAGGCTCGGTATCAGGCTGCCAGTATCGCTTCGGAGGAGGATCACGAGGTTCTCTGAGAGCCCTTCGACAAAAGTATGCACAAAGTTATCAAGTACTTGTGTAACTATGCTCAAAATACCCCTTTTAGCGAACATTTAGGCCCCGAATCCTTGGTCGCACAGAGTTTGTGCCATTGGCTGCGGAGAGCAGACCCTGAAGCTGTATTTCGCTTATATCTGGCGATGATTCCTGAGTCCACCCACGCGATCCTGGGCCACGATAAACTGACCGGCCAGCACATTCTTGCCCTTCCGAGGGTCGGCCCTTCGCTTAGAGAAAAGATGTGTGTCTGGATTATGTCAGTAGTCACCGCGAAGAAGGCAGACTCTATACTGGGTCGACTATAGCATGCATGGCCGAGCGGATTCCGCAACATAAAAGCAGTATCCAACAAGCCGAGTCTGTAACAGGTGCACACTATCGGTACATTTGAGAGAAGACAGACAGAAAGTCCCACTTTAGTGTGGCTGCTATTTCCCCTCAAAATATACCAGAGCTTGGGATCGAAAATGCGGATAGTGTGGCTAATCTGCTTTTTTGAGGCGGTCATCATGATCGTGCTCGATACGTTCACACCGGGATTCATAGCCCAATTCGCGGTAACCAAAGACCGGCTCGACCACTTGAGGTCCGAATGTGGCCCATACCTATGGTCTTTTACCCTTGCACCGCGTCTTGCCGACAGAGCAGCCGGCTCATTTCAGCATACGCGCGTATGCGCCAATTGCCGTTGCGACTAATCCTCTAACTGGCACTTTGGCTTTAAAGCTTCGACATTGGTAGCCGTCTGCATTTGCAGCGCGTGCTATCATTATAAGAGAACACATGGAACTGACAGGCCTTCTTCCGTTTATAACAGGCGAGAATACCAAGCTTTGCGCAATGCAGCAACGCACACTGTGGCATAGAAACAGAGGGTAGATGATACCGGCACCCCAAGGACAGTGATCGGGTTCTATGCACAGCTTATTTCATATACTAGAACAAGTATAGTATTGAGATGCCATTGGCGACTATCCTTAGGCGCCAAAAAGACCGCCCATGTCGACATAAGGTGCAAGTTTTACCGTACAAAGTACAATAGCGAGCACTTTTAGATATGGCCCGTGTGAGTAACAGCTCCTCTTGTTTTAAGTTGATTTGAAGCACTTGGTTGGATGGGCCAGGCTTCGAGGTATTCCCTCTCTGTCCTGGACAGGAATGGATACTTGTTCCTTTTAAACTGTCTTACAGGACAGCGGTTGTGTCTTGAAGGCCCCCTTCACAACTCCAAAGTGTTTCGCTAATACTATATAGTGCTGGAACTGCGGAAAATCTGGCCATGGGCAAAGAATCTGTCGCCAGAGAGCCGCGGACCTTGTGAGAGGATTGTGCTCGATTGTAAGTTTCTCTTAGCAATATGTATATGCATGATACTAACACATTCCTTCAGAGACAGGTTCGCCGCTCAACTATTCATTCTCCTTGAATAAAGACTAATTATATACTAGGCTTCTACTATCGGTGCTGCCCCACCCCCCTGGCGACGGTGACGTGGCCGCCGTGGTCGCCGTGGTGGCGGTGGCTCCCCTGGATGCTGCTGAAGCCCTCACGGATGTTGTTGCCGCCCCCTCTGCTGGCGATGCACCCCCTCCCCTCAGCCTCCTCCCCCAGCACCCCGCCTCCCCCAATCCCCAGGGGCTGGGGAGGTTGAGGAGGAGGGTGAGGAAGAGGAAGTCCCTCTCGCCCTACAAGGGCTTAAAATTGACTAAAACCATAATTTTTTTTCTCTCTCTCTATCTCGCTCTGTCTTCTTCTTTTTGTACTGTTATTTTTTTTTTTTAAAAAAAATTAAGATTTTCAGTTGATATGTTGCACTGCATATGCTCCACTGGTCGCTGCAAAAGCTAATGGAGTCTATCTAAGACGTGACAATAACTACTGCTATGAGACTACTAGTACTGGCCAGAGATTCCGAAGGACGCGTGATTGACACAACTCTACATCAGCCCTTCTGATTCTAAACTTGCTTTAACTAACAATGAAATATTCTATATACGAGATATAGACATTTTTAGGAGCATCTACTCGATGGATTAGAGATTAGAATTTATAGTGCATTTATAAAAACCATACAATCTATACACTATGTATAGTTTTTCACATTCCATAATCGACAAAACTTTGCTGCCTTTTCTTTTAATCTAAACCCTGAGGCAGCCAGTATCGATTCCAAATGGATGAGCTTCGAGAACTAGGCTGGATTTAGAAACTACGGGCACATGACAGCTGGACCAAGGGCCCGAACTCGTCGCAAAGTCTTGATCCAATGATCATCCCAGTTCTTCATGGCTGTGCAGCTTAAGGGACTGAGCAACGAGTCATGATCTGGTAAGTCTGCGGGGTTGGCCGATTGACACCACCAGCTCGTATCTTTGTTCAATATACATGTCATTACCTCATCCGGGAGTTTGCTTTTTCTCCACAGCTGCCAGACCTTATAACACCACAGGAAAAAGAAAATCATCCTTCAGGAGGTACAATAAATTCCCATGCATATTAAGCCATTTCATTGATGTAACTCTCGTACCCTCTCTGTCCAACTGATGACGATTGCGTCATATCTACCATGGGAGACTCTCCCCCGGCTTTAGGATATCTTGCGCCAATCTGCGCCGGTATTCTAGTGATCAGTGTCTGGTATGTAGCCCCATCGCAAATCGCACGATCCCGATCTTGATTTGGTGTCCATTCAACAGGCTAGTTATCGGCCTCCGTTACAGACATTTCCGTAGGAACCAACGGAACTCTCGCTTCATGGATCTTGAGAGCATTCCATTTCGAAGAGGTCCCTCGGTCATATCCAGCGGCGATGTCGACAAGCAGTTCCCGCTGATGAAATACAGCGACTGGTGGGCAGGCCGAAGTCGAAAAGGGAGTATTGCGAAAGAAACTATTGGGTCGCTGGGTTCGGTATCACAAGAAGACCCTAAAGACAAGGAGACAGATATTAACGCCCCTGAAGCGCATGTTAAAAAGACAGACTTTGCTGAGAATGCTCCAGACACTCAAATAGACAAGGCACAGGAGCATGTTTGCGAGCCGGGGAATACTTGTGAGCACGACAACGACGATGCAGTCAGCGAGTCGGGTTGCTTATGTGCCATTTGCATGGACTCGATTGAGGGTGAAACCTATATTCGACCTCTGACATGCGGGCACATTTTCCACTCTTCCTGCGTGGACCCGTGGCTCACTAGACGACGTGCAAGCTGCCCACTGTGTAATAAGAGCTTCGGTAATCATGGAGCAAGTGATAGGGAGGAAACGGATGCACAACCATTCCCCGTTCTTGCCGTGCCAAGGTCAGCAATGATCAGAAGTGACGTTTTCCCCAGGACAATATGAGACGATAGCTATTTCGATCCATCCTTAATGTGCTGAAAAGTCACGAGTCTTCCGCTCGGCCTAAGGCCAAAAGCCGGCAATTCAGAGGTTGTTAAGTTTGGCACCGAGAAGTCCACCCACGAAGCCCGTTGTTTCGTCCAGTATTGGCCACTTACTCTTATCAGTTGTGCTCCCTTACCCAAACTTCAAGCTGGAGTGGTGATCGATATGCCTGATATTTTCGGCCTCAGGGTCATACGACACATACGTCTTACACAGAGTGGGGCCTGGTCCTTCAAGGCCTTTATACTCTTGGAGAGTGGCCTCCTTGGTATCCAGACGGCTAACTGACGGGTTGTTCGCTGTTCCATGAATCGGACGCATCTCGTCGGCCCTTTTGGCTACGAAGTTTTTGACTGTCTTCCAGCTTCCGAGCCTGCTTGTATAAAGACGTGGGTGTGAGAAGGATGGTCGTGACTGCAATCTGATCGTAGTCCCTGGAGACTATGAAGCGCCGGGTGATTCTTCAATCAGATGAGTGCCATGTTGTCGATAATGCTTACGATTAGACTGGAATGCCTTCAGCTTCAGGACAAATGATTTGCGCGGGTGGGGCGACAAACATATCAGGTTGGCCACATATATTGCTGTGCTTGCTTCTCGGATGTACCATATCTGATAAGTTGTCATTAGAAGAGACGCAAAGTTAAAAACTTTGTTGATACAATCGAGTATGAGCTTTCGCCTGGCGTTTAGCTGAGTCTTCATCAGTAGTGAAATGGGCACAACTAACATGTGAAGACGGCTTGAGTAATGGACTAATGTCGATAGGCTACACACTGCTTATTTTCCACTGGAAGTTGCCAGTACTGCTGGAAATGCCTGCAATGCACTGCGTAGTAGGGTACCATGATCACAACGAAGCCGATGGCTACATAGACGGCAATAACCTTGACATAGAGATGCAGGAAGGGGATATCCGCGGTCAACCGTCAGAAAAAGGTCAACATGCATATCTTAACGCCTCACCTCGAGAACAGCAGGCACTATTCCAGACCAATAACAATCTTGCTACTGTATATTAAATCTGTGAGGATTTGAAGGTCCCCCAAGGCATCATGCTCCAGATGCTGACAGCCTTTATATACCTGATCACCCTATTCTACTATACTTAAGACCTGGATGCCGTTTTCAACAGCGAAATAGCGGTCTTCCCGACGACCGAAATCTACATACTAGTTCTAGCCACCGGATCCAGCGCACGTGCAATCGGACTGATCGCCATCCTCTTCCTCGCCACCTTCCCAACTCTAATTGGAACCTTGGTCACAGGTCGGCATATGGAGCCTTGCCAGGGACAATACAACTCCATTCGTCTCTTATTTCAGCAAAGTGCAGCCAAAACTCAGTGCAACCATGGGCGTGAGCTCTTATCAAGCTCAAACCTTCGCGAGTCTAATACGAGCGCGAGTCATAAATCTTTGAGTGGCTAAATGATATTTTACTCAAAGTAGATCATCCTTTGTTTGGTAATGCTGGTTATGCTATAACTTACTTGGTAGTAAGTTACTTCATGAAAGGAGCTTCAGAAAGTGTGGCTAAGTCTACAAATCTTACTGGCTACGTATTAATATACAACTCGGCCCGAGTATAGGGAAGTATCACTCGAATATCTATTTTCTAAAAATAGTCAAGCCTTATACATTGTCTTCGTTGCTATACAATTAGCCATTTTGAGAAAGTCGATACATGGGTGGTCCTAAAGTAGTGGAGTAGACGACTGCTGTTGCCGTATTGTATATTCTGGTGGCCATTGTTTTCTTCTGTTTTTCACTTCTTCTTTCCGCCACAGCGCATAATATGAACTATACCAGTGTAATTGTTGTAGGGTTGATGGCTATGACCGCGGTCTGGTGGCCTTACGCGCAGGCGTGACTACAGGGGACCTTAGTATTGCCTTGGCGCTGCTCTACGACTTGATTGTATACATCAGACTGCATATATAGTCATAGGATATAATACCGAATCGTCAATATATTTTCAAGGTTAGAGTTCATACTGGGCGATCTATTTACAACGCCATTAAAATTGGTCAGGTACTCTGTCGTGTCTGGCGCATACTCTCCACCTGCAAGCTTGAAGAGAGACGATGCTGTCAGCTATCTAACCATGTATCGTAAACGTCAAGACTTGATTGGACACCTTCACAGCCTTGGCCGGATGGTCTGTCCGCCTTCCCAGAAGTCACCAGCCTCCAAAGTCTGCCATCCAGCCACGGAGCCTGCTTCAACACAGATCATATTCTTGTATGCTTCATCCGGGCCAAAGTCGGCCATGCCCTTGGCCTTTTCAATCCACGGGTTCCACACAACGACATCATTCAATCCTTCCCTGGTAATCGCAAAGATGGGCTTATCGTCACTAGCGGACGAAACAATAATAGGCACCTTGGGGTCCAATGATTGGTATACGCGGTCGGTTTCCTTGTTGATCTCAACGGCCGGGGAAGTTTCGGTGATGACGGCAGCGTTCTGTGTTTTATCGACGTAGGTCTTGGATTCGAGGTTCTTGACGCGGATATCGGAGATTTCCTGGTGCCGAGATGTTAGAACATGATAATAAAACCTGTAACTCCTAGGGACTTACGTCGACCTTGAGGTACGTATGCATCAGCACCTGGAAGTCGAAATTCTGACTACCCTTGTTCTGCACCTGGAGAGACGTTTCCAGACTCTCCTTGGTCAGAGTAACGCTATATACCAGTCCAAAGTCGTACGGCCATGCCTTCTGGAAATCTTCTGTGAGCATGGGACGGGAGAGGCCGAAGTCAAGTTTGACGGAGCCATCTCCGCTGCGATCCTTGCCTAGGGATTCCGATGACGACTTGCCCAAAAATTCCCAGGTGCTGTTACGCGCAAAGCCGTGTTGTGGAAGGGACGAGGTAGCATGGTTCTGAGGAGGAGGAGGAGGACCGAAGACCTACACATTCACCAACAGACCTGGTTAGTTATAGAGTGTAGTCTGAATCTAAGCCTGAAGGACGCACCGGGAACACCACGGGGATACCGCCTCGAATTGGCTTCGACCCATCAAGATGAGCCTTCTCGCTCACAAACAATTGCTCTTTGCCATTTGCTAATTTCCAGGAAGTGACAGTAGCTCCGTACAGGTGGATCGTAACGGATTCGCCGGAGGGCAGCGTGGCTTCGACGGTATTGTCGCGGAGAGAGATGGTGGGCTGAGGCACAGAGGCACCCACGCCGATGGCTGAAGGCTTGTTAGAACGGTCCATTGTAGACAAATACTATAACAAGGCGATATTATGAGAACTGGAAGAGGTGACGACTGATGCAATGCGGGGGACCACCGAAAAGTAGCAGACAACAACTGTGGGGCACGTGGGGCTGCCTTAATGTCATCGCGTTCGAGACAACAATTTCCAAGTAGAATTACCCAGGACTGACGCAAACCGAAGAGAGAAGAAATTCCTATATTTTTATATAATTCAAAGCGTGTTCGATGCACTTAGTCTTATCTTCTCTTCCATATCTTTTCGGTCTCCTTCATTGCCACGTATATATCTCAGCCTACTAGTAGCGTCACTATCTTTGATCAGTTCGCACCGCATAGGATTAATCAACAGTCGCTCTCTATAAATGGATATATTCATGTATGGATACCAAATACCAACACTAATGTCCCGTCCAATATCCTTTTTGTACGTATCAATTACCATAGCCTCCATCGCGCAGCGTCAAACAAAGAATTGAAAAATAGACAAACCAACAGAGGCATCTCAAGAACACATAAAATGATAATGACCTTTTTCCAACAAAACCAGGAAAGTCTGAACACAAGCAATAAGATATAGAAGATAACATGAAAGAATTCAACGCCTTCGCTATGCATATGAAAGATTAGCCAGTATGTCTCCTTAGTGCCTCGCCCGTTTCAACCCTGATCTCGAACATCAAGTCATCAATTTGTCGAATAGCATCTCGGTCCAAGGTGGCCGATTTAATATCGTCTAGCAGGTTCCTGAACGAGGTGATAATCCCCGTTGCGCCGCTGACATTCTTTGGATGTGCATCCATCTGGGTTGTTCGAGAGAGCGCTCGTTTTCTTGTTTGGGAAATGGAATCGCCATCCGCAGTTTCTATATTGATATCGTTTTCAGGTTCTTGGTTGGTAGATGATTCCTTCTCGCTCGTAGGAGCCGTGACCGTCTTCTCGGCGGCCGGGGTATGAGTTGTAGGTTCGTCAGGTTGTTGAATATCATTCTGTTCAAAAGAACCTTGTGTTTCTCTTTGGTGGTCATCATGGGAAGCTGCCGTGGCAGTCTCTTCGGCTTGAGCCTCTGACCTCGGAGATGGTTCCCTTGATGCGTTGCCCTTACGCTTGGCGTTTCGCTTGCGCCAACGACCGTTCCGAGGAGATTTTCTGGGCGCTGTGCCTTCCTCTGGTACGGCCAGCGGGGAGTTACCACTCAGGCGGGAGGACCTGCGTTTTTGAGAGGCAGAGGCCTCACTGCCCTTAGCAGCGCCGATACTGTCCGGCTGTATATCGGGCAGCTGGGCAGGTGTATCATCTGCATTGTCTTTAGGATGGAGCTTTTGCTTCTTTGGCGCTGACTCAGCCGGTGAAGATGCAACCTGTTGGGCGTTGCTCGACAACATCGATTTCTTTGAGCGAGTGCTCCGAGGTTCCTCGAGATCAGCATCGAGTTCCTTCGCAGAACGTCTCGTCGATCGACGTCGCTCTTCTCTAGAAGGTGTTGACGCGTTTACTTCATCTCTTTTCCTTTTCCTTGTCATCGGAGGTTCAGACGTAGGCTCAGACGGAAGCCCCGTCTCTTCTTGATCGGGTTTATCCGAATCGACGGCGAATTCTAGGTCTTGCTCTAGTTGGGACGCAATCTGCGTCTCCATGTCATCACTGAAAGAATCTGCGATCCAGTCACAAGTAGGGTCTAAGCCGTCCGCGATTTCACTAGATACGGCGACATCCTTGGGAGTAGATTTGACAAACATAGGCTTGTCAGGAGAGCCGTGATGGGAATTTGAAGCGTTCGAAGCAACAACTGGTTCACCAGCTGGGGGAACGTTAGCCTGAGGTTCAATCGTACTTTGTGCGTCTGCCTGGGGCGTCTTGCCGGTAGATGAACGGAGACGACTACTCAGCGGTGTTCCTGCTCGACTGGGGCCTCCGCGTGCCTCTTCGGATTGCGTATGTTGGCTGCCAGGTCGTTTCTTATCCTTTAATGCCGAACGTTTAGATTTCTTAGATTTCTTTTTCTTGCTCACTCTGTTCTCGACAGCTGCAGCCGTCAGAGACATCTGTTTGTTGCGGGCATTTGCACCCTGTGACTTGAGCTCTGGAGGGGAGGATGGAACGTCATTGTCGAAACGAGAGTCCATTGCTGGTGTTGATAGTGATGATGGGATCTGCGATCCAGCAGACTGTGTTCGTCCTCTAATACCGGGAGTAGGAGAAGAGCCCAGAAAACCGTCTTCGTTGTCAGCTACGACAGCTGGCAAAGTAGGCGTTTGGGGTGTTCCCGACTCACGATCGGGACCCCGCAGACCACGTAACTGCGGAGGTGTCATGAACCCGTATTCTTGCGGTGTGTTTATGGGAGGGGAGGAAGAGCGGAGATTCTCGATCATCGAAAATACATCGCCACGCTTCTTGGGTTCTTCGTTGGGTGGCAGAAATGAGACCGAAGCATCCTCAATGATGATTTGATTTGTTTCGTTGGGTTCGGCTGACCGGCGAGGTCGTGCCTCACTTGGCTGTTCCGCAACTCTAGGCTCAATCACTCTCGTCACAGGAGATGAGTTGAAGCCCACAGGGTAGGATGGTCCCACTGGGTGGTCTAGAATAAACGCTATGCGGGATTTTTCAGACATGTCTGCCCGATCACTATTCGATGTTTGTGATTCAAGGGATGTTGCCGGACGTCCAACCTGGAACCATTTAGTATATAAATCCAAAGCGGGTATCGATTCACTTACCTGTCGCTGTCCTTGTCCCTGTCCCGAGTTCTGAAGCTTGATCTGCGATTCAAGCTGCTGTAGTGCACGAGATATAGATTCGGGATATGGGAGTAACTTTTGTTGTCCAAATGAAGAATTCCAGAAATCGAGAAATCTTTTCGCTATAGACATATGGGAGGACTCAAGACCTGCACATATAATAGGCTCAAACCTCTGTAGGCAGGAGGCATTGTGGGGTGAACAAGCTTGCAAGATACTTATCACTGCGGACGAGAGAGCGCGGCCCTTGGCTTTATTAGTACTTTTGTTTTCACATCCCTTGCTTAATAAACTTACCGCTGTGATGATCCTGCTTTCCACGCCACTTTCAACATTAATCTTGCGCACGTCATCCATTAACCAGAGAGCAAGGGGCTGTTGAGTAGTTTCGAGGATCGCAGAGCGAAATGCTGGGACACCAGAGCTTAAAAGGGACGTGAACGATTCTAAAAAGTCCGCGATGCCATTGGTCCCTGTAGGGTCGAAGCCTCCATAAGACTCTCGAAGGATCCGATTTACTAGTTCAACGAGTTTGGCGGGAAACATCGAATGGTCGCTGGCCTGCCGATCTTCTCCAGTCACAGGCACTCCCGTGTTCCGAAAGTTGTAATGACAATATGTGATGGAAAGAGAATAGCCGAATAGGGAGGCTGCGGGCAAGTAGGTATCTTGGACTCTTAGCGCCATCATGCATTCAGAAATTGGTTCTACAACCATTGTTGCAATGGCATCGTCACCCTTCTCGGTTCGCACGACGCGAATAAGCGAGTCCACAAGTTGATCCCACTCCTGGATGGTGTCGGAAAACTTCAACCCTGTGGAGAGGATCTTGATAGCATTATCGTAATCGCGCAAAACAGATCCGTCACGCTCGCGGGCGGACTCAATAGGATAAGAACATAGAGAATCCGCTGCTAGTCGTGCCGTTGACTTCCAACCTACCTGAGCGAAGTTATGAGTTCCAAAAGAAAATTCTGCTTCACTTGGATACAAATCTGCGCACTGCCTGAGAAGCTCTAAGCGTGAGCTTCTGGCCGCTCTGCCCTTGCATGCAGCGTCAAGGGTATCGTTGATCAGGCGCAAATACGAAGCAGTTGGCTCCCGGACTCCGGAGACATCGCTGACTAGTCGAAGCAAATGTAGAATAGGACTGTCGAGGCTCATGTTGACCCTCAAAGACCGATGTGTCGGCGTATTGGCAGCTTGGAACTTCTCATCGGCTGTCTTTAGGAGGAGTTTCTCGGTGAATGGAATGCTTCCAAGTGAGACAATCATGGTCGTCGATAGGAACCTAAATCGATCGAAAAACTTATCCAAGGAATTGTCTTCGATAGCGTTGAGTGAAGCAGGGCCAGCTTTCCAAAGGCGTTGGAGAAGACCGAGCATATGGGCGACTGCTTGCATTGATTCCGGAGACGGGGTAATCTCTTTGCTGGAGGCATACGACAGGGCTCGAGAAAGACTGACCCAGGCAGCGGCAATGCTTGATTGCTCAATGTCATCGGACCAGGTAGAAGATCTGAAAATATATTCGAACACCTTCAAAACAGCGGTAATCCTGGACCGTACCCATCTGCAATCAAGTGAAGGCAGCTCCTCCGGGAGAAGGCGATTACTTTCATTGGCTTTGTTCTCCAACCAGACCTTCGCCTGGGAGCTCCACAGCATATTGCATAAGACCTGGGCTAGTTTGTCGCTTAAGCCAGGAACCATACTAAACGTGGTCGAGGAGGGCACGGCAAGGTATTCCTCCCACACGACGTCCAGATGTTGGTAAGACGCGGACGGGCGGAAGGCATAATACAGAAGATTGTAATAGCTGCACAGCACCATCTGGTTAGGCTGTGATGTCAGCTTACTTTGGCTCCTTCGCTCGAGTTGAGAGAGGATTGCCTGATCAGTATTTTCAAAACCGCAGGATTTGTTGCATCATTGGGCCCGATGACACAAACAAAACGGTTCCATGCAATAATGGATTGCGCTCTGGTTTGCCCATCACTGCAGTTAAAACATTTCTGCAGAGGAGTGGTAAATTCTTTTAAATGCTCCCAATGATCGACGGTCAATCTCTTATTCCTAAGAAGTAAGATAACAGCAATCCAAATCTGAGGTACGTGTACGCCTGTATCCGCGCTTGACATCATCCGCGACATTCTTTCGCTGACCTCCTGCACTAGTTTCCTATCTTGACCGATGGGTCGGTCAAGGTTTTCTCTAATATTCTTGGATAGAATGGGATTTGGGCCAAATGCTAGGGACGTTTGATAGCTGAGGGAGATGGCCTTTACTCTGACGTCCTTTATGTGGTGAAGCAAGCCCGATATGAGATGATTCATCCACAGCGCTGTTTGAGAGATGAATAATGACTTGTTTTGGCTGAGAATACGTTGGTATATAGCCAACCGCTGTAGGGTGATTGCATTCCCATTTACCCGGTTGGTGATTTCGTGCAACACGCTCATCAAACGGTTTAGCCTGGCGTTGTTCATGATCTTCGCATGGAAAGTCTGTGTTGACAAAATCGACATATAATGGGTGGCCACGGATTTGGGCAGTTTGGCGTCCTGTAAGCCATTGATGGAATGATCGACAAGAAAGATTTTGAAGTCATCCGGCAGCTGGGCACATATTTCAGTGTGCCATACTAGAGCGGTGGCCAGTTTCAGAGCCTGAGTAACGAGATTGGTATCTGAGGGTCCCCCAGTTCCGAGGTCCCGAGTCACATCCCGTTGGATGAACTGTGTGATGAGACCAAGCTTATCTGCAATTTCCTGCCCTCCAGGAAGCCCATCGTATGCTCTCAATGCTCCGAAGAATTGCATATAGGCGTCGAGTCTCGAACTGACCGATTCGCCGGCCAATTGCTGCGTGATCGACTCTAGCAGCATGGCGAAAGACTCCGGAGTGTAAGAGGTCACATTAGACGAATTGACAGGTGCAGGTGAGCTGGTCGTCTTGAGAATTGATTTCGAAGGTTTACACTCATTCGAAGGAGGTAGAGTCTTCAGATCTGGCTTGTTCGGCTGGGATTTCGGCCATGGCGAGAAGTTCACCCGCTTGAATTTGCGACTGGCGTGACCACCATTGGATGCGGTCGTCGGTAATGGGGAATCGTTCGTCGTCTTCACGGTAACCGGGGTATCTTGCGTGTGGTCCTTTTCAGGTAGTACACGAGATGATGTCCTGGGTGGAGTAGGCGGACGAGCAGACAGAGGACCAAGAACCTGCACCATGTTTCAAAAAGTCGAGTGACGAGGACAAGGATGGGATCGGAAGGAAGGCCAGGAACATCGCGATACAGGGCATCAGTAAACTCAGACCGCAATGTCCATTGCCCGGGTTGAAGCCTTTCTGCGGCGATCTGAAGCAATTGTGAGGTCCTCAGAGCGGTCGATCTCCTAAGGCCGCGCCAAGACTCAATTCAAAAAGACGCGCCCTGGCCCGAAATCGCGCCTGTGGCGCAAACCACGCGTAAAGTGGCAGTGGCGCGCTCAGTGCCTGGGGCAGTAAGGCCGCTAGGATAGGCTCGGGTGTCAAGGCAGCAAAAGATTAGTAACGCATACCAACCTTCCCAATTAAGCACTACTTGAAGTGAGTATGAGCGATAATTGAGAATTTCACAAGGGAGAAGTCTCTCTTCTGAACAGGGAAAATTATTCAACTTTCTATAGGATAGTGCCTTTTTTCCACTTTGAATACATGCATATGAAGAAACGCCATTGCCGTCTTTGCGGAGAAAGCGGCTAACCATGATTGAATGAACGTCGGTGGGGTTGATCTGCCCGCCTATTCTGTCCATCTGCAATGTAGCTCTTGCCTCAGAAACACCACAGTGATCTTGTGGACATCACTCAGCCCCCTCACAGCGCTAGACTTACTGTGAGACCTTGAACCTTTCCTACTCGAATAGGCCCCCGCCTCCACAAGTCGCTTATCCGTAGGTCTGGATAGCTAAAGTCGTTACACAGAGTGAGACCGAACTGAACTTGCTACTTTATACCCCTGAGACATAAGGCAACGTGAAATATGGACTTCCAGACACTCCATGGTGCAGGTATGCGCGAGCCGGGCGACAATAATCATGAATAACGCTAACCAGCTGCTATGGTTAGAAAAGCTGCAACAAGTCACCAAACTACTGGGCTCTTTAGAAAAAGACCTAAATGAAAAAAAGCTCAACAGCACTGGTCAGTATAGCCGCGATGGAGTAGTACGTCCGGGTCTAACCATTATATAGTCAAGGTCCAACTACTTCTACAATTGAGACAACATGGGACAAACCCAGCTGATGCCGGTCCCATCTATTCAAAAAGGGTGCGCTTTGCTCTGTTTTTTTTTGGAAATACCTTTCTAATAGCCACCTAGGGAATGGAGATTTTGGCGAAATATGGTGTCGATGGAGAATCTGTAGATATCCGTCGAGCTGCCTTGCGCTGTGTTGCTAATGCTCTTCTGTTGGATCCAAAGATGCGTCAGCTATTCGTAGATACTGGCCATGGCGGCAAACTAGCAGAAAAACTTAAGGTATAACCTCTGCAGCTATAATCTTACAAAAGCTGACGGCTCAGTGCGACTCCTCGGAGGATGAAATGGTCATCAGCCGGATATTATTCCTATCCACATACGACACGACCATGGACTTTGACAATCTTGTGAATAAGCATGGGCTAGGTGATAATGTCAACTATGTAAAGACTACCACTTCATGATCAGATGCCACTACTAACCAGCTTCATAGCAAATTGTCCGACATGCTAAGCAGTTCCCGAAATCGCTCAAGAAACCTCTACCTCAGATTGATGAGCTCGCTCTTATTGACACACTGAAGCTCATTTTCAACGTATCCAAGATCTATCCGGACTTGTCTGCAACATTTGCGCCTTCAATTCCTCATATATTTAAGATGATCAGTCGGATTGAAATCCCTGCCAAGCCATTGGATGGCCTGCTTAGCTACCTGCTCAACTCCTTGTCTACTCTTGACCTTGAAAACAAGAAAGGCAAACCTTTTGACAGCAACCCACTATTCCCGACATTCAACCAAAACTGTAATGTTGACAAGCTGATCAATATCTTGGACCATGCCACGTCATTGTACAGCCCTGAGGAGCTTGAGACCAAGGCTATTGCGCTTCTTCATTCGCTCATTACCATCCACGAACTGGCACCGGATGGGCCCCGTAAATACATGCAGTGGCTACTCTTGCCAGACGACAACGACAGGAATCAGCCTATCGGACAATCCGACACGCTTTCTTCCAAGTTGCTGAAGCTCTCCACCGCACCATACCCCAATCTGAAAACCGCTATTTCGGAGCTCATGTTTGTCCTCTCAGGAAAGAACGCCGAAAATCTTACGAAGAATATCGGATACGGATTTGCTGCAGGACTACTCGCCACCCGTGGCATGGAGATCCCCAAGACTGCCGGAGAGGCATTCGCCGCGGAAAGGTTCGACTCTGAGATTAACCCCATCACCGGTCAAAGATGGGCCTCGGAGAAACAGGATACAGGTCCACCCATGTCCCAGGAAGAGAAGGAGAGAGAGGCTGAGCGGCTGTTTGTGCTTTTTGAGAGGTACGTCTATCCTATTGCCCATAAGGGCCAATGCTAACCTTGACTAGGGCCAGAGCCAACGGTATCCTCAAGGTGGAGAACCCCGTCGCGCAAGCTGTCCGTGAGGGAAGGCTGGAAGAATTACCTGATTCGGATAGTGATTGAATGATTGATTGATTCTTGAATTGTATCATAATTTTAAGTCAAATATGTAATTGAACTTTAACATGATTTTAACAAGATAGTCTAAAGCCAACTATATCAATATTGAGTTTCCTTCGTACAGTGTTAAGGCTGAAACTAGTAATGGAGCTTCGGGTATACCTATGGTTCATGCCCAATGGTTGAGGGGGAGATCTGCAGTCTCTCCCACCGGAAAGTGTACTTCGGCACATGACGCAGGTAAGCACGCCCTTAAGACAAACTCATATACAGATGTGGAAACTGAAGCAAAACAAAACTTGGTACATTCAAACTTGTACCAATATTAGGCATCAACCAGGCAAAGAGAATTGTATACAATCCTCGGCATGAAAGATGTATTGCCACGATCCCCCCCACCAACGACAGTTTAAAACCCGAAACGGTAAAGGTTAGCATCCCATGCACATCATACGAAATGGAGCCGGGGTGAGCCCACCAAGCAAGACCCGGCAAGACAAGGGACGTCGTCTGAAGTGGGCACCCTAGAGCACCAGTGAACGCAACCCACGTGGCGTAAGGGCCTGAATTAATGCCATAATTTTGCCCCTCTGCTAACCCACAAAGAATGTTATCGAAGAAAAAGGTGCCCGATATTTGATCCACACATCCCGTGGGTTGCAAAAATGACATAGCCTTCTGACACCCTTCTACGACCATACCTGAAATAGAAATCGTTTAAGTTCACCCGATGGGCTGGGAAATACTCCAACCTGCTCTTATCCTAAAATGGCGTCTGAAAATCCGGGGCCCAAGAGCAAGTTCGAGGTTGCGCTTTTCCTGGCTGCTAGTAAGGGGTACGAGTCGATTGTGCAACTTTTGCTCGGCACCCCTGGTGTGGCACTGGATTGTAAGGATGAAGATGGTCGAAGTGCGCTTTCCTGGGCTGCTGAGGAGGGTCATGAGAAAGTAGTTCAGCTCTTGATGGCCAGCGGGAATGTTGATGTTAACGCGAGGGATACCAAGCTCGGTCAGACTCCTCTCTGCTGGGCTGTTAAAAACGGACATGAAGGAGTGGTGAGCCAGCTTCTGGCGCGCAGTGAAATCGATCCCAACATCCCAGATTTGAACGGTCATACACCATTGTACTGGGCTGCTGAGAAGGGAAAGCCGACGATAATGGCGCTGTTGCTGAAGAGAAATGCCGACCCTGGAATCAAAGATGCTACTGGCCGGACGCCATTGCTCTGGGCTGCGGATAAAGGCCATGTTGAAGTTGTCATGTTGCTCATTGGCTCTGGTAAAGTCAACGTCGATGACGCAGATGCTGCTGGCCGTACGCCCTTGTGGTGGGCTGCTCGAAATGGGCACTTACCAGTCGTGCAATTGCTGGTGCGACAGGGTGCCAACTTGGAAGCGCATCCTCCTATCGACAGTGAGACACAAGGACCACATGGCACACCACTGTATCAGGCTGTGCGCCAAGGACACATCGAGATGGTCAGATATTTGGTGAGAAAAGGGGCGGATAAGAACTCACATTTCGGGGAGCTTGGCCTGCCATTGGTGTTGACACTGGTCATGTACGATAGAAGCAAACGCAGTATGATGAAGATGCTGCAGCTTTTGCTGAAGAAAGGTGCAGATGTCAACGTGAAGGATAACTCCGGTCAAACAAGCTTACATATAGCGACTAAGAATGGTGATGCTGAATTGGCTACTCTCCTCCTGCATATGGGCGCAGAAGTCAACGAGTTGGACAAAGAGGGCAAGACACCCCTGCATTATGCAGTGCGATATGAACATGATAGTATTGCAGAATTGCTACTGTCCAGTGGCGCTGAACCTGACGCACAAGACGACCTCGGCGATACACCCCTCCATATTGCAGCCTCCGGCGTTTCCAGAAGCATGGTAGCCTTACTACTGGAAAGCACAATGGATATCAATGTGACAAATTATTCTGGAGAGACCCCCCTGCACAAGGCTGCCGAGCGCGGCCATCGCAAAATGGTGGACTTCCTGGCCCAAAGCGGGGCAGATGTTGACCTGCAGGACGACTATGGGCGAACTGCTCTGCATAGGGCAGTATCCTCCAAAGGCCATGCAATGAGACTACTCGTGAATAGGAACGCAGACGTCTTTGCTAGGGACATGTTCGGACAGACTGCGCTTCATATGGCGGCCAAAGCCGGGCTCAGGAACGACGTGTATTTCCTTCTTGGCCACGGAGCCTCAGCAGACGATAAAGACGACAGTGGACAGACAGCACGAGACTTAGCCGCTAAAGCAGGACAAACCGATGTGGTAAAACTTTTAAACTCTATGACCGTGTCAGACTCCGATTGATTCAGTTGAAGGTTGATGCAGCCTAATGAAGAACGGTCTAGAATATAGTGAGATGCTTCATAAGTTTATGGAAGAGGCAGGAGAGATGATGCAACTTACTCCTTTTTCTTTGCCTCCTGTACATGACCATTTTATCGGATTGTGATTTTAAAGAGGGATTATTGACAATGTTTGTCTTGCAGTACACTCATGTGTTGATTACCACATGTCTTCAATGTTGCCGGTATATCTTCCAGGGTTTTGTGTTCCCTTGTAACATATCCTTCATCCATTGTCTTGGTAAAAGAATACCTTGAATTGAACCCATGGGAACTAGCACAGGGCAAATCATAGTGTTACAGATATTAACGGGACATACTGATTGTGATAGAGAGTCATATCTGAATCTCATGATGACTTCATTGCTAGCTAGTTATAGTAGCAACATGGAAAGTTCCTGGCCATTATTTGTTTCACCTCTCTAGTGAATATAGGATAATAATGTTGGGTGTCACGCACAGTCGCTGAAACCTCAGATGTCGTTGTAGCAGTGTAGTAGAAACCTGATCATGAAGTACTAAGTACTACTAGAATACTAAGGACCGGGTGTCACTTGATAATATCGCACCCCGTTAGTTGGTTTCCAGCCCTGGTGGCCTGATAATGGCCTCCCTACTTGTCTTCTACAGCCTTACTCTGCGTCAACCTCCTCGCTGTATGTAAGTGATAGTTATTGCTCATGTAATTATGCCGATTAGTAAGCTATACATAATTGTGCATAACTAACTAGTTAACCAGTTTGAACTTCACTCAGTAAGTAAACAGACACCAATCTTGAGGAAATGGAAGAAAAGAATGGCAGAATGAGTCATAAATTGCCTTCATGGACAATTCCCTCAGTCGGGATAAGTGAAATACTTCGTCGTTCAGCAGTATAGTAGTACCGATTAAATTCTAGAAGGTGGATTAAATGACGTACCGATAAAGCAAAGTGCGGCGGGACGCAAAATTTATCTCCGCCGGCAGAAAAGATTAAATCGCGGGGCAATCCATTCGACTAACTCTACGAAACTGCACGAAACCTCGTTGGTACACGAAAAGTCACTCGACTTTGCTTTCATCTATATTTATTTTCTTTCTATTTGATTATTCCGATCACACTCGCCCAACATGTCGAAGAAATTTGATCCCGAGACGGCCGAGAACTTCGAGGATGTACGTTATCTTGCGCCTGGCGTCTTTCAGGGATCTGGGATTGGATACTGACCTTCTTTGTAGATGGAGAAGCAGTTCGCGGTTAAGGGTACGCTGCAAACCCGTCGCTTCACCTTCGCTCCTTATGCTTACGTCCCACAGCCGTCGAACATCTGATGACCTATTGGTCGATTCTTGAGAAGGTCCCAGGCTCGCAGCTTCGGCTGACAAGGATGGATAACGAGATCTACGAGAGCTTCATGAAAGAATTCCCCGACTTCGATCCCACCGCGACCCTCAACGAGGACGAAATGAAGAGCAAGGCGGGCAAGGAGAAGTGGCGCAACTGGATGAAGCAGTACGAGAAAACGGTTGACGACTTCAACTTCGGCACTATGCTGCGCTCGAACCCCAAGTTTGAATACGACCAGGAAACTACAATCTTTGGTGGGTTCCCCCTTCTCACTTTGTTAGCGCGCCATCGGGCAATGTGTGGCTAACAAAGAAACAGCCGTGCGCATGCAGTTCTATGCCGTTGAAATCGCCAGGTGAGCACCGAGAACTTTGGGTTGGCTTCAAACATAAGACTGACAGTTATAGAAACCGTGCCGGTCTTAATGACTGGATCTATGAGCGCGCTCAGAAGGGAAAGTCCAGCTCGTAAACTCAGTGTTACTATTTCATGTTCGCCGAACCCCGGAGAGGGTTACCGGTCGAGGGAATCTCGGACCACCAGCAATGACTGACTTCCATCAAAAATGCGGTCGGCGGAGTATTTACAAATGACTCTCTACTCACTTTGTAGACTCTACAGCGTCTCCGGACGTAGGGCCGGAGCGCGGTCCAGATGGCTTTGACATCTGATAGATGATTACCCTCGGCTTTTATAGAATTTCTCTTTTTTGAACGCAAAAGTGTACATACATTACATGCGGTTGTGGATGTCTGTGTAGGTAGTTTGGTACTGGATACATACAATGGTGTTAAGAGCCGGCACGGGACCATTGATGACCGCCGACTCAACCAAGAACAATAGCAGCGCAACCTATTCTCTTACTTCCCCACAACCCCTCCAAGTCAGAACAAAAGAATACTGAAGTCAAATTCGATACAATGGCTCTAGATGGCTTGTGTCCATGGCTAGCCCATCCCCTCAATTTATGTTTTGTCTCCTGAAGCCCTCCACTCCCCTGCATCCCTGTTCAGGTCATCTCTCCGACTCAAGATGCTGGATATGCTCCCCGAGCTATGGAATATTGACCTACAGCATGACAGGTATCCTGGTCCAGTTCAAACGCTGCCTGGGGTGGAAGCCGAGTTGGCTGTCGCTCTTCAGCTTCACCACCAAAAAACACATTCCAACTCTTTGCTTCGCCATTCTTTTTGCATCATTAGCCAGTGCTAGCTCTCCGATTTTTGCTACACTCCTTGGGGAGGCATTCAACTCTTTGGCGTTGTTTGGTAGTGATCAAATATCTGTCCAAGAACTAATTCAAAAGACAAGAACAAGCTGTGTCAAACTAGCATGCTTAGGCGTCTATAGTTGGTTCTGCAACAGCATCTATTTCATTCTTTTTGTGGCCTTCGGAGAGCTGCAAGTCGCCAATGCACGCCGCACCCTCTTCAGTGGGCTTTTGCAGAAAGATCAGGAATGGTTCGAGACACAACCAGATGGAGCCCGAACATTCTTATCCAGTCTTCAAGCGTCAGTCATATCCGGGTCGTTTTGTACTTATCTAACCTCTCATAGCCAAATATATGAGTTACAGAAGTCAACCTCCCAGCCTTTGGGATTGCTATTGCAGTATAGCTTCCGAGCCATTGGCTCGCTGGCTCTTGCGTTCTACACCTCCTGGAAGCTTTCTCTGGTCACGCTAGCAGGGATCCCGGTTTTCTCTGCCATGGCTTCGTTTATCTCTTCCAAGATGAAGTTAAATATTGAAGCACAGCAGGCTGCGTTGGCAAGCGCTTCCAAGGTTGTCAACAGCACCACCGCTTCGATTGATACTATCAAGTGCCTAAACGGGGAAGCCTTTGAGCTTCGCAATTTCTCGAACAGGATTGACGAGGCTGCGTCGCAGTTTCTTAAGCAGGCGCGGTTGAACTCTATTCAGATAGCGCTCATTCGATTGATGACGTACGGCATGTTTGTTCAGGGCTTCTGGTACGGCAGCTCTTTGGCATCGTCTGGACGGCTTTCACCCGGTGACGTTTTGAGGACATTCTGGGCCTGTCTCACAGCGGCACAGTCCATGGAATTTATCATGACTCAATTAATCGTGTTGGATAAAGGTGCGGTTGCAGCTTCCGCATTGAGAATGACCTTGAGCCGGCAGACCAAAGATGGCGGCCCGAAGGAAATGGAAGGAGCAGTGTATCCCCGTCATTGCGATGGTGATATTGAAGTGAGCGATGTAAGTATTCAAACCTAGTGTTATGGGACGATTCCAACTGTCTTAGCTGTCTTTCGCATACTCGTCTCAGCCCGAGAGGCTCAGCTTAAACTCGGCAAGCTTCTTCTTCCCAGCGGGGGAGACAACTTTCGTCATCGGAAAGAGTGGATCTGGGAAAAGTACCCTGGGACAACTACTCACCCGGATATACTTGTCAACCTCCGGTGGCATTCTCATAGATGGCACACCCATACAAACTTTGAGTAAGAATTGGATCCGGAACAATTTCACCCTGGTAGAACAACGGAGCATTCTCTTCAACGAATCGATCTTTATGAACATTGCATTTGGACGGCACGACTATGATCAAATCCGAAAAGAAGACGTTCAGGAATGCATTGATCTAGCGATGCTACAAAGCGTAATCGCCCACATGCCCAACGGTATTGACACGTGTGTGGGTTATGGCGGTAGTTTTATAAGTGGCGGCCAGAGACAAAGGGTTGCAATCGCCAGGGCTAGATTGAGAGATACACCAGTCTTGATATTGGATGAGCCTACAAGCGCTCTAGATGGGACGAATCGTTATGAGGTGATCCGAGCAATCCGGGAGTGGCGTAAAGGAAAAACAACCATCATTATAACGCACGACATGTCGCACATCTTGGATAGAGATTTTGTGTATGTCCTGGATCAAGGCTCAGTTGTACAAGCTGGGTATAGATGTGAGCTTGAGAAAGTCCTTGGGAATGAGGATTTCTTTCCTTCAAATGAGGAAAGCCACCTATTGGATGACTCTGGTGGCGACAGAATTCATAGCATACTCTCAGAGACCACCCTGGTTAATTCGGCTGACATGCCGGTTGATAAAAACCGACGTATATCCTCTGTGCTTATAGGCTTAAGGCCCGAGTCCTTTCACAATGAAAAATTCCAACCAAGATCCCGACTTTCAATCGTTCCCACACCGCAAGACGCCCTGCAAGATGGAGTGCAGCTGGTCGAATTTGATACTGAACGGGAGGGGGCAAAGACTAGGCCAACTCACTCTCACAAATTACCAAACAAAAGAAAGGACCGACGACAGATGAAGTCTCTTTTCCACATAATGCTTACGATCATACCTAATCTTACTATCAGGCAGCGTGTTCTTCTGCTCCTTGGGGTTCTGTTTACCCTTTGCCACTCGAGCACCACCCCAATATTCGCCTACTTCTTATCGAAACTGCAAGTAACGTTTTTTAACAAGACGAGTGCTCTGAAATGGGCCCTGGCTGTTTTGGGGGTCTCGATATCTGACGGAATAGTGTCCTTCTTCATGCATTATCTCCTCAATCTTTGTAGCCAAGCTTGGGTGGACAGCCTCCGAAAAAGAGCCTTCCACCGAGTTCTCGATCAGCCGAAGCGATGGTTCGAAGAGGAGGGAAACAGTCCATCACAGCTGACCGCTTGCCTTGCCCGAGATGGCGAAGAAATGAGAGAGATACTTAGCCGCTTCGGTGGTTACGCTTTGGTTGCAGCTTCAATCGCCGTGATAGCGACCGTATGGAGCTTGGCTGTTTGCTGGAAGCTGACTCTGGTTGCACTTTCCATTGGGCCTGTGATATACGCAATCACAAGAGGGTTTGAACGGACCAGCGGACTGTGGGATAGACGCTGTAACGAGGCCAGGGGTGCAGCGTCGGAGGTATTCGTTGAGACGTTCTCGGAGATACGCACAGTACGTACCCTGACACTAGAACCGTTCTTCCAGAGCAAACATACGAAAGCCTTGTTCAAATGCCTCACAACGGGGCTACGGAAGGCGGGTTACACGGGGTTTCTCTTTGGGCTGGTCGAGTCCACTATCGTCTTCGTGAGCGGTACGTGGCCAAACAACAAGCATTCAATTCTTTCTAACAGTCATAGCACTGATCATCTACTACGGAGGACTTCTGGTGTCGGTTCTAGAATACACCGTAGAGGATATCATGACAGTCCTCTCGATGCTGTTATTCAGCATTGGATACGCAAGTGTAGTACTTTCTTGGAGTGAGTATTCTCATCTACATGGTAGGCTTCGCTGACTTTCCAGTCCCGCAAATCAGTGCATCGCGAGAGAGAGGGTCCGGGCTCTTGCAGCTTGCGAATCTTGCCGCGGGGGCTTCGCACGAGCACCTGGGATGTTTGCGTGTCGCAACACCAACACCGATAAAGATCACCAGGTTGAGCTTCCAGTATCCGTCTCGTCCGAATGCACCAGTCTTGAAAGACGTTTCCTTTACCATTCCCGAGAACTCATGTACAGCAGTCGTGGGACGCTCTGGGTCAGGAAAGTCGACCGTAGCCTCGCTGCTACTAGCTCTGTATGAAACGCCCGCTTCAGACAGTGCGCCAGCCATTTCACTTGGCGGCGTTGATATACGTAGATTATACGCGCCAACTCTTCGCTCCGTTGTGGCGATTGTCTCACAGCAACCTACGATATTCCCGGGCACTATCGAAGCTAATATTAGCTATGGGCTGGAAGGACCTCTTCGGGATCCGCGCAACGTCCGCGATTCAGCAAAGGCAGCGGGTATTGATGAGTTCGTATCATCCCTTCCACAAGGCTACTTTACCATTATTGGAGATGGCGGAGTTGGATTATCCGGCGGGCAAGCGCAGCGAGTGGTGATTGCGCGGGCACTTGTCCGTCGGCCTCAGATTTTAATTTTAGATGAAGCTACATCAGCCCTTGATCCAGCCAGCACTGAAATCATCCGACATACTGTGCAGAGGTTAGTGACGTCGCAGGTAGGACTGACGGTGATCATCATCACCCACGCAAAGGGTATGATGGAAATCGCAGATAATGTGGTTGTTTTGGAGCATGGGCGTGTTATTGAGAGCGGACCATACAAAACGCTGGCAAAACGGCCTCATCTGCAAGCATTGATACACGATCAACATAGGACATAGTGCATATAACGTTAAATCGCTAGGAGGAATCTCAAGCAATCAATAGAACCAACGTTCACGTTGGTTACTCAATCATGTTCAAAAAGTGCTTCTTGATACCTGCGAGCGATGTCAAAGCTCGATGACGAGTTCTCAAGCCACTGTTGCAGTACCAACCCCTCTCCAATAGAAGCTCCTCCAGTCCAAGACAAAACCTCGACCAATTGACAGCACGTTTCTCCCTGATGAGGTCGTCCATCTCAAACACCAACCAACAGTCGCACCGCGTTTTCCAGTATGTATCGGGCAATTTCCACTGAAACACTTCCAGAAAATTGCGCGTATCATTCAGTCTTTCCACAGAACGCGGGCGACTCCCATAAATGAGATCGACGATGAGAATCGCAATATCCAACGGCAGGTCAACGATCGCCGAATGCCCTCGCAGATCTACACCCGGACATTCTCGCGTCGCCTGAACAATCAATTTCTGTATCCCCGGAATTCTCAACGGGCTTCCCGTAACGTGATAAATGACCGGCTTATGCCAATCTACCACTGACTTTGTCCCATAGCAGGACATTTCGTCCTCATGATGCCACAATCTGGCCCCCCAGCTTCCCATATTACGCCACCAATATGCGTCCGCAGCTCGGGCGAATTCTCGCAGATGCTCCTGGACGATTTCATGCCCAATCACGCGGTCAAGAAGCACCCAGCAGTGTGCATGGATAGGATACCCGATGCGCTCTTTCGGTATGTCCGGCTCAGTGCCCCAAACAATCTTAGCCATGCGGAAGTCAACGTTTCGACCCCCCTTCCTGGCCGGCCCGATAATGCGGGCTCTGTGAGGATCAGTGGGTACACGATTAACATGCTTTCTAGAATGATTGATCTTCGGGCATATTCCTGACAAACGATCACCTTCGGAGTCGACGAGAACTATTGCAGTGAGTTTCTGTCAACGGAGAAGGGAGACGTAGACTGACTTGCACGGTAGTAGTAGGACCACAGTTTAGGCGTTTTTCTGAAATACATATGCTCCAGCTCTGCAGCTGACGCGAAAAGATGTCTACGCCATCTGGCTGATCGCTTCCAGTCTTCTCGCTCATTTACTATATCCTTTTTTGCGCACCCGGTGATCTGGATCCCACATGCTATACAGCACAGGATGTCTGCAACATAGTCACAATAATTCAAATACCTTCCGGACTGGCTCTGTGAATTCCCCATTTTTGAAGCGTGGGATGTGATGAAGAAAATCGGGCAGCTACGATGCTGATTATAACGCTGCGGTCAGGCAATTGACTTCCGTTGTTATGTCATTTTTACCTCGAGATCTCAAGTTGGCGAAATTATTTGAATTGACATTACTTCATCATGGGGTCGCTATATAAACCGAGAACCATGGATACGTAGCTTTAGTAACACACCTTTGCTCTCCTTGTACATAATAAATATGTAATGGTGTTCAGGGTTGAAAGTCCTAAAATGTACATACCACAGAAGTCTGGAAACCCCCATCGGCAGAACAGGTCGCACAACAATTCTCATCTTCCAATTCATATCCGCCCTCCTGGAGCAGTACTGCCGCCTGATAATCATGTGTGGCCGGCTTCACCTTCGGAACAAACCAGTTGTCAACCGCCCATGCGGGCCTCGCAAACCACCCCGAGAAGAACCAACGCACAAGTCTCGGTAGACAAACGCTCGTTTGGGAATCTTTCGCGATCCCACTGCATGGAAGGAGCATTGTCCAGTATGACAGACGACTTTTCACGAACGAACTGAGATCACTACCGTATGTTGATAAGGTTACGACTCCGCATATGGATCTTGTGTTTTGCACGGAGTAAACCATCTTCAATCTGAGTGAGAACTTAACAAAACTAAAACTAAAACTAAGACATAAAAAAAGAAAAGAAAAGATGAAAAAAAGGAAAAAAGCAAAGACAATAATAATAAAAGACAACAGAAAAACAGAAAGAAAATTCTTTACTCCAATCTGGTGCGAATATCGTTGAAGATGAAGATGCTTCCATTTGATGTCGGTCTTCGACACTATACTAACTTATAGTATCTTCAACAGATTTAATCCTTCTATAATATAGATCTCTGGCAGTTATTTACATCCTGACTTTATCCAATCAATATCTCTAGCCTCGTAGTCGAGATTATAGGCTTCTATTCTCTCTCAGTATGATTTAAAATTATAATTATACTGCAACTAATAGATATACCGATACTGAATCTACTGTCTTATCTTTGTTAGTAAGATTCTCTGGGAATATATATATTATGGTTATCAGCAAACAAAAAACTAATAATCATGTCTAATTCGATATCTGACTCGATATTATTATAGATATACGTAACTCCCTTCAGTTGTTAATATTCTTGACGGTCTTCTCAATAGCTGTACAGCATCGTATAACTTTATATTATTGATAGAAATTCTCAGTATATCTTCTACTTGCTTAAAGATTTCTAGTTATTTGCTATGCAATGTCTCCGATATATCTTTATCCAAATCAATATATTCTTGTATATATTTCAGGCTATATTTTGTATAAGTATACTATAATAATAGGAACTTCTCTGCGTCGGTAACGTAGTTTTATCGTATATTATTATCATTGTCGAGCGATATCCAGAAGTCCAAGTCGCGTAGATTGTCGTCGACCAAGTCGCTCGTGAATATATAGCGATGTGATTCCCAATGATTGTGTATGAAATTCACGGTGTAATTGAGGGACCTCATTCTATACTGAATAATGTCCTCGAAATACAATTGTTTTTGTCTCACCCGTGGGGATTTGGTTTGGGGGCAGCAGAGGCGGCAGTATGACCACCACCGGCGCCGGGAGAAGAGGACATGGGATGGCGGCTTGTCCCTAAAAGAATTAGTATCATGTATATGTGCATAGTGAGAAACTTACGATAGCAAATCTGCTGCCTTTTGTTGGCATTGTATTTCCCGATGTTCTAGTACGTGAGCAATAACGGCACTATAAAATCTCTCCAATATCAGCTTTTGACCACTAATTAATGAAACACCTTGAGGAAGTACGAATGATCTTCAAGACATAACCGCTATCCTGTCAAGAGAGCTTGTAATGGAATAGTGATAGTTTCTTGTCCAGGGAGGCAGGCATCTCGGAGCCTGGAGACCAACCCAGCCAGCCAAATGCTCAAAATCAACGGGAGTTGTTACTCACCTTAGCCATATTCGAAGATACCGTTTGTTTAGAGGGATGTACTTCATATCGTGTGGTAGACATATATCATGAAATGGTAAAGGTTTACCGTAAGCATCAGACAGACTCGTGGGCTGCCGATATTTACGGGCATTATTTCGATGCTGGTAGTAGTAGCTATGTAATTTGCTGATGTCTCACTCTTTGATACGAGACAAGAGAATATACATGGAGGGATAGACACTATGAATCATGATTAAGCTTATATGAGGACCAATATGGGAGATGAAGAGGGATTATGGTAGTTTATATAGCTACGAGGGAGAGATATACCGAAGACAAGACATGAATGGATGTCTACCTCTGCACTGGCTTGTCAAGTCACTTATTTAGTACTTAATTAATCTACCGCTTTGAATGGTTCCCTGCAATCGGTGACTGTTCCAGTTCATCGTGAAAAGCTAGCTTTGTATTCTATATGGCCGGTGAATGCGGCAGGCATGGGAACAGACTGAGAGTGTGAGCTTGTACTGTAATGTGATGACTTTCAAATTGGCTGCACTAGATCAAGGGTGAGTCAAACAGTGCATGTCGATGTAAAGGGGTACTTGTAGTTTCTGAGATTCCTTCTCCAGGTAATGGTTTTAAGAAAGTGTGGAAGTATCAATGAGATTACATGTCCTTTCAATAGGGTAAGTACTTGGGCTTCGCATACCTTTTATTGATTGGTAAAAAGTAACATATAAATAGTGAGTAGTGCAATTGAAATAAAAGATCGATATTGAATAAGACTGTCACTATATAGAGCTTGGAAATAGACTACTCCAAAAGCTAACTAGGATAATATTTACGGCTGATCGTATTCAAGCCTTGGGCTTTAGTCGAATGCTGCCCGAACAGTGATAGCGCTGGCGAAGTGTCAGTAGACAGGATGACCTCCAAATACCAGTCTGGTATGTACGCGCTCCCAGCACCCATGACTGTGTAAAGTGATGCTCTGCCCAGGCTACAGTCAACCGCCCTGGCACGCACCTACCTGGAAGGTGGACTCGGTCAAACTAGGCAGTTGAAGTTGCTATCCATCTCTCTAGATCTAAATATACCTATCATACAAAGGTTGCTGACCTCGTACTGTAAAAGGGCATCAACTAGCGTTATGTCTAATGGGATTCGAGTTCTCGGTCAGCTCAGACTATGGGATAAGATAGAATTTAAAATAAGCCGCTTGCAGGTCCGGTTGTCATCTACCATGTAGCCTTTTATATTGTCAGCCTGTACCCTAATGTTAAGTGAAAGAGGCTTATGCAAGCATATCATGAAGTAAAGGATCTACCTGTTGAACAACTTGAATAACCGATAAATAGATTCGCATACACTACTGTATGCATTGATCAATAAAAGTACTCCGAGGACTTCATGAAAGATATCCTTGTCAAAAGAGGATTCAACTTCAGAAAAGGCCATATGCATGTAAAGTTTCTGTGAAGGGGCTACACCACCACCGCCAGGAGAAGGTCTCAAAGAGCAGCTTGTTGTTGAGGCAGATGGTGTACATACTCGAGTGAGACGCTGTAACTCTCGCAAGTCTGTTCACACGACTTGTTCCACGAGATAGTGAACAATTACCTGCCAGTCGACACAAATCGAGCTCTTTTTAAGCACTATCATATAATGAGGTCTGAGAGAAGCAAACATAACGTTGAGAAATCTCTTTTGATGGTTCGTCTTTGCACTCGATACGTTTTGCGCACGTTGTGAATTTATATTAATGAAGAGATATGCGGCAGCTTTGTCATTTTCATCACTGCAGTACATGGGGCAAGCGTCGTTGTTCCTAATCACAAGAAAATAGACTGCATGCGTTGGCTCAAAGAAAGCAAAATTCAAGAAAAGCAGAGACTTGAAAATGTCAAGAGACCTGCTTCTTTCCACTGATTTTCTGTTTTAGGGTCCGATATCTGGCAATTGACTTCTTTAGAATCAATGCTGCAAGTTCCCCCGAACCTTCCATGCGTTCTCCGGCTCTTCTTTGAATGTTAATATACTGCTGGCGGCTCTCGTCATGCTCGCCGAGACAAATAACTATACCAGCATATTTGAGTAAAATTGCATTCATGATGAGTCGACACATTCGTCCATTACCGTCTGCAAAAGGATGAATCATCACAAAGTCATTGCAGTACTTAGCAGCGAGAGTGAAGGGATCAAGGGTATGGCTGGCTTCAATCTTCTGGGCATCTCTTTCGAACTCGGAAACCAGCTCTCGCATCTTTGCTGGTATATATTTAGGCGAGACAAAATTGGTATTTCCAGCATGAACATGGATCTTCCGATATCGTCCCGAGTACTCCTCCCACGGGAGTCCTCCAGCTGTGTTGATTGATTCGGTTAGGATGTGATGTGTACGTAGGACGAGATCCTCGGACAACGGCTTGTCCTTCACGACCATTTCTGTTGAGAGAAAGTTTAACGCCAGCGCGTGTTGAACCACCTCACGCCGGCTTCGAATAATGTGCGAGGCCCGTGTCTTGGAATGGATGGTCCCGATAAGCTTCTTTTCGTAGTCAATCTCTCTAAGGAAGGACATTGTTTGATCAGCAATTGTCATAATTGCAAGGTTTAATATACTCAATCTCTCACCTCTCTGGAATATGCTCAGGGTCCACGTATTCTCCACGGAAGATTCTCTCGCAGATTTTGATCGTCTCCTCTAGATTGAGACCGGCGCGCTCAATGTAGTTGCTGCCAAAGATGACGGTCCCCAGGTGTCGTGTCAGGATCTCGCTGAGAATTGAGACACCGTCGCTTCCTCTTTCCTTCAATTTCCCCTGAATAACGTTATAAAAATCGGTCGCCTTTTTGAACATGTCCATGGGCGAGTCTTGGTCAAGCGGGATGTACGCCCGCGCGGTCGAATCCATGGCGATCGTGTAGAAGAGGCGTGTATTATCCATGTGTGAAGCCTTTGAGATAGAGGGGGGCCAGCCCCGAGATTGAAAAGCATTGCTGATGGCGCTGGTCATACTTGTGGAGGTCCGGCTCGTGGAGGGCGAAATCGTCAGATTATCGAAGAGCCCGGCCAGTGGCTTCCGACGAGGGGAGCATGACCTTTCGCGTTCTTTACTGCTGAGTGGAGGTACGTTCTCCATTTAGATATTATCGGGTAGATGGAAAATAAGATCAGTAGGTTGTGAGAATAGAGAATGAGCCAGAACTCAGAAGCAATGTCCAGGTCATGATGGAGTCACAATGATGCTGCCTTACACAACACAAAGAATTCACACATATCTCAAGATGAGTCCTGTATTCAATGGCTTCGGTGTGATATTTGCGTACAATTACAATATACTTATTGCTTGACCAACATAATGCAAGGCTCCAGGGATTCAGACAGACCGGTAGGTAATGAGTGTCTGAATGAATACGGCTGTATAGCTACGTATATTACTGCGTGTATATACCGCTGAGCCTATATCATGATATATTTTCTGGGTGTTAAAATAAAAGGAACAAACCGAATTGGCTATTCTAATCGAATATATTCTATTGACTCTGTACATACCCTAGACCTGGATGTTTCCAATGCCACACAATATATACAAGCTTAAGCATGTAGGTGTGCAGGGAGCTGTCTAACTATGTCCAGTACAAAGGTAACAGCAGTAAGAACAAACATGATATGGGTAGACAGAGAGGCTAAAGGAAACTGACTTGCTTAGTTTCACCATCGTCTGGCTACTAGTCCTGAACACCACGTAGAGGTGCAAGTCTTGCTCAGGTGCCGTACACAAACCCTGCACGACTAGGGGGGCAGGTGCTAGTGCTGATGATGTAGTTGTGCGAGGAGCCGTCTAAGCTAGGTAGGGTGTTCGGAATGGGGAAAGTATAAAAGGGACAGTAGTAAGAATAAACAAGAGATTGGCAGACAGAGAGACTAGAAGGAAACAGTAGGAGAAAAGGAAAGGTACACCAGAAGGTAGATGCGGACAGCAGCAAAATAAGAATAGAAGGAGGATAAGAATGAACACAGAAGGATAAAGATAGAAAGAATAGGAGTAAGAATAGGAGTAAGAATAGGCACAGGCATAAGACGAGAGAAAGGCAGAAAAAGGATAAGAATAGACACAGGGTAAGAATAGCCAGAAAACTAGAAAAATAGTAAGAATAGCAAAGGATAATAATAGACAGAGGATAAGAATAGGCGGATAGTAAGAATAGCTGGATGGTAAGAATAGCAGAGAGTAAGAATAGAAAGGCCGAATAAGAATAACCAGGAGAATAAGGATAGGCAGAGGATAAAGAAGAAGAACAGGATGAGAAAAGAATACAGACTGGAGAAGAATGACAACAGAAGCAGAATCAAGATAGACAGACAAAGAAGAAGAAGAAGAAGAAGAAGAAAAACAGGTGTAGGATAAGAGGATAAGAATAGGATAAGACTAGCAGGTAAGTATAGGAGCAGATGTAAGAATAGGAATAAGTGTAAATATAGGATGAAGTGTAACAATAGGTGCAGGTGTAAGAATAGGAGGAGGCTGTTCCGGTGGGTCAGTATGGATAGACTGCGTTGTTTTTGTTGAGGAAGAAGAGGCTACCCAGGGAGGCCAGTGGAATCGCGTTGTTGAGAAGTGGAAGGAGAAGGAGGACTGGAGGCTACTCAGATGGCCCAGTTTGAATCGTATTGTCGTTGTTGAGGAGGAGGATGAAAGAGGCTGTTCAGGTGGACCACTATGGATGTACTGTGTTGTTATTGTCGAGGAAGAGAAGTCTGCTCAGGTAGGTCAGTGAGAATCGCGTTTTTGAGAAGCAGGAGGAGTGAAGGCCGTTCAGATGGGCCATCGACAGAATGCGTTGTTATTGAGGAGAGGAAGAGGAGGAGGAGAGTGAGAGGAAGAAGAAGACAGCAAACCTGAACCACCTGACAAAGGAGGAAGGCAATGAGGTCACCTGCACCTGCCCTAACTAGATGTGGAGGGTAGAGGGTGTATCTGCACTACAAGTGTATATTCCCTACCGGTGCCCAAGTTGATAGGAAACGGTGGATATCAACATTCCAATCGAGGCCAAAGATCTTCTATGTATGTGTAAGGAATCGGGATTGACATTGCGGGTGCTGATTTATATCCGGCACGTCTCTGCTCTGGCTACAACTTGCAGTTGCATTGCCCAGGTGCCACCACGTGGAAGTGCAGAGTCTGATTTTAGCACTCTTCCTCCTCTTTCTATTGATATGTAGGTTGACACTTGCATGGTCAGACCCTTCCAGGACACCTCCGGTTGTTCGGCTATACAGCCTAATAATCCCGAGGGGCTTGGTCGAAGTCGCCATATGAAGCAGAGCAACAGACACACAGAGCTTTCCGAGATATCAACAACTACCAGACCACAGCCGTATAGAGTTTCTTTCACCCACTGTACCATAGGGAAGGGGGTTTCCCGCAATGTGGGTTGTATCGGCTAGTTGTATCAGGTGCAGGAAGCACTCCCGTACGGAAACTCGATCTTCATAGTCACCGTCAAGGTCTTCTTGTGCCGCAGTGCTGCTTTTAACGGGCGTGCTGTACTGCAAAACCCAGCTGCCATTCGATAAAATCTGGCGGAAGAAAATCATCTCCTCATACATGGCTAAGAACCCGTAGCGCATGTTGGCCAGCATCCTGTATTCTGCAATTTGGCTTTGTAATCTAGTTAGAATGCATATTATGTAGTGCAGGAGTGCAGTACCGAAAAGATGTCGAACCTTTGCCAGACCAAGAGCAAGAGACCTAGCAAGTTGATGGACTTCAACCCATGGCGTTTTGACCTCTCCAACAATCCTTAAATGGCCAGCAGTGGTCATGCAGAACATATCTGGGACCTTTCTGCCAATTCATGGGCCTCGGCCGCTTTATAGTCTGCAAAGCGGGTGTCCATATTTATCGACTTGCATACTATCGCCCCCATCACTTGTCCAACAGACGCGCCCCTGTACTCCTGACTAATTACTCACCACAACATATTCAACATTGATATTCGCCTCCGTGACCGCGACTCTGCTTGTCTACGAGATAACTGACGTATCACCGGTTAGTTCATACCGGGATTGCAGCTCGAACCTCTTCCTCGACATTGGCCACTCCTCCATGGATCCAACAAAGTACTTGTTGTGTAAAGCACTGGACTTAGAATTCCAAGCCCTCTAACAAGGTCGGGTAGGGGCAGTTTTATGAGGGCAATTGCTTGCGGTGCCATCGTTACTAGGTACCGGGAGGCCAGCAGATCAAGGACTGCTGCTCAAGACATGCGGAGCATAGTATTTAAATAAGTTAAGAATACATGACCCTATAGCCCCCTTGAAACTTATGGATCAATTAATTTACGCAATTCACACAACTTATACAATTCACGTAATTCATATAATTCATGCAGTTCAAGCGGTTCAAACGGGACAAAAGTCACAAAACAGTCGCCTCGGATTATATGAACCGTGGAATTTATGAGTTTTTCTAGGTGTGAAGAAGGTTTGGATTCCTTGAAATGACACTCGACCCATAGTTCGCCACGTCCCAAAATGCATTAGGAACCCATACCCAACTGTTGGTGCATATTGTGTTATATCAGCTCTACGTAGACTACCCTCTACCCCCTCCAGTCGACCATCCCTTCATTTGACCCTTCACGCTGTTAGCCTCAACTAAAACTACTTTTCTTCATCTCGTGACATTGTCATGGCATCTAATTGTGGACAGTCAACGAAATGACTGAAAGAACTTTTTTTGATGAATGGCCAGGCAGAGAGGTTGACTTTGCACGTGAAGGGGCTTCAACATGGACCTTGACGAAAGTGATCAGCGAGAAGAACAGCCAGGCTAGTGGTGATGACTTTTACAAGCATCGAGTCATCGGTGGTGCATATGGCACTTTCTTATGCCACGACTTGCTGGACGGCACTCGGCGCGGCGTGATGAAAATATTCATGCAGTATATTCCACTACCCAGGCCTAATGAAGCTTTACACAGCTCATGCATTCTCAGGGTTCCCTTTGAAGGAACTGAGTACGCGCCGGCTGAATTCAGGGCTAGTCAAGCCTCAGCCTCTTACGGGCGCGACTTTTTCATTACTAGTCAAGTAGACGCACTGAGAACCCTGACAATTAACGGCTGTCAGTCCACCCCGAGTATTATGATCATGAAGAACGACCTTCAGAAGGAAACAGACCCAGTGCCTGGTGGATATATTCTCTTCATTCTTATGAACTACCTACCTGGGGTGCAACTGAGCGAGGCTATCTTCTGGGGCTTGGACGCCTCGGGGCGTGAGCAGATACGCCAAGCCTTTAAACTTGCCTGGCTGTAAGTTTCTATCTTCTTCTATCAAGATACAAATTTTGACTCTTCTTCTATCGTCCAGCGATTGCCTTAGCTCGGGAATTTTACCGGCGCTCCAAGATATAGAGCACGTCTTCTGGGACGGAGCGGCGAACAAGGCGTACGTAATAATTCCTGTTGACAACGATAATGAGGTATTCTTTGGGCAAGATTAATGAAAAACGCTATCTAATTTATTAACAGTTATATCACCAGCTTTAGAATGAGTGAGCCTGCAGGGGCGGATATCGTGTGGCGGGATACCCAATGGATTGCTTGGGACATGGCGAAGCCTCAAGATAAATATGGCTGGTATAAGGACAAGAATCCTCACCCAGACATGAGCAAGTGGACACTCTGATCCTATGGGAGAAGTCCATCTTTGCTTTTACTTCGTGATAGGTTTTGAATTTATTCATTAGTACAGCTAATTGGAAAAACGGTGCAAATCTTTATACTCTTTGACCTTCACACACCACCTTTATAACATATTCTGATAACCTCGGGTACAGTTGACTGTCTTGAATAGTGAGAATCTATCTAATAACTTGTTAACCCGCAAACAGGTGTATCCTTCTGCTATATGGAGATATCATGAACCCACCAACGATCCTCCTGGGGGGTTATGTCGATTATACTCCACAGTGTGAATAGATAAGGGGGCAGCGGCGCTATAGTAGTGGGAAAGGCTATAGCTGATTACTCCTCTTCCTGACAATTTCCTTCCTGGACCTAGTCACATTCCCTCTATATCCGCAGATGTGAACGTTCAACAATTAGGATATATTTTTGTTCGGCTTGTATTATGGCAACGATGGCTTCCCTTACGCCTGATGTCTACACGATTGCGTGGATATGAGTTTATACTATCTTAATCCTAATTCGTATGCCAATCCATGGTGGTATTAAGTTATCTAACATCGGCTTGAATACAACTATTATACTGATACCAATTCCTGCTGGAACACATAGATGGTAGCGTTTAACTGGTTGGATGGCATGCTTATAAGATAAGAGAAATAAAATGGTGCAGGGAAAGGCTTGAATATCACAGGAGATTATTATGCGATTAGTAGGACCGTTTGAAGGGCTTAAGTGCTGTAATCTATATAGAAAACCATGGAGCTGTCACATTTATAGAGTTATAAGCACCCATGAGTAAAAATACTGTCGTAAGCCCAACGGCAGTTGAGCTGCTGAACAACCTACAGGTTATTCGAGTTACGTCGACTATAATAGCTATCGGTCTTTATGATCTTGTTCATGGCTACTCTCAAAACACTTATCTATCTTATATAGTTAATGCTATACTTCGTGGTCAGGTCATATACTACACCGAGAAACCCTAGCAAAGGCCAGATGACGGAATAGCCGACAATAGACATATATTCAGGTTTCTAGATACAGCGCTTCAGCTAATAAATTCTAAGCCCCTGTGGTCACGTGATATCATGGACCGCTCTTCCCCTGAGTTGGAAACATCTAATTTAAAATATAATACGTTAAACAACCTGGGTCAGCCGAGAATTTTGATTTATCGCTCGAAATCAAACATAATTGTCTGGATTACAATTGTAACTTGCAGACATGAATCCGTCTTTCTTCCTGGTTAGCTAGTTACCTGACTTTTGTTAAAAATGCAGAGCAGTGAAATCGTAACTGACAACACGCGGCCCGTGGTGACCGCGAGATTAGCGTGTTTACGGAGTAATATCTAGTAGTCTTTCCTTGTTTCTTGCGACAACATTATTCCTTAGCTACGTACGCATACCATCGTCTTTTTCAATCAGCAATGTATAGCATAGCTTGGAGTTTCACCTGCATGGCTCATGCCTATCCTTGCAAGCTACAGGAGCCAACTTACAACCCCAACCGTTGACCAAGAGCATCCTACGTTCAACTTATATAGCGACCGGATTGTATGCGTTCCTGTAGCATATATGAGTGGGGTTATAAGGAATTAAGGGGCTCAATGGCTTCACTACGCGAGACTAAGTATAGTATAACTCTTGGACTACGTAGCGGATATAGTAGCCGGTAAGCCGCGCACGGGCCGTTTTGACGAGGTTGTAGAGAAGGGTAGGATACCAGTACAACGTTCTCTATACCTTTGAATCCCCCGGATTTTCATAAGGCTTCATGCGACGGATGAGGAGGCTATGCTACACAATGTAGGATGACTGATCATCTTTGATGTTGCAACCGGGCCCAAAAGTATTAGATAAGCTTTCTAAAAACCCGTAACTAAATTAAAATCTAAAAATATGTTACAGAACCATACAAAATGAATACCCGATCCACTCGCCGCCTCGTCCCAGCCTACCAAATATGAGAAGCTCCAGGACGGAGTAATGATAATGAGAAGACTGGGAGACTCCACTCCTTGCTTCTTTTCTGCTGAACTATCCTCTTCGTGATGAATGATCTCATTCTTTTTTCCTCCCTGTATATAAGCCACCATTGATCTGGTGTAACGAATGTGATTGCACGCTAGCGTTACTTTGGCGCCTGCCATCTCTCATATCATCGCCGAGACTGGCTCAGCCTGCCCAGCCATCCGCCCATTCCGCTGGTTTGCCTAACCCACGGAGAACATTCTTTCCATCTTACCTTTCCAGAATCCTGACCATGAATTCCTTGTCGTCACATTCCGCATGTTGAATAGCTGAGAATTCACTGGATAGTCTATTTTGCTCCCTCCTCCTGGGGATTGCGGAGAATGTATATCCCATCTCAATATGGACGGCTTGTCGCCCGTCAGAGTGGCCCGCCGGGCGCGGACAACAATCATGAAGCTCGGTCCGAGACGTCTCGCAGGAATAATATCTTTATCATAGTAAGTCTATCGCCAGAGGATTCAGTGATCAGTCTCTCATCTTTTTTCCCCGACCTCGCTGACGAGTTATTGTGACAGTGCGCGGCGTCCATCGTCTTCGCATTAGCCGTCATTCTAATGACGTATTTCACCCTGCGCACCCTCCGCCGCATGAACTGTCGTCCAAAATACATCCCGGGGAAGTCTTTGAAAGACCGATGGAATCGCTGGCAAGCTGGAGCGTCATATGGTCAAGTTCCAAATGATGGGGCGTCATCAAATCGAGAGGGAACCGGCCCGAACACCAGGCCTGTGGAAGGAGGATCAGAAATGAATACCAATAGTGCAGTTCGCCGTGAGACCTCAGTCCGTTCCGTCATCACCCTTCCTGCCTATTCGTCGAGTCCGAAACCCTCAGAACAGGTCATTGCCCGAGAAGGAGAGCGGGGCGGCATGGATGTCGTCGTTGAATTCCCCGAGACTGCCGAGGAAGAGGAGTCCCGCAGGGAGGATCTGATGGAGTCCCTTTACCAAATCCGCCAGCAGCGAAGACAGGAGATAGCAGAGCGAGAGGTCAGGCGAGAGGAGCGTCGTGAGGCTCGTGCTCGGGGGGATTATATCCGTCTCGAGCAGCTTCGCCAAGAGAGTCGTGCTCGAGCCCAGAGCCGTTCTTCTGCCAACGGGAGCAACACCAATTTTTCCTCTGCATTGACTCTAGCAGAGGCTCGGAGTCGCGGTCGCGAGAGGCGCATTTCCAGTGTCAGCTATGCAGCATTGGGCTATGTGCGACACGATGGAACGCGTATGCGCAGCACCTCGCCTGATGGGCCTGATACGGATTCTCGCCCTCTTCTATCCAACACCGATACGATAAGCACGGAAACGGCCAATCGTTCATCCACATCTAGTCTGACAAATGTTCATTCACGCGGCGAGTCGTACTCATCCGCTCATTCCGCAGACACTGCGGCATCTGAACAAGATAGCTTGACCCCAGTCCAATCGCACGCTGCTTCCACCCACTCGATGATTCCGAGTTCTGGCGAAGGCGATTTAGGGGCTCTTCATATCCCCCCTCCGGACTATGAACAGCTGGACTGGGGAGACGCGCCTCCGTATGAAAGTCCAACCGCAGAGCGAGGTAACCAACCGCCGCAGTTGCGGGAGCTCACTCCTCTGCCTACAATTCAAATCGAGCTCGCCAGCCCTGTGAACAACACGCCTACTACGCCTACAACCCCCCACCGCGAAGAGCATAGCCCATCAGAAAACCAAGGCACTCACCGCGACTCTTAGTCCTTAATTCCCTTGTCTGCATCCCTACTCAGTTGATGTCGTATACTTGTTGTTCCTTGACATCTTCTCTACCATCTCTGGCGTGCTTAGACTGTTACGAGCTTACGACGTTTAGATTCCCCACTGTGTGGCCAATTGATTGTTATTAATAGCGCATTCTGACTCTGTTCCTTCCCTAATCACAAGCTTGGTTTCACCTCGCGAGCATGGCGTTCGGATGACATGTATACGGCTTTATGCGAACCTCTACATGTATATAAGGAGTGCTTTGTATGGATTTATTGAACATATTACACCAACGCTGATTGACGGTAAACTGGACGTTCCTCGTCCCCACAACGTCCAGGGCGTTTGGCTCACGGAGTAGAAACCTACCGCTTGGAAATAAATTTTGCCTTGCCCGGCCAATGGCGCGTGCCCCGAACAGTAGAATTGTGTCTATTCTTAACTGCGTTTCATTAACAGTGGGGGATCGTCATCAATGTCCTTTTAGAGGTGTATTTCTACAATCTTCGAAACTTGGATCATTCGCGCTCATCTGAGATCGTTAGACACAGAGCTCCGATCTTGGTGCGAAATGCATTCTACGGGTTTCGCAGAGTAGCCCCCAATATTATTAATGGCATGTTTTGTACAAATGTTCCTTCAGGACACATACCGAAGCGTCTTGGACAATGACACTCACCGTCCCAGCCTACAGCGGGAATCTTGGTGTGCCATTGACGAGCGGGCTTGAGATTGTTACTACCCACTATGCGGTATACAACGTCTCCAACTCTACTGTTACTAATATTGGGGGGTGACTGGAATGAGATCTGTCTCAACTAACTCTCTGAATATCGACCGATATGGCTACTTCTAGTCTCATGGGTGACCTCGATCTGGTTGGAGACCACGATGCCTTTGAACACGGTGCTGTCGGCCACAGGCTCCGAGTATATGTGCATATTCTGCATCTTAACATCCTCGACTATCCGTTCCTTGCTCTCACTGAATGTCATGTTGGTGATGGGGTTCACGCTAGGGGGTCCGCGTCGACTTCGATAATTTCGGCCAGTGAATTCGCTACCGCCGATACACGGTGACTTGTATGAGGTCTTCTCGGTCGATTGGAAGGCACTGCCGAAGAGCACGTTGAGCCAGGATCTGAAGAGGTGGAAGATCATCGGGAGGTTGGTGGTGACGACCGCGACAAAGGTCTCGCGTGTGCCCCATGAATTGGCAATTTCGGCGCCGTTCAGTGGGTCCTAGTATGTGGTTTAGAGATGGCCCTACGTGAAGGGAAAATGACTTAGACGTACCGTGATAAGGAAGACGCTCTTGAGAGTGGCGCAGACGAGAACAAACACACCGGCGCCCAGCACAACGGTTGTCGCGATTTTCTTGATAAGCTTCAGGCTAGACTTCCACAACATGGGGATTGGTATGAAGATGAGGTATGGGTCGGTGATGATGTTGGCGATGAAGGTGACCCAGATAACCGCCTTGGAGATAGCGGGCTGACAGGTGTCTAAAGGTGAGAGTTCAGGTTAGCGGGGCATCCGATATCAGAAGAGAGGGATACATACTTCCAGGGTCTGGGTAGATCTGCCAGTAATTGTGGAATGGCCGGCAGGCTGCAAGAATGACGATGATACTAGCCATGAAGCTTCCAATGACAAGCGCAAACCCAGCCCAAACTGGAATGCGATAGCGGTGACCAAGGCCATTCTGCGGTATGTCAGTGACTGGTCATTATATACAGTGACCAATATTCGGGTTCCTACCGTGAGCCGGACGTAGAAGGCCATCATTGACAGCTTCAGGGACGCAATCAACGCCATATAAGTAGCCCAGCCCGCAACCTGGATTTTCGAACCGACCACTCTATCATCGCTGTTTTTTAGCTTCCACGGCGCTTTATGCTTGTCAACTGAGGTACGACGCACCTTTGATAGTATTCTGGATCGTCAATAGACAGTGACGCGCGCTGGCCGTCTGTCATTCCACTGTTCGCCAGGCCATGGGCCACACTGCTCACGCTATATGCAAGCGCTGTCTGCGCCGTGTAGAATAGCTTTCAGTAAATTAGCATTGATTGAAGATAGGATACAGTCAATTTTGAGGATACGCACAATTCCAACCCATACCAAGTAGTCGTCGGCCGCAAATTGCTTCCACCCCACGGCTCTGTATCGTGCATATGTTCTAAGCAGCGTTATTGCCACTCCAAAGGAATACAGTGTCCATAACTCCACCACAGCAGGACTGAGCATCTTGCGCAGCAAGCGTTATCCCAAGGCGGTCTTTGTCGACATTTGTCAACAGCAGGTTCGGATGAGCGTGGGGAACATAAATCGAGAATGATGCCTACTAGCGCTTCTCTGACGCCAGCGACAAGAAAGTTCTCACTCTTGTTTCCATTCTTCAGCCCCCGATAACGCCACCAATCTATTGTAGCCGAGGAAAATTGCAAACAAACGGTTTCTATACTAGAGGAGCGCTAGGGTTGGCCGTGGTCGCATGAGCCAATCGCCCGATCCCACTATAGTGATTTCAGTGTCCACCCGGACAGTACTCCATATTAATCAATTACCGTTGCATTGGTTCCGGCCGAAGGATCCGTCCAGCCTGCGTCGACCGACGATGGCAACGATAGCGAAAAATCGGACCGAGCAAATTTGTGCCGACTTTTCCTGATTTCCTCGCTTCCCTGTTTCCACATTGAAAGGGCAATCCTACCTAGCAGACATGAACCGATCGCAAGCAGCGCAGCAGCAGGCGATATGACAAGAGTGGGACACGGCGGGATCGCTTGATGGTTCCGACTGATGGCCCCGAGGCTTCCGGATTCCAGTAGGTCGAGCCCGCAATGGGGCGATGGCAGGGGCGCCCCACTGTCCATTAACTCCTACTAGTAGTACTAGTAGTACCCAGTACCCAGTAGTAGTGCATGCGCCAACGCACGATGCAATTGCTTGGTCAGAAGAAAATAACAGCGCAAACTAGGCTACTCCAGGCTCGATTTCCGAGACCCATTATTCCAGATTACTCAAACCAAACTGTTGCTGCTGCCCCGCGACCCCCCTGAACTAATCGATAATGTTCCTGCAGCTCCTACATAAGCGCCGCAGCCCGCTTGCAGGGTTTGCTCGGTTGTGAGGCAGTAGAGTTTCTTGATCTCTCGCATTCCAGAACCGTCCTCGTCACCATGTACTTACTCAAGATGGAGGCCTTCACGGCCGTCGCCGTATGGGCCATGACCTCGGCCTGTCGCAGCGTGCCCGTCGCGCGCGATTGGGCCAATGGTCTGTGCCCGCGGAGTGACGCCGATCTGCAGGAGCTTGGGGCCAAGCTTTCCAGCACGGCCAAGGTGTACTTCCCTGGCTCGTCTGAGTTCGAGCTCGCATCCGCACGCTGGTCTACACTGGCCGAACCCAATGTAACAGTCGTTGTGGTTCCCGGCACCGAGAGCGATGTCGCCGAGACGGTAATCCTTCCCTTAAATGAGACCGGAAGGAACCATAGATTGATGGCTGACTCTGTAAATTGCTCAGGTGAAATACGCCAACAAGAAAGACCTGCCCTTCCTCGCATACAATGGCGCCCACGGAGCCCTCACCTCCCTCGGCCAAATGACCCACGGGATTGAGATCTCCCTGAGTCAACTGAGCAGCGTTGAAGTCGCTGAGGATGGGAAAACGGCCAAGTTCGGCGGCGGGACCATCTCCAAGACTGTCACCGATGAGCTGTGGAAAGTGGACAAGCAAGCAGGCAAGTCTATAGCCTCTGTCATAACAATTTCAATTTAATTTTTCCAGGATGCTGACTTTTCGAAACAGTGACTGGAACCTGCGAGTGCGTCAGTCTTCTCGGACCGGCGCTTGGAGGCGGACACGGCTGGCTTCAGGGACACCGCGGCCTTGTTGCAGACCAGTTCATCTCCATGAATGTTGTTCTTGCCAACGGAACCCTGATCACTGTTGACGAGAAGTCAGATCTGTGGTGGGCGATGAAGGGAGCAGGCCATAACTTCGGCATTGTCACCTCTCTTACTACTAAGATTTTTGATCTTGAGCACCGCGATTGGGCTATCGAGACTATTACCTTCAGCGGTGATAAGGTCGAGGCTGTCTACCAGGCCGCCAATGACTATCTCTTGAAGAACGGCACGCAGCCTGAGGGTGTCATCAATTGGTCCTACTGGATGAACGACGCGACTGCGGACCCTAACAACGTGAGTAGATCAACCGACCGATGCATTGAGTCATCCTCTAACCCGACCCTCTTTAGCCTGTCATCGTCTTCTACATTATCCAAGAAGGAGTGAAGACCGTGGACTCCAAGTACACCAAGCCCTTCCATGACATTGGACCACTATCCGTGGTGCCTGACAGCGGCACCTACAAGGACCTCGCTACCTGGACCGGCATTGCCAGCTCCTCCATCCCATGCCAGAAGGCCGGCTACTCCAACCCCCGTTTCCCTATCTACCTCGAATCGTATAATGTCCAGGCTCAAAAGAAGATCTGGGATGTCTTCGCCCCGGCTATCCGCGGAAACTCGGTCTTCAACAATTCAATGTTCCAGTTCGAGGGATACTCTACCCAGGGCGTTCACAACATTGACAGCCGCTCGAGTGCATTTGCTTTCCGCAGCGAGAATCTCCTTGTCGCCCCGCTCATCAACTACCTGCCTGGCGGCCCAGACCGTGACCGCCAGGCGCGTGCCTTGGGCACCAAGCTTCGCGACATTCTCCACGAAGCAAGTGGTCGCAAGGACCTGCGCGCGTACGTCAACTACGCCTACGGAGATGAGACACCAGAGCAGTTGTACGGCAGCGAGCAGTGGCGTCAGAACCGCCTGCGATCGTTGAAGCAGAAGTATGACCCAGAGGGCAAGTTCAGCTTCTACGCTCCCATTCCTTAGATATGGGCGTAAGGGTGTGAGAATTGTACATATCACCGGGAATTCTACTAGACCAATGTATATTAGTTGTACCGTTGTTGTAGACGAAAAAATGAAAAAATGAATAAAAATGCATTTATATCTTCAAGTTATAGCATGCCCTCCAATTGTGATCCCACAGCCACGCCACTCTAGGGATGCATGCAATATTCCGATGGACGAACCTAAACTGACTAGCTTTAGACCTAGATCATATATATATATCCTTACATACAGCAATAGTTCGCCATTCGAACCCAAATCACCTGATATTTACAGCACATCTCGTTTGTCAATAAGCGACATCACCTTCAGCAGTGCTGGAGAAGTTGCGCGATGAAGCCTTTAAACATGTCGGCGCCAGTTGAACTGCGTGAGAATGACCCCATCCTGCCCATATGTAGGCAATATTTGATACAGATGGTAGCAATGCATAAATGTCGCTAAGTGGTGACCAGCCTACCCGCCTAGACCTCTACACCAACCATATCATCAAGAATACTACAAGAAAAATCAACATATCCGGAAATTACTTTTTGAAGGCTGATTATTACACGGAGTCGAATGCGGCACATGAATGACGTGGAACATAGTTTTATTTATGCCAACCGCACGAAAGGCGGTCGCACGGCGGCAGTTGAACTCCACCCAAGTAAACAAACCACTAACAACTCATCCCAACCTCCTCAATTTCGACCCGCTAGACCCATCCATGCAATTTACACGTTCAGTGCAGTCGGCGATGCCATTGAATTGACTGCGGGAAGACTTGAATTTGCCATCGCATACAACGCGCCCGTTGAACATCTATTTTCTCTTGTGTTGATTATTGCCTGTCGTTGAAGCTCGGAAGTCGCGGTGGCCGACGCGCCATCTAAGCTTTCCCTTTTCCTACGCTTTGATTTCAACAACGTCTAGAGCGTCTTTTTGGATGTCTCAGACAGAATTGTAATTAATTTGCGTCTATCTTCTGCTTTGATACCGCATCTAGTCACACACACACACACCACACTCGCAGCCAATATGTCGCGCGAGCATACCGCGAACAGCTTCGCGTCATTCGGCTCGGACTTTGACCTAGAGCACGAAGCTTTCGCGTCCACCAAAGAAGTCGGCCACAGCCCAAAGCTTCCAGATATGAAGGACAGCCTTGGAAAGTCCCGACGCGAATCTGATCATGACGAAGAACCCGACTACGCCATTAACTCCTCCATGCTAGAACGCTACTTCCCAGAGTTCTCGCAGGCTGGTTCATCGGAGGAAGACGACCTCCCTGAGGACGATGAGTTCTCTGTAGAGGTTGGCCGGGGCCCCGCAAAACCTGCGCGTCGCCTAGATGATTCGCGGAATTCGTACATGAGCATCGAGAACAGTGTCCGATCTTCGTCGCCCGCCGTGAGACTCGACTACCCTACCTTTACTCCCCAGAAGCCAGCCACACGCAACACGTCGCGCAGAGCGGCTAGCGAGAATCTTCGCAAAGATGCTCAACTGAGACGGGCAAGTCTCGCTCAAAAAGAAAATGTCGACCCGCATACTTCTAAATTCAAGGCGAGTAGCCAACGACGGACGCTATCCGACATGCATGCAAAGGTACGCGACTCTTATGACGGCTCTTTCCTCGGAGACGAAAGACCCCCGGCAGCCACGAATAACCCGCGTACGACACGCTTCGGCAGCCACCAGATTGCCGACGCTGTGGAAAGAGCGTCGCAGGAAGCATATGCTCGGGAAATCAGAAAAGGAAAGCAACCCGCCAACTCACGGCTGGCGTACGTGAACACGGCTGGTGATACTGCTACGCAGCAGTCATTTCTGCTCCCCGATCTTCCCAATCTCTCCGAATTGGTTTCTGGTGTATACGAAGACGGCACGCCAGTTTTCACGCGTCAAAACCGCGCACGAACAACACGTTTCGTGTCTCCTCCTCATGATGCTACCGACGTGTCGTTGACTCGTGATCATATCCCTCTTGATGCTGTCCCGATCCCAGAAGATGAGAAGGCTCTATTTGTATCCCTGAGGCTTCTCCAGGATAAGGTCTCGGAGCTTGAGAGAGCCAAGGCGGAAGCTGAAAGGAAGATTGAAGAGGTCAAAAGTGAGAACGCTACCCTCAAAGCCGGCAAGCCTCGTGCAAAGGATAAGCATAGCCGGTCCAAATACGACACCGATGAGGATGACCACCGGAAGGATCGTCTGACCAATGAGAACCGAAGTATGTATACTTACTACCTTTTACCTTCTCCTGGTGCTAACGGATTGCTCTAGAGCTTGACGCCACCAACCTGGCTCTGCAGAACAAGCTGGATGTTGTAGAGCGCAAGGTCGAGATCCAAGAGGCAGCATTGAAGAGATTGAACCGGGAACGTGATATGGCGGTTTCCCAATTAGGGGTAGCCTATCTCGAATCCCAGGATCTTAAAAATGAGATCGAGGACCTTCGGCACGAAAATGCGGAGCTAAAATCCCAACTGGTGAAACTTGCTCCATTCATCTCAAAAAAGCGCGAAGAGACCCAACAATCGGAACAGACGTCCGCATCTGAAGCAAGCACTGAAGCCAGCCAAGACAACACACATAGTAGAAATGTGAGTCGGGCAACCAAGGAGCTCACTAGTAAGAGTGCACGATCGAAGACCGGGCGCCGGGAAGATTCCAAGGCGAGAATTTCCACCCAGGTTGACAACGAAATTTCGCGACTCGAGAAGGAGCGAGCGGACGAGGCTCTCTTTACCATTGACTTACCGCGATCGAAGGAGCCATCTTCCAGCACGAGCAGATCAGGACAGCGTACCCAGACCAAGAAGTCGAACACAGGCAAGCAGCGTGTCAAGCGAGTGGTTGTGGAAGAAGTAGATGTCACCGAACCCGTTGATTCAACCGTTGAAGCAACCGGGAACACCAAGAAATCGTCCGGGGAGGACCTGACCTTGCTGAGCTTTATCGACGTAAGTAATCGTAGAATTATTTGATCTAACCGAAGCTTATCATGTCTACAGGAACGTGAAATTGCCCAGCTGCGAAAGACTTTAGAAGAAGAAAGATTGGCGCGCAAACGACGACAATCAAGCACCTCCAGGGATCACACTTCTAACGAAACAGAGAACACGACCCGTCGGAGTGTGTCTAAGTCGGCGGCGCCTCGGAAATCATCCCTAAAAGAACCCAAGGATATTCCTACGAGGCCGGCCTCGGCTATGGGCGACGTGACTGCGACTTCCAAAGCCAGTGAAAGGGACAGTAACTTGTTAGTGCCTATTGAACGTCCTAGGCGACACTCAGACCACTCTGCTACCCCCCGCCGGAAGCGCCAAGTTTCCGAAGATATGACGTCGGCATTCATCCTGCCTGACATCACACTCCACCGGGCTGACCTAGCAGCTGAAAATCCGGCGCGTCTGCCTCAGTCTGCCCAACGGGCACTGGACAGCGCCACCCAACACAATGGCAAGAACTGCACGGTGTGCAAGCGTTCGATTCCCGGTGACTCGTGTGACCACACGCGAGAGTCGGTCAAGATCCCTAAGCCTATCCCGGTGTCGGAGCGTATGCCAGAACCATCAATTTACAACGAAGAACCTACGATGCGCCCCGCACAGCCGCCAGCGGTTGCCCTTGCTACAGTGCTCAAGGCGTTGGAGGACGAGCTTTCACATCTGAAGATGCAACTTCTGACGTACCAGGGGGCGTACAACAAACTAGACGCATCATTGAGCAAGCGCCAAAGGAAATCGCTTTCTGCAAAGATCGAGAAGCTGCTGAAGGACATCGACATGAAGGCTGACCAGATTTATGCATTGTACGATGTTCTTGAGGGCCAGAAGAGTAAGGGTCAGGAGATGACCGAGCAGGAGATGGAGGTGACTCTCCAATCGATTGGCATCGACGTGGGAGCGGCAAGAGCCGCTGATGTGACTGCTACTACTGATAAGTCGTCACAGAAAAATGAAACAGACTATGATATTGATGATGACGAGGACCTTCCATGGGAAGGAATTGAGAGTACGATGGATGTCACTGGTGGCAGCAATCACAATTGATAGATGGGATATTGCCGAAGGATTCGTTACCTATCAGACGACTGATGTTGTCTCTTTCTTACTCCACCCCTTCCTTTCCTTTTTCTTTTTGTATTTTCCTGTACCCCTCCCCTTTTCTCTTGATATCCCTTCTTTCCTTGCAACGGGGACGCACGATGAATAGGCCGGGTTTAAGACTGACTTAAACGAGTATGTCCCTGGGCTGAGAATCATGCTTCTGTATCAGGAAAGAAACTAACCCCAGAGGAATGTGTCCGCTCATTCATTGAGCGTTGACTGTTCTCGGGTGCCTTGGCCAATGCCTTTGTTGCTTGAGATCAGCCTGAGCGTTGATTGACCTGGGCGGTCTCCGTCAGACTTTGAGCTCGTAACTAAACTTGTCCCCTCTTTACTTGGAGTTTCTTCTGTTCTTTCCTGGAAATGGCGTCTTGTGTCCGGCTGCATTGGTGTATGTTAGGCATTGTTAATTTGCTGTATTATGATGTGGGATAGGGATTTGGATAAATGCTAGTAATACCACAGTTCAATCGGACCCACTCCGTCAGACCCGTTGATCTGATAGACTCAAACGGGTATAGCGTGCATGTCGCCATGCTTCGCCGGCCTTAAATCTTCTTCCCCAACTCAACCAAACTTCTTTCCTATACAGCAAATCGCCACCTGACCTTGTATCATAACCTCAATTCTTAGATCTCACTGTCGAGTGTCATCGGGTGCCTATTGTTCCTACTTCGTTTTGATGGGACCGAGTCAACTGCGTGTAATTCCACCTCGCCCTATTGACGATGTAGATACCGGTATTACTACCGAAGATAACGACTCCCAACGCTCTCAACACAGCAAAACTCATTCACCACCAGAAGGTAATAATCCTCTGGCATCCGCACATTCTTACCACGACACTCTTGATGAGCATGATGGCACTGAAAGCGTAGATACCGTTATTTATGATGGTGACTCTACTCAAGATCGCTTACTTGCCGGCGCGTCGGTAAGTCGCCGGCATCGGGGTATTTCCGACGATAGCGAAGATGAAGATGACAGCGACAATGGCCCGGCGGAATCCTCCAGTGAGAAACCAGTAACATGGCGCTCATTGCCTAAAAAGGGCCAGCTTGCCATCTTGACCTTTGCACGTCTGTCCGAGCCATTGGCCCAGACGTCTTTGCAGGCATATCTGTTCTACCAGCTTCGGTCTTTTGATCCCTCCCTTCCCGACTCCACTATCTCGGCACAGGCAGGCATCTTGCAAGGTAGCTTTACTGCTGCACAATTTGTGACTGCCATTTGGTGGGGTCGACTGGCAGATACTGAGTGGATGGGCAGGAAACGGGTCCTCATCATTGGGCTGTTGGGAACATGTATTTCGTCCCTCGGGTTCGGATTTTCGAGAACGTTTGCTTCCGCGGTGGTGTTCCGGATTCTAGGTGGTATTCTGAATAGCAATGTCGGAGTGATGAGGACGATGATTGCCGAGATTATTCGCGAGAAGAAGTGAGTTCGCACAGCTGCGAAAACGTCAGACCGTCTGTTCAAATTGCAAGGCGCCTAACAAGTAATTATAGGTTTCAGTCTCGGGCGTTTCTCCTGCTACCGATGTGTTTTAATATCGGAGTTATTATCGGGCCTGTATTAGGAGGCATGCTGGCCGACCCCGTGAGGAGCTATCCGGATCTGTTCGGACCTGGGTCGTTGTTAGGAGGCAAAGATGGTGTGGGTTGGATGTTGCATTGGCCATATGCACTGCCGAATCTACTCAGCGCCGTGTTCATTTTCGCTTCTTTATTGGCCGTAATCCTCGGATTAGACGAGGTAAGCGTCACTAGGCTTGCCTACCTTCCAGGTCGCTAATAGATGTCCTAGACCCATGAGGTTACTCGGCACCGAAGCGATTGGGGCCGGAAGTTAGGCAAAAGACTTGCCAATACTTTCTCCCGTCGTCGGATCCCGCAGTATTACCGTCCCCTTGTCAGTCACGAGGACGATGAATCTCTATACATTGATGGAAGCATAGCCAGCAGATCAGCACCCCCCAGCCCAGCTCGCTCACGCGTTCGGCCTCGTGGTGATCGTCCCAGCTTTCGTCAGATTTGGACGCCCAATGTGTTGCTTACCTTGCTGGTACATTTCTTATTAGCATTCCACACCAGCGCCTGCAACTCTATGACTTTTGTGTTCTTGCCTGCCCCCCGGGCTCCGGAAGGTAGCCGAGACGGTCTCTTCCATTTCGGTGGTGGTCTGGGATTGCCATCCTCTCGAGTTGGTCTTGCCACTGCTATTATCGGGTTCATTGGCCTACCGCTGCAGATATTCATCTATCCTCGAGTCCAGTCCCGTCTGGGGACCTTGGCTTCTTTCCGCACGTTTCTGCCATTCTCACCGTTAGCTTACGCGCTCATGCCATTTATCGTCCTGATACCGCGATACCCGTGGCTGGTTTGGCCTGCATTTACGGTTGTTGTAGGGTTGCAGGTGGTCGCACGAACGTTTGCCCTCCCGGCTGCGATCATCCTTGTAAATAATAGCGTCACGGACCCCCGCGTCTGGGAACCGTTCATGGAGTGGCGCAGAGCATTGCAAGCGGCGCGCGTACTCTGGGCCCGTTGATTGGGGGATGGGGCTTAGGACTGGGGCTCAAGTACAACATGGTGGGCGGCATATGGTGGGCCCTGGCGGTGGAGGCCATAGTAGGCTGGTTCTTGCTTTGGTCGATCTACGAGGACAATGGGATTGAGCAGAAGAAGGATCAAACCGAAGAAGAGGACACCTGAATGAGGTGTTAAGTACATAGCACATGTCATAAGATCTGGACCGCATGGTCTGTCACGAGCTTATGAGTCTACAAAATACGCATACAATAGACGCATTAGATACCAGTGTATTTAATCGATTCAATAATCTCAGGTCATTAACTTCGTTAACTTTTTTCCGGGCAAGCAGTCGTTATGGCTTTTCGTTGCTCAGCGATGCTTGATAGCATTGGTTTACTGAGCATATGTCCCAGTATTTATTACGTTCCAATTTCGGACCAGCTAGCAGATAGCGACAGGAGTTATAAAAGCCTTGATCGCCTGCTTAGCATCTCCATTATTGGATTTCAAGAGCTCTGTCGCCTTGACCTTCGTTAAATCTAACTGCTCGACCTGCAGCCATTGATCCATGTCAGACTACCCGGAATGATGGGGAGAAGGACTATGATAGCAAAAACACACCAAGAGGCTAATGTCTTCCGAGGTAACTTTCACGGCTTTCTTCCTGACTACCTCTGCCTCCTTCTGCGGCCCAGCCGTCTTCTTGCCGGCATCCTGCCCCGCAGCGATCTCCAACCGGCTCATCGCCTTCCCCAGTGCCTCCTGGTCGGCGGATACAGGCGGCTTGGCACCTGAGTCCGCACCGATCTCAGTGGTGTTCAGAGAGGAAAGGGCAGCGGCGGCTTTGCGGTCTTCCGCGTTTGCGGGGCGGTGCTGGTCGACGGCGCCGGGTTCAGAGTGGGCAGAGGGGATGGAGTCAGACATGGTCAGTAAGCTTAAGTAAGAAGGTTTGGTCGAGTCCGGAAAGAGCTTATATCCAGCCTAGGGTAGATTGTGGGGACGAGATCTCGTTTGATGTGATAGAGGTTGAGGGGATTTGATGGTGAACGGAGAGAGGCATGACGCCAATACGCCAGCCCATGCCCCTGCCCGATTAGGACTAGTGGCCCCGTGTGACTCAGGCCGTGTATAACCGGCAGTTTTTCCCCTCGAAGTTTTTTGTTTGCTTGCCAGATGTGGTGTAACAAATTTCTGTCAGGTTGAGGGTCATCTGGCACCGACGTCGCTCAATTCGTTGGTTTTCCTACGCAGGATCCGTCTAAACCACCTTTCTCGTAGCCATCGAATCATCAGGTACCCGTCGATCCTTAGACTCCACATCATGGACCCTTGGACTCCTAGCTGTGCGTGCCCCGGATATGCCCTTTTCCCCGCCAGATAGCGTATAGCCGCCCTGGATGCTGACACTGGAATCCCCACCAGCCTGGGCTTCGAAACCCATCAAGCAAGATGTTCCTTACAATGACGCCAAAGGTGTTCAAGCCGCTTTGGATAAGTTACAGAAATTGCCTCCGTTGGTCACTACGCAAGAGGTATATACTCTCATTCTTTACGTCGATATCCTAATATGACTCGGATGCTGACTCAATTGACAGATCACCAACTTGAAGAAGAACTTGAAAAATGTCGCATTGGGAAAGGCCTTTGTACTCCAAGGAGGTCCGGACTCATCCATTCCTGATTCTACGAGCTCTAGTCGCTGATCCATTAATAGGAGATTGTGCGGAGCTGTTTGACTACTGCAACCAAGACATGATCGAGGCTAAAGTTAAGCTGCTTTTGCAGATGAGCTTGATCTTAATTTGGGGTATGTTTCTCGCCAATCTGCCCTATGCCGATATTAACGGTTACAGGTGCCAATAAGCCCGTCGTCCGTATTGCGCGGATAGCAGGGCAATTTGCCAAGTGAGTTCTCTAGTCTTCGGTTGGGTTACCATTCGCAAACCGCTCTAACGTGATCAGGCCGCGGTCGAGTCCCATGGAAGTTGTCAACGGCGTTGAGATGCCTTCATTCCGTGGAGACAACATCAATGGCTTCGAGGCCACCCCGGAATCCCGCAAGCCAGACCCCTCGCGGCTGGTCTCCGCATACTTCCATTCTGCCGCCACGCTCAACTACCTGCGCGCATCACTAACCTCTGGTCTGGCCGACCTCCACTCCCCACTGGACTGGGGACTCGGTCATGTCATTACCCCGACCATCAAGGAGAAATACGAGCGCATCGTCAACAGGGTCAAGGACGCCCTGCGGTTCATGCAGACCGTGGGGATCGACACCGACCGCGGCGTAGAAACCGTCGACATCTACACAAGTCACGAAGGTCTCCTACTGGAATACGAGCAGAGTCTAACCCGCCTGTCGAAAAACCCCGCCACTGAAACTACCCACCCTGCACAAGCCCCCGGGGCAACTACAGCCCCGGCGCCCCCGCAAAGCTACTTTGCTACCTCCGCCCACTTCCTCTGGATCGGCGACCGCACCCGTCAACTGGACGGCGCGCATATCGAGTTCTTCCGCGGCATCGCCAACCCGATCGGTATCAAGATTGGGCCCAGCATGACCCCAGACGAACTCGTGCGCATCCTCGACGTCGTGAACCCCACTCGCGAGATCGGCAAGGTGACTCTTATCTCCCGCTATGGTGCGCAGAAGATCGCCCAGCATCTTCCCAGCCACATCGCCGCCGTCCAGGCCTCCGGCCACCTGCCCGTCTGGCAGTGCGACCCCATGCACGGCAACACCCAGTCCACGCCCTCCGGCGTCAAGACTCGCCATTTCACCGACATCCTCTCTGAGCTGCGTCAAGCTTTGGAAATCCACAAGGCGGCCGGCTCGTTCCTTGGTGGCATGCATCTTGAGCTGACCGGCGAGGCGGTCACGGAGTGCGTTGGTGGTGCCGGCGGTTTGACCGAGGAGAACTTGTGTGAGCGGTACACGACGTTCTGTGATCCCCGGTTGAATGAAAAGCAGGCGTTGGAGTTGGCGTTCTTGGTGGCTGGATTCTACCGCGAGATGGACGAAGAGACGAATTCAATCTAACGAGGAAATGTGGATACTCTATCTCGAGGGGGGGTGGGGTTTTTTCCTTTTACCTTTTTTTTCATCTACTTGGAATATAAAAGCATGAAAGCATGAGATAATGACGATCGAAATAAAAGTGTCATACAATAGGACCTAGCATAACCACAATAGTAAACCAAACAACATTAGACATGATTCAATATCAATTCTTGCAAACTACTCTATAGCCGCTATCAATAAACCCACGCAGATCCTGATTGTGCCCCGAAGTCCCTGCGTCCCTGGTAACACTGTTCAGGAAATTGAGCCAAAGCCTGCGACACAGATGCTTGCAAGAGCCGCTGTTTATACCTATCGTCACTTACTGAATTTGCTTCTTTTTCGCGTCCTTATCTTCCTCCCCCATACCTCCTCCACCTTACTATGTTGGGTTCCTGTTTTGATAGTTGTTCGCATATAATGTTGGCGTGGCTATGGCATGGCCTGGGATATACTCAAGATCCATGATGTGGACGTGTGTGCCTACAGCAACTTACAAAGATCATACTGAACAATAAAATATCCAATTGACACCTGTACATTACAAAATCCAACTGCTAAGGGGTATGATATTTGAACAAGAGACCCAAACCAATGTACGAAACACCAAAAAAAGTCAAACAAGCAATTATGGTACCAATGGGCTGCCGATCTTGGGTTTAAAAGCAAGACTCTTCCGTCTGGCGGCCTCTAATTTCACCCGCAGCTTCTGTGAATGCTCCTCGCTTGGGCCTGGGTTGGAGAAAAGTCCCTGTCGGAGCTGCTTTGGAGGACAGGTCTGCTGGACCAGTTTCGACCGTTGAGATAGGAAGAAGGGGGTTGCAGGGGACATGCCAACGGAGTCCATGTTGAAGGTGAAAGCAGGGGTTTTGGGGGTTTGGAAATATCTCGGGTCGATTCCTGGGTGACCAGCTTCGGATCTCTTACTCCTCTTGGGAGTTGAAGGCGCATCGCGCGCACTGGATGTGGTCGTTCGCGTGAAATCGGCAGCGCCCACCCCGGAACGTCGACTACCGGCATCGACTTTGACAAGGGTCCCGTTGACATTGCTCAGTGCGCGGGGCTCCATGCTCTTTCTGCGCTTGGCTCCTCCACGCGGGATGATTGAGCTGTCGACGGCATAGTGAGCCTCGTCAAGCCACTTGTTTTCTCTTTCGCAGTCCAAGACCCAGCCAACACCGACGCACTTGACCAGACCCGCAGCTTGCCTAACTTTTTCCATAGTTCGCACACCGCCATCCTTATAGACGACATGAGTGATGCCGACTTTGCCTTCCCTGGTCTCTGTCTGTTCATCCGGAGACACACTCGCGCGGGGATTCCAGGACCAGTTCTTAACACATCGCGCACCCATCTGCTGCAAAAGCTCGACAAAAATGCCGCTAGCATCCTCTCCTTCGGTCGTGTGCACGTCCACGTATACAATAGCTCCCTGCAAGGCTCCGGGGGGAGTCGGCTGGAAGATGCTGCTGCGCCTGCGAGGAGACTTGGCAGGGCTGGGAGAACGAGAAGGCGCCCTTTTCCGTTCGCTCTCCTGTGGTGCATCCCGAGCCCTAGAGCTGCTTCTCGATCGAGTAGGTTGCAATTGTGGCATTGCACTATACGATAACCTTGGTGCCTTGCGAGGGGGGAGGGAATCAGTGTCCTCTTGGAGAGCGAGGATCGATTTGCGCAGTCGAGGGGAGGAGCGCGTTGGTGATGTGATGGAAAGAGAGCGACCTCGCTTACGGGACACCTTCAACGGGGACACTTCCCCTTCCGGCTTCAGGGGTACCTTGGACACGGTGTGGAATGTTTGCAAGGGGTTGGTCTTGCCCCGCACAGGCGTGGCCGGCGCGGGAAGCTCAACTGCGTGATTTTCTTTTTCATCATCCAACGTTTCTTGGATCGTGGCAGCTGGACGCAGTGGGCTCTCGTAAACAATGGAAACTTGCGTATCCTCACAAGCATCAGTCTGCTGATTTTCCACAGGGTCCTCGTCGCTAAATATCTCGAACATAGGTAATCCGGGAGACTTCTCCAGATCCTCAAAAGCACAGCGACCCATTTCTGGCTCCTCCTGGTCATCTTCGTCCTCAGTGGCTGCAGGTTCTTCGTTTTTCTGGAGTTCCTCAGCGACTGGGGACTGTGGCTTAGGTGAGAGATCAGGGTAAGACACATCTTCTTTGGTATTATTGGCATTGCTAGGGGCGCTCAGATTGCCAGAAAGGGAGAAGATGCCCCGGCGTCCAGAGCGCCTCTGCTCAGTCTTCTTAGGGCTACTCGCCTTCCACTCGCTGAGTTGTTCGGCTAACAGCGTGAAGCGAGGACGTTGGCGCTTTTCCTTCTCCGGACCAGGAGTATGACGCTGCGGCAGAGGAGAGGGCTGAGCGTCTGTGATGGGAAGATCCGTCGCAGTCGTATTATCAGCGGCATCAAAGCTTGCAGTGTCCACTGCCGTGTCACGGTATTCATCGGGAAAACGGGGAGGCGCGAACGAGGCGAAATACTGTGGAACAAAATAGAAATAGTTTGGAACCTGGGGAGTCGGTGGTTCTTCAATTTCGTAAGGAGCATATACCTCAGGGGTGAGTGCGCGTGGTTGAGGGGTTGGCTCAGGTGTTTCTCTGGGCATCTGTTCAGGAAGTTGTTCAGGCGCCTGTTCTGGAGTTTCTCTCAACACCTGCGCAGGCGTTTGTCTCGGAGTCTGTGAGGATGTTGGTCTAGGGGTCCGTTCAGACATTCTTCTAGATGTACGTCGTGGGGTCCGTCGTGGTGTACGCTGAGGTGTTTGTCTCAATCTTCGCCCGGGAGTATCAAATGCCACAAGCGTAGGCTCTTCCTCGTCGAAGTCGTAATCATCGACCATATTGACCTCTTCTTCGTCATACTGCAAGCTAGGGTCGACGCTTTCATCAGCCATGACTTCCGAAGTTTCAGGACGATGCTCTGTTTCTCCATCGCCAGGCAACTCAGGCGTGCCGGCAGGAGCTTCAGTGAAGACGTCTTCAAGCCTCTCAAGCATACTTTCGCGACTTGAGAACTCTACCGGTTCCTGGGGCTCGTGGTTTTGTAAATCATCCTCAAATTCGTAGTTTTCTTCCTCAGTGTCATCACCGTGTTGATTTTCAAGGGTGGTTATTTCCTCTGCATCCGAGGCGACCGAAATTCCATCCTCCGCAGCATCGTGTTCAACCTCGATCTCAGTATTGACTATGCTCTGGACATATTGAGCAGACGCATAGGCATCCTGCTCTGCGACCTCAAAATATACCGTGTAATCCTCGGGGATCTCTGGTACATACGCTTCGGGCCGCTCCTCGAAGTTGTCCTGCTCGAGATCATCCTCCTTAAGGATATTTTCGACAATCTCGTTTTGGCCTTCAAAGAGCTCGTAGAGGCCATCGACACCATCGCTCTCAACGGTGCTTTCACGATCCATGTCAACAAGATCCTCAGGCTCTTCTGGGCTGTCGCTGATATGTTCCATGTCTTCTTCGTGATCACTTGCTGTGGCTTCGTAGTTTGTGTCCAAAACTTCCACATCATCTTCGGGGGCTTCGTCCGTCTGTTCCAAGGGTTGTTCATGTGTCTCATCCTCCATCGTAGACTGAGGAGTATACGATACATTGTGGAAATCCTGGATAAATTCAGGCTCAGCTTCAGGTTCAGGTGTCTCGGCATCATGTCGGCTGACCGGGGTTTCGGTGACGTGCTCAGGCTCTTCCGGCATTTCCACAGTCTCTTCCGAGTCATATCTTTGGTAAGAAGTTTCAGCAGGCCTGGGGGAAGGGGCCGCCTCCAACTCTTTTCCCCGGTCGGAATTAAGCTCCACATGCTCAGTCATTAGGGATCGCGAGAATAGCAAAGAACTTTTGAATGGAGAGGCAACCTTCTTCGCAGGACTCTGGAGCAAACTCCGCTTTAACGGAGTTGATGATTCTTGCAGGGATGGCTGTGACAAAAATGAGGCTCCAAAAAGCCCCTTCTTAGGTGAAGACTTAAGCGGGGAATTCTGCCCAGGTGTGAAATTCGGCTGGGAAAGCGGCCTTAAATCATCAAAGCCGAGATTACCACGTCTCGGTGTCTCCAAGTTTGCTTTCCTAGGCGATGACTTGAGTGGCGAGTTGTCCGTTGGGGTGAAGTTAGGCTGAGAAATAGGCTTCGCATCCTCGGGCAAAGCCAGACCGCGTCGTGGAGTCTCTCGGATGCTGTAGCTAAATGGCGAAGGGGGAGGTCGGCGAGCAGGGCTAGACATGAAAACTGCATCGCTAAAATCGACCGACTTCGGTGGTTGGAAAGTAGGCTGTCCGTTCTCGTCGACCGTTTTGGGAGGTTGGTTGGAGGCGAAGTTGATTCGCTTCACTGGGGAGCTAAGTCCGGTTTGTTCTGATCCGTGTTTGTTGGGAGAGTCGCTGTGTAGCTTGCTCTGGTCCTTGCTGATGCTTAATTCATCATCCTCACCATCGGAGCTGGCGTACGAGGAAATTCCCTTCGCGACTTGAGTTGCCTTCTTCGGAGAAAGAGGCTTGGAGGCACCTTTTTTGGTCGCCGCAGTCTTGCGACCTCTACCCGGAGTACCCTTTCGAGCAGGCTTCGCCGCAAGGCCAGCTGGACGTTCAGCTGGGCGCCTTCTCCCTGCGGGTGGTGGAGGCGATGGTTCGCTGAAGTCGTCCGAGTCCGACACATCCTTAAAGGTCACCGTCTTCTTCTTCGCGGGGCCGCGCAAGAGATTCGATCTCACGAGCGTCGAATTAGTCGTTATCGTCACCTCCTTCGGCCCTTGTTGAGACGCTGCATCCTCAACAGCTAGGGTGCGGGCCTTCTTATGAGCATCAGCAACAGCAGCGGTTGACTTCGCATTCGTCGACCCCTTAGGTCTACCTCTCCCTTTCGGAGCAGCAGTCGCGGAATCAGTCTCAGCCGCCGGTTTCGTCCTCGGTCTTCCAGCCCGCTTCTTCTGTCCATCTGCACCATCCCCCTCATCCACAGTCCCTGACTTAATAGACGACGTGGTAGTAGGTTTCCTACCACGACCCGTAGCGGCAGTAGCCGATCCAGCGGGCCTGCCTCTGACTTTCGTAGTCGCGGATTTCTCGGTCGTATTCATGACTCCCAGCTCATCGTCAGTATCTTCATCCGTATCATTCCCAGCTGCTTTACTCAGAGACGACAGATTCGCCCGGGCGGTCCTCTTTCGTCCCTCCGTAGCAGAAGTGGGCGCCTTCGCTTTCGTCGTCCTCGCAGCAGGCTTCGCCCCAGCCCTGCTGGCCGTCGTAGTAGTAGTTCGCTTCGCAGTACGCGTTGCGCGCTGCGGCGACACTGCCGGAATAACCGCAGCTCGAGCCATTGTGCAGCTGTATATCAACCAATCCGTCGTCGGAAAAACAAGAAGTGGTGAATCTTTGGCGTTGGCGGCGGGGGGAAAACAAAAAACAAAAATTAATAACACACCGCAATACTCATTGTGTGCTTGTTATCAGCCACACAGTTGTTGAACCTTCGAACAGAAACCCTGAAGGTATATGCAGGGTTGGCAAAATGGGGGAGTTGGAGGTGTGTGTTGTTCGTTGGCTGACGGTGTGGGTTGACGCCGATCGTTAGTCTAATGTGGGCGTTTGTCATGGGTTGCTTGTTTGGGCGATGGCGTCGGTTTCTCTGGCAACCGGTGGGACCCACACCGGCACGTGAGGATGGTTTCCTTTGCATCATTGTACCTGTGTCTTTGACTGGGTGGCGCTTCATTTATTGTGATAGTTTAATTTGATTAAAGTATTAGACTGGAGTCCAGGTGTAGGAATTATTGGTCCATGCTGTCATTACTTGAGCGGATCGAAAGTCCCTATTAACTGGATGTAATTTTGAAGTCTCCACAAAATGATACCAACTAGGTAATCCAAAATATATATATATATTTCAAAAAGGACTGTGCCAATGCCGGCGAGATGTACAGTAACTTAAATACAATCAGGCGAGAAGGCGCAGGAGAAAGAAATTAAAGAAAGCAAATAAATGTCAGGATATATCGCAATATATATATAAAGTAGGTTCTGGGAAAGGAAAAGAAAGAAAAAGAAATCCACATCCAACAGAATTGCTGCGGTTCTCACAGCATGGTGAAAAGCGCAGCACTGGCCGCGATTATAGTCGTGACCACCGCGGGCGACAAAACGGAACCAGCACTGTCCAACAATGTGACGGGCTCATAGTCGGCTGGGTTGGTGGAGTTCGTAGTGCCATCCCAGCAGTACTTTTGAAAGCACTGGTTGCAGGCATCCGGAACCTGGGTGTTCGTGCGTTCGAACGACCGACTCAGAATGGCACAGGCGACGCAAGTCGTCCAGTTACCGTCACGGGTGCTGTTACCCATCGTCACCACGTCGTATCCGTTGCGAATGGTGTCGTCACGTTCGGAGATTTCATAGCTCGGCTGGAAGGTCGACCAGTTCGAGTACGCCACGTACGGGTAGTTCGGGAGGTAGACCACCAAGGGCGTAGGTCCAGTGGTGTTCGTGCTGTTGCATCCAAAGAAGGTTGGACGCGTGTTCAAGCCATTGTTGACAAAGGTATTTTGGTCGGGGATCGCGGGGAATGAGGTGCCGTTGGCGATGCCGGTGACGTTCAGACTGCGCTCGTAAGTGGCGACGAGAGCCGTGCCGTTGGGCCACGAATAAGTCGTATCGGCGGAGGAGTCTACCGCAAAAATGACATCGACGTGACGCTCGGGCTGAATCAGAGGATGCAGAGGGATGTTCTGAAGATCCTCGCCACCGTCCACCATATCGAGTTCCTGTTGATGGGCCGCTGGGGAGCTCTCGTTGGCCCAGTTGTAGAACGGATTGGGTGCATAGACCGCAATGTCCTCATCTTCTTCACCGATCTTGGCCAAGATGTCCGAGAATGCCTCCTTGAGGAAATCAGGAAGCGAGGTGGAATTAACCTGCAGGAAGAACTGGTTGAACAAACTGGACGAAGTGCCCATGACAAATCCGGCATTGTCGAAACCGCGCACACAGGTCTCATTCCTGGGGATAGAACCACCGTTGAATTTGGAGCCCACGTACTCCAGCGGCACAAACCCGTAAACCGTGGGGTCAAACGTACCAAACTCCCAAGGGTTAAACTCATAGACAGTAGCGTTGCTGCTGACCACGAGCTCATCAGGATACCGACCGTCCGCAACAAGCAGAGGCATCGGCATCTCTGCTTGCTTAAAGGAATCGGTCAAAGCAATGGACGACCACGTATAGCTCGGGCCGCCATCGGTCGCGTTGATTAATTGATAAGAGAGCGCGCGACCCCTAACGATTCGCTGTTAGTGCTGCTCGCATCCACGAGGTAATCCATGACGTACCAATAATCGGTGATAGAGGTTTCGTATCCCGCATCCTTTTTGTCTTGCACCGCATCGTAAATATGCTTGTAGTAAGTCGCCGAATCCAGAATCTGGATGCTATCGCCGTCCGGGCCCTCAAAAATCGAGTTTTGAAACTGCCAGACCGCGCCTTTCTCGTCGGTCTGCAGGTTGGAAATGGTGGTGAAATTGTTGATATAGATCGACCCCACCAGCCATCCACCACCACTCAGACCCGCCAGGTACGTCGCCGACTGTAGCAGACCACCTAGCTGTCCTGTTGCCGTCGAGTTTTCGGTTCGGCTATCAAACGCCTTGATGGCTCCGGCACCGTTCATCAGGGCGCGATAACCGCCCCCGGACACGGCAATACCAATCGTGGGCAGATTGGATGTGTTACTCGAATGGCGGTCGAGATACTGGACCGCATCAAAGTCCTGAATAGTGACATGGTTGAAAAAGTCCTTCATGGCAGTCTGAGTCTTCTCCCGTCGGGTCTCCAACCACGCGGTCTCATTCTGCGAGAGCCCGGACGATGCGCTCCGCACCGTCGGGCGATTCGCAGGACAACTGACGTTGGACGGGACATATCCATTGGGAGCATTTGGCAAAGCACGTTCCAACACCGTTCGATCAATTCGCTCAATCCGTTCTCCATGAGGGCCTGGGGCCGCTGTCACGCCTAGGGACCGTCAGTGATGTCAGAATAGGTTAAAAGCGCGACGATCGTTGTAAACCGGGAACACAACAATTGGGGGGGGGGGGGGGGGGGTTCATCAACCTACCAGACAGCAACCCGGCTACAGCAATGGCAGCAGTGGTAGGTTTCATCCTGACATGCAATGATCACATGCAGTTCTACGTGAGAGCGACACGTTTTGTTTGGAACAATGCGAAGGAGTTGGTCGGGGACTTGGCCAATTTTTAAGAGAGGCAGTGGTCACTCCTTTCTTTTCCTAGGGGTGTTCTTGGGAACGGGGACTCGGAAGCTGGCCAAGCACACCAGGGTCTTGGTGCGATCGCAACTAGTGTTTGGAGTGTTCTAACTGGAAGACCATGAATGTGATTTGATCGGTTAGGGGCTGGGGAGGCCGAACCGAGAAATGGATTTCACGATCCATGATGTCAAAGGATGGCCTAAGTCCGGCCCTTCCGCCATGGTGGCTGACTGGGATGGCGATCAACCACTATTGATTGATCAATGGACCTTTTTGTGAGTGGTGTGACTATCAATCGTCGAGTTAGGGAGATTCTCGTCAGCTCTGCAGTTGCATCGCTCACCGATCGGGTTTCTTGTGAGCATTTCCTTTCGTGCCCAAACAATTATCATACAAAAAAAAAAGACAATCAAACCGATCAAAATCAACGAGCATAAAAATAGCAATAGGGCTGTCAGACCCGAATTATCCAGACATAACTCGAAGAAGAAGTTCCCGATACGAGTGCGAGGCGAGTGGGTCAAGTGGGAAATGAAGCAAAGAAGTGGAATGTCGGGCTTCCAGATTGCCATCCGCCGTCACTGATAGGTCGCTTGGATCCAATCGACTGCATCCATGGATGCCAGGTGTGGCTATGCTCTCTTCCGATGAAGAGTTTTTCTGCCTGATTGAAAAATTCGGATACATTGAACAGTAGGCAGAAACATAACTCCACCGTCTGGAGGCGTACTCCCTAACGCACTAACCCCAATCGGGCCGACCGCCGCTTAGTAAGGCGGGCCTCGAGTCATTCGTTTCTTTTTCATGTAAGGAACCGAAGCACAAGTCACAAAACGAGATGGCAGCATAAAATCAAGTCACGGTGCTTGGCAAAAGCTTGACAACTGCCGGGTCATCCAGGCTGGGACTCGGAAACCGTGGAAGGAATGATACGACGAGGATCCCAAACAGATACTCTCATATTTCACCTCGCTTGGTTCTCACAATTCTAGAGAATGAATATGACTATCATTGAAACCATACCACCGTCACAAATCCAGGCGATACCATATGCGATCGTCTCCCACCGGGTCCAATTCTCATTCCAGATATTCCCTATGATTAGATCAGTACACTCAGAACTCAACCACTCCGGAAGTATATGAGTGAGTGCCCTCATATATCTTCTGTTGATTCGTATTCCCTGGTCCCTGACCGTGTACCGCTGTCGTCCTTGAGTCCTGTGGATATGCCACCTGAGTGAGATCTATATTTACTGGCTCTTTCTCTTCGACAGTCTACGTTTGTGATCAAAGTTCAAGTGATTCACGACAGACATACCTGATAAAGTACGCCAAACCCCTACCATGGCCATAACTCACTACTACTAGTAGTTCCCTACGTGACCGACAGCGTACCAGTCCACGGGTAAGCCGGCCGATGACCGCCGTCCACCCGGCGCATGCTTATTGATCTTACGCTTATGCGAACAGCCCCCATGTCATCCCCCCCCAACAGTTAATTACCAGTGACTTGATAAGCCCATGCGGGCACATTGGCTCAACCATGATCTCGAGCGAGTCGAGTCACTCCCTCCTCTTTTTTTTTTTTCCCTGCTTCCTCACGTAAAACATCTTCGGCGCGATGGGCGGCACGTGGGCACAGATGCTTCCCGGCACCGCCGAATTCACCGATAGTAACCTCGATTCGCAGGCCGGCAAGGTCTTCATCGTGACCGGTGGAAATGCCGGAATCGGTCTGGAGCTGGTGAAGATGCTGTACGGAGCCGGCGCCACAGTCTACATGGCCGGGCGCTCACCCAGCAAGATCGCCACGGAGATCGAGAACATCACCGCCCAGCCAACCGAAACGCCCGGGGTGCTGAAGAGCCTGCATGTCGATCTGGGCGACCTAACCACCATCGCACAGGCTGTCTCAACGTTCCTGCAGCAGGAGTCGCGGCTCGATGTCCTCTGGAACAATGCCGGTATTGCCCATGTCCCAGCGGGCAGCACCTCCGCTCAAGGCTACGAGGCGCACATGGGAACCAACTGCCTGGGGCCGTATCTATTCACGAAGCTGCTGACGCCCATTCTGGTCAAGACAGCGGAGAGCGCGTCGCCCGGCGCAGTGCGCGTGGTCTGGGCCACATCGAGTATCGTCGACATGGCAGGCCCGCCTGGCGGTCTTCAGCTCGCCGAACAAGCTCCCGGCCAGCACAACCAGGACAAGGCCCACAACTATAGCGCCTCCAAAGCGGGCAACTGGTTTCTGGCCTCGGAGCTGCATAGGCGCACTGCGCGCGCCGGCATCACAAGCGTGGCGGTCAACCCCGGTAATCTCAGGACGAAGGGATGGGACGGGGTCCCGTTCATGGTGCGCACTTTGCTGTCACCTTTCCTGCACGGCCCAGAGAAGGGCGCATACACGTACCTGTGGGCTGGGCTCAGCCCTGCTGTCAAGGTGGAAGATGGCGGCCGGTTTGTGATTCCCTGGGGCCGCTGGCACCCGGACCCCCGCGCAGACTGTCTAGAGAGCTTAAAGTCCAAGGATGAGGGTGGCAGCGGCCTTGCTGCTGAGTTCTGGGAGTGGTGCGACGAGCACACTCGGCAGTATGCGTGATCTGTGGAAGGTGGTAAATTAAGCCTGGCAGTACCCGACGTTGAACACTGCAGCAACGCCGCCTATGTTTTTTAATAAAACAGCATTTCTTAAGCTAATTTGCGATATAGTATATAGACACGTCACACAGACAGAACACGGCTAGGGATAGCCTGCGATACATTTCTGACCAGATTGATCTTGAATTGAATGACTTTGGCAGTTTTAGGACAATACTATTTATCAGCATGGAGTTTCGTTCACTACTTCTACGTATAAGATAGATACTTCTTACCTCTAGATGTGTTGAATGCTATAAGATAAGGCAGTCAAATGCAGGCACTTTATATGCTCCGAATATACTATAGAACCTCATATGATTCTTGGGGAATGGGCAATCACCGAGACGCTATGTAGTATAATTGAATCTTTTTCATATTTATCGGAAATTGCAAGGGCAAGACACGGAGGACCTCGTAATGCTAACCTGCACGGTGCGCTAGAAGTATCAATCGTTATGTAGTGAGGGTTTAGTATGATATAAACGCCGTCGATATTCAATCTCTAATTGGCAGAGGGCCGGGGCATCTCGAGAGCTCGTTTCACAACCCCGTTTTCTTAAGAAAGCCAGATGTTGATTCGCGAACTGTTCAAAGCTCGTACGGAGCGGTCGTCGGTCCTGCAAGTCCATGTCTGACGGCAAACAGAGCGAATCTTTCAAAACGAGGAAGGAGCACAGTCTCTAGCCGGCTAATATCGAAAGCATTACATTCAGTGGATCACTCGCTGCACTTCTAAGCACCCGGTGGGCCAACCTCCCGCAGACGCACGTAGCAGCTTCGTGGCTCATGCGTCATGTAGAGGTTTGATTTGTACCCCGAAAGCACCGGAGGACATCTCAAGAGCTCAAAGTTCCATATCATCACGGTCAGGAAAATCTTAATCTCTACGTACGCCAGCCTCTTCCCATAGCAGCCGCGCGTGCCCAGTCCGAAGGCGAGCTGTGGTCCTGCCGTGGCATCGAACGCCGTGCCCTTTTCACTGGTCGCGAGCCAACGCTCGGGCTTGAAGCGCGATATGTCGCTCGGATCCCATGCCCGGTCGTGGCCGTTTTTCTTGGCCGACTGACTGGTCGCTGAGCGCCGAGCCTCGTCCACCTGAAAGGCAGGACGCATCATGGAGGCGCCTGTCACCAGAGTGGTGACGCTGGTGCCCTTGGGGATGCCATACCCGAGGAGCTGGGTATCGACCATGGCCTGTCGATCGACGAACGAAGCGGCGCCCGCACAGCGCAAGATTTCCTCCATCGTTGCCTCGAGATAGGGGACCCGCGCGCCGGTGATCTCTTCAATTGTCGGCTCACGGCCTTGCCCCTTCGCCGTGGCAAACGACGTCCAGAGCGCCTCACGCAGCTTATCCTGTGTGTCTTTATTGTCGGCCAGGAATTTCAGACCCCAGCAGAGCGCGGTGCTGGTCGTTTCATGGCCTGCGAAGATGAACCCGAAGAGCTGCACGATGGTCAGTTCACGCTTGCTAGGCTCTCCACGGGGCAACATACCTCGTCAATCATCACGCCCGAGAAGTACTCGGGCGAGCGTCCATCCTTTTCAGCCAGATCTCTCTCGTTCAGAATCATTCGATCCACTGCAGAGCGCAGTTTGACATCCCGATTGTTGCCATCTTGAAAGCGCTTGACGGCGTCCTGGAGCTCTCGCTTGAGGCAGTCGTCTTTGCTCCTGGCCGCTTTCTGGATCTTGGGCTTGCGCATCACATACGCCCACGTTAATCGCGGCGACGGGTTGCCTTGTACTTCGCCAATCGTATGGGTCAGGTCCAGGATGGACTGCAGAAGCTGATCTTTTTGGCCCTGGGCGAACACGATGGGCTCATCCTTGCTAGCGGGGAGGTTGTAGGCCTGCGCCTTGACTGCGTCCAGATCGGGTTGTACCGCGCTGTGCTGAAAGCCGGCGCCGAATGCAAAGGCGCTGATCGCATCGAGCGACATGTGGTTGAGGTCGGCGTTGGCTACCCAAGGATGTCCACGAGCGGCGCGCGCTTTGACGCGCCAGAGGTCCATGAGCAAGTTGACTTTCTGCAGAATGGCAGGGGCGGCGACGTCGTGTAGGAAAGTAGGCGTCATGAGGTCCTGAATGAGACGACGCTGGGCTTTAAAGATGTCATTCGTCTTTTGGCGAATGTGGTGGTTTGGCGCGACCCCCAGGAACAAGTCGCCCACGACGTCTGATCGATCGAATTCTTTCCGGCGGGTCATCAGGTCGTGGGCCTCGCGGAAATCGGCCAGAATGACGAGTGGCTTGCCAAAGGGGCGGATGAAGACCTGGATGATGGGCGAGTTGAGCGAGTCCATGAGGTCGGTCACATAAGTGATAAAGGTGCCCTCGCTCTTCTTGATGTTCGCAAGCATGGCCGGCACATTGCCGAGCAGTCTACGCGACGAGGTGGCATCGTATGGGATGCCGGGAATGGGCTTGGGCAGTGCGGCGCGGTAGAGAGCATATACGGCGAGAATGATGGCCGCGACGAGCAGGCTGGCCGTCGTGCCTGGCATGGCAAAGGACAGCATTGCTGGAGAGGATGTCAATAGCGCTGCGCAATGGGTCTTGGTCGGTTGGGCGAGAGCAAGAATTGAAATGCAGCCAGCATCAGGAATGGCACCTCCTCGCCAGCTGGATGACTGAAAAACGTCTTGCTGTCCATGACAGCTCGCAGTGCATCGGTCTGGTCACTGCGCGTCAGGTACTCCGCACATTGAGCGAGCTGTAGAAACAGGTGACAGACTTTCACGTCAGGCATGATCGTGAGAGTCAGTAGTGAGCTGTTCGAGTCAGCAATGACAGGGTGCTGACGGCATGCTGACCTGCATGCTGACCTGCCTTAAATACTAACCTGCACGCTGACCGGAAGCGGCCGACATGCTGGGAGGTGATCAAGCTTATTTTGAGTGCCACCTTCTTATCTCACTTGTCATATTGCATGGTTTAGATCCATCCTGCCGCGTGGTTGAACGTGTTGTCTGGATCATCTCCCGCTAGCCGGCGCATTTTTTTGGAGAATCATCTCAGCGATTCCAAACACTATCGCGAGGGGCTTGACTTAGACAGCTGGCACGACAGATCTCTCAAGGCGTTGAGATTCTGCTTGACCTCTTACATTCATAGTCATACTATAGAAAAGCAGCAGGAGATAAGACATCGATAATAGGACCGTACCGCAAAGCTCATATCCTTCCGAGCCAAGCAATTTCTTACTCTTAGTCTAATAGCTTCGTTATCAACGTCAGCATAAGCAGAATCCAATGAAATGAGGGCAGGGGTCTTTTTTTCCCCTTCCTACAGCGTTGCATACAGCCCTTGACTAAGTGAACATTTTGTATCTTCTCGCGTAGCTCGCCATGCCCACTCAACCCTACAGGGTCGCCTTCTGGGCGTTCTCCCTAACCACGCTTTTCGCAGCTGCCATTTCCCAGATTGCCATAGGTAATGCTGGATTGGATGCCAGCGCCGCCCACAGCAATGCTTGCCGTAACATGCCCGGCGACCGCGACTGGCCGAGCAACGACGCATGGAGTGAGCTCAATCACACCGTCCGTGGCAGGCTCATGCGCGGCCAGCCGCTGGCCCAAGCTTGTCATGGAGCTACTTTGAATGCAGGAGCATGTGTAGCTCTCCAGGACACATACAATTTTCCAGAGCTATAGTGAGTGCATCCCAAGTCTGATTCACGCCGGGGTTGACGATGAGCCATTAGTCTCACCGACCCTGTCAACGTCATGTCGCCCTACTGGCTCAACAACTCGTGCAGCCCCTATGCCCCGTATGCCAGCGCCGACGGCGCCGGCACCTGCACGCTTGGTAATCTAGCCCCGTATGCCATTCGGGTCACGGGCGCTGACGACGTCGTGGCTGGCATCAACTTTGCCCGGCAACACAACCTTCGCCTCACCATCAAAAACACCGGCCATGACGTGCAAGGACGCTCTGCTGGCGCAGGCTCTCTCGGCCTGTGGATGCACAACCTCAAGGACATCTCCTTCATTGACTATTCCAGTCCAAAGTACCGCGGCAAAGCCGCCCGCATTGGCGCCGGCATCGAGGTTGGGGAGGCTTACGAAGCGGCGCACCAAAACGGACTGACCATCACTGGCGGCACTTGCCCATCTGTCGGCGTCGCCGGAGGCTGGTTCCCCGGCGGCGGCCATGGGCCCCTGTCAAGCATGTACGGCCTGGGCGCCGACACCACGCTCGAGTTCGAGGTCGCGACCGCCGATGGCACAGTCGTCACCGCCACTCCCGACAACGAGCACTCGGACCTGTACTGGGCGCTGAGCGGCGGCGGACCCGGCAACTACGGTGTAGTGCTATCCATCACGGCTAAGGCATGGCCGGACCAGTCCTTTGCTGGTGCCGCGTTCACCTTCGTCAACACCAACGACGACACCTACTGGCAGGCGATCCGGGCGTGGCTGAAGGCGCTGCTCGCGCTCAACCAGATCCCAGGCCTCTCCACGGCATCCGGCTTCAACAGCCAAGCTTCACTATGAATTTCGCCACGCTTCCCGGTGGTACACAGGAGAGTTTGAACGAGGCGCTGGCGCCCTACATGGCGCAGCTCCAGAGCCTGGACGTCCTGATGGTCGCCAACACCACGACGGTGCACCCCAGCTTCCTGGACCACTTCAACGCCTTCGCCGAATCGCCTCCCATCAACATCACCATGGCCGCGCGCATGATTCCCGCGTCGCTGGTGCACGACGACTCGAAGCTCGACACGCTCGTCTCCACCATGCGCGCCCTAACAGACGAGCAGGGCGTCTTTGCCCTGGTCTCTAACAACGTGTCCCTGTCCCGCGCCGGCGTCGCACCCGGGTCTAACTCCGTGCTGCCGGCGTGGCGCGACACGCTCTTCCTGGCCAACTTCGGGCGATACGTGGCAAACGGCCAGTCATGGGCGGACCTGAGTGCGGATCAGACCCGCATCAACAATTGGCAGACTTTGCTCCGCGATCAGACGCCCGGCGGCGGCGCATATGGCAACGAGGCCACGTTCAACGATGTCACCTGGAAGGAGGACTACTATGGTGCAAACTACGACCGTCTGCTCGCCATTAAGCGCTCATATGACCCTGAGGGCCTCTTCTGGGCCAACACTGCCGTCGGCAGCGATGCTAATTGGGTTGCGCAGCCCGATGGCCGTTTGTGTAGGCCCTAGGTTGGGGGTGTATTGAATGTTCTGGTGTCTATATTGTCCAAAGAGAGGACGTGGCATTTTCAACCCCGATTCGCTCTCTCATGGTAAATAGTGGTGTATAGCATGAAGTGTGGCGTTTTGCATTGTGGTATCTATGCTATAGAACTCCTAGGTTAAAAAAGTTGCAATGCTCGGTTTTTGGCAAAAGATTTATGATTTTATGATTCATTTTATTTCACCATGCCATATCGATCTGATCTAATAGACATTTTGAATATGTATATATATAGATCCTTACTTAGAGGAAGCTTAACAACTTAGGAATGATAATAAGCATACCATCCTGAGTAAGTCCCCCCGCAGCCCTGAGCTGCTCCCTGATCGCTCGCCATACTCTTTGACAGCCACGTCTCTGAACCCGGGGGTTTCCAATTGACATGCTGCTTTTGAAAAAAGCAGTTGGGTCAGCAATCCCATTGAAAGCCGTCACATCCAGTCCAGCAGATTGACACGGCAACGTATTGAGGTTTTTTGGCAGGGCCGGAACTCAGGTAGTAGTGATGGACCATGGTACTGCGTTAGCCCGGGGGTCGTGGCGTGGAACGGATAAGCGTAAGCAACCTGCATTAGTGCGACTACGAGCAACGAATCATGGCTATTAGTATATTGTACGAGCTCTCTGGTTGGTGTCCGTGCGAGCGCCACTGCTCGTTCGTCCCATGTGGAGGGTGGATCTGGGCATTTGCCCTGATTCTGACCATAGTATTCGTATACCCAATTACCGACTTACCACACGTTCAATCTCGGTTCCTGGTCACCGTTGACGGCGCCAATAACATGTTACGGACCTGGTACCCTAACCTTGACATTGTGGAGAGCGATGGATCTTCCCCACATACGTCGAAGGGTTCGTATAGCTCTCCCAATACGTGCATGGGGGATCGTGGAGTACCCCAGTCTATCCCCGCAAAGAAGCTGCAAAAGAACCCAGTTCGGCTGATCGAAGCAGACTGGATTTTGTAGCAGAAGCCTCAATGATCCTCCTTTGCGCGGTCAAGAGCTGTCCGCCAAGATGATGAGACCCAGGAATAGCCTTCCCCTACGACCCCGTGTGAACAGATGTCAAAGGGTTGCTCACAGTCAAGAAGCCATTGGGGTAGCAACCGCTATTGTACATCAAAACCCTGTCTTGGCATTTGTAAATCCAATCGAGAACGTCCTTTGCGTGCGGGTACCTCGTATTCTGTCGTCCTAGAACTGCTCAGGTCCCCGATATACCTCCGCGCCGGGCCTACGTCTCCTCCGTACCGGCTCCAATGGAGTGTCGTTGAGTCGATGGACTAACTATGCTTCGGTTAATATCCGCACTAAGTATCGTTAACGAGCGTGTCGGTTCGATGGACCTAGAGCCACAGTAGAGCTTTTGGGTGCGAGCAAAAAAGTATAAAGACAAGCTGCTGTCTCGGTGCCAAAAAAGAAGCATGCCTTCTATCTGTTGCATTCCAAGTGCAGCTGGAAACCCATGGCAAGATGGTTCAATTCAAAGCCTGTTTCTTGCTCCTGGGTGTGGTGGGTGCCCATGCAACAACTGTGGTGCAGGATGACAGTTTCTTCTATGGCCAGAGCCCCCCAGTCTATCCCAGTCCCAACATGACTGGGGCTGGCGGATGGGAGCATGCACTTGTCAAAGCTCAAGGTCTGGTGGCTCGCATGTCTCTAGAAGAAAAGATCAGTATCACTGCAGGGGTTACGGACAACACGAGTGGCTGTGGAGGTAATATCCCGGCTATCAATCGCCTTGGTTTCCCCGGAATGTGTCTACAGGATGGCCCCAATGGCATCAAAGGAGCAGAGCTGGTCAACGGTTATCCATCTGGTATTCACATTGGTGCAAGGTATGGGGTTACTTGAACACGATAGGCGTGATCGTTTGCTAACATCGACACCAGCTGGAACAAAAGCCTCGCTTATCACCAGGCGCACGCCATCGGCGGTGAGTTCCGACGAAAGGGGGTGACTTTGGCACTCGGTCCACCTGTTCTTGGTCCTCTCGGACGAATCGCGCTGGGAGGACGTAATTGGGAGGGCTACGGCAAAGACCCATATCTCAGTGGTATCATGGGAGCTGAAACAGTCCGAGGCGTGCAAGACAACGGTGTTATTGCGTGCGCAAAGGTATGGGACCGTGTCACTGCACAATGTCGTAACTCAGCTTGATTGACATCTTTTAGCACTTCGTGGGCAATGAGCAAGAGTTACACAGGAACCCTCGACCTGATCCTATCACTAACAGAACCGTTGAGACCTCCTCCACTAACATGGACGACAAAACTATGCACGAGCTGTATATGTGGCCATTTGCCGACGCTGTGCACGCCGGTGTTGCGAGTGTCAGTAAGTTTGTCTTTCCACTCTCAGAGCCATTGCTTAGTACTTACTAGTACTAACCATACCTTTCTTGATCTATAGTGTGTGCCTATCAGCGACTGAACAATAGTTATTCGTGCCATAACAGCAAAGCACTGAATGGCCTCTTGAAAACCGAGCTCAACTTTCAAGGGTTTGTATTGAGTGACTGGTTTGCCCAGCACACTGGGATTGCGAGTGCCATGGCTGGCCTTGATATGGTCATGCCCGATGGAGACCTCTACTGGGGTGCAAACCTTACACGCGCAGTGCACAACGGATCCGTTCCAGTATCCCAAATCAACAATATGGCTACCCGAATTATGGCAGCTTGGTATCTCTCCGGTCAGGATAACCAAGACCTCCCACCGGTTGGTATTGGGATCACCGCAGACTACAGAAAGCCGCATCCCGTGATTGATGCCCGCGACCCCGATGATGAGGCCCTCATCCTCGAGGGAGCCGTCCAAGGACATGTCTTGGTCAAAAATGTCGACAACGCCTTGCCATTGTCCCGCCCGCGGATCCTATCCATCTACGGGTACGACGCGAAGGTTGCAAACACCAACCTTGCGATGGCCGGGGTGAATGGCTGGACTCAGGGGCTGCAGGCACACAACTATAAGAGTGTTGTATGCGGCTTTGGTCCGAACGGGGGTCACTGTCCTCCATTCGCTCCGATTGCCGCCAAAGGGACTCTCATCGGTGGCGGTGGCTCTGCGGCCATTACGCCCGTGTATATCAGCAGTCCCTTTCAGGCCTTGGAAGCCCGCGCGCGCCGTGACAGAACACAATTGTTTTGGGACCTTGAGGGTACACAGGTGACCAACGCCGAGGCAGATGCCTGCCTTGTGTTCGTCAATGCGGCGTCGTCCGAAGGGGTTGATCGGCCGGCCTTGAGAGACGATTACACGGACGGCCTTATCCTTGACATTGCTTCCCAGTGTAACAATACAATGGTTATCATTCACAATGCAGGTGTCCGACTAGTCGACCCCTGGATCGACCATCCAAATATCACGGCCGTGATATTTGCACATCTTCCTGGCCAAGACTCGGGAGAAGCCATTACCCAGATCCTATACGGAGATGTGAGCCCCAGTGGAAAACTTCCTTATACCGTGCCTCATGACGAGTCAGACTACGGAGCATTACTCAACCCGGTGACCCACACCGACTGGGATCGGTATTTCCCGCAGGACAACTTTACCGAAGGGGTTTATATCGATTATCGTGCATTTGATAGGAACGGCATCAGTCCGCGGTTCGAGTTCGGGTTCGGTATGTCATATACCACGTTCAATTATTCGAATCTCAATGTCCAACCTACTGTGAATTTATCGGAGCTCTCCGAGTATCCGATTGGGCCTGTGATTCCAGGCGGCAATGCTGATCTATGGGACACCGTTGCTGTTGCAACGGCTGACATCACTAACACTGGTCGAATGGAGGCAGCAGAGATTGCACAGCTCTATATTCAGATCCCTAGCGAGGGCCAGCCACTCTTACAGTTGCGGGGGTTTGACAAGGTGACCGTCCCTCCGGGCGAGACCAGGACGGTTGAGTTCAGTATCAGGCGCCGCGACATCAGTCTTTGGGACGTGTCTGCTCAGAAGTGGAAACTCATCGCGGGAGCTCAATATCCCGTTTTGGTTGGTGCCAGTTCCCGAAACATTCTGTTGAACGGGACGTTAGAGCTGTGAGAAGTCTGGATGGTGTATGAACTTATATAAACAGGGAAATGTCTGCCATTTGGGGTTTCCGTCTCGGCTTCTGCTTTCATGAGGGTGCTCAAGCTTAGACTTAGCAAACCTTTTATTCTGTGTCTGTTCCTTTCAATTGTTATACAGTACTGTGGGATGTGCCGAGCCTCGAGAATTCATTTCTCGATGAAGCCTTTCAGAAAACGTGACTGTCCACAACGATAGTCGATATTTAGCTTTTCGCTGCATGATACAAGTTATAAAAAGTAAATAGATTGTGTGAAGTAGTATGTCATGGATCCAAGATGGTTCGAACAGCCCAGATACGATGAAGTGATTTTACCTTTCGTTCCTGCCCCATAACACTGATAAAACAGCTAGAATTGTCTCCTTGAGCTATCGATTAATGCAATAACATGACACCAGGTTAAAAGCTTCTTGTATTATATAGTTAGACGAAGAAAAAAGGTTAATACTATACCTATGAAGGTCTATTATTGCTGGGGCGATGGTGAAGTTCGACTGGCCGGAAATCAGGGGATTATGGAGATGCGGAACCGTCGTGTGGGTTGAATCTGGCTATTGATATCTTCGGGAATATTTACGCTGTACATGCACAATTACGACATTATCGCGCTCATGGTTTCTGCTACCTTGGCCAAATAGATACTGTTCACGATCATACAGCTCTGGCAGGCAACTCATAACTTCCTCATTTCCAAATATCCGCTGTATTGCGTAGGTAGTCTTCGATCAGCTCAGGAATTTACTGATCAATGAGCCAACGGACTCTACCTACTTCGAATCTGTAGGTGTGATAATACTAAGAATGCTAATCGACTTTTAGAATCATTCAAGAACACTTCCTTTCTACATGACTTTTACTGTAACCCTCGGTACGTGTATAAGGAGAGCTTTGAAGACAATCAATTTTTATAAATCTAAGTTCGAATCGAGAAGCATGTGGCTACCATTCCGGATCCTGACGATTGAGTAACAATCTGGAACTCTTTCAGATCGGGCACAGAAGCCAAGTGCTATCTAGCTCCATAGCTTTTCACAGACAGAATGGGTCCGAGAGCCCCGTTGACCTTGAAGTGGCCCCGGCTGAAGCGGCTGGCTGGTAAACCTCCCCCTCCTCCGTATTCATACGTGTGAGGGCGTCCTTCAAATACGTAGAGAACCAGTCAAGGGAAGGTTGCGGCTTGACGAGCCCACATATACCTGGTATGTTCCGCGCTGCAACAGCCATTTCTGCGCAACTACATCCCATGTGCTCAGGTCACGGCGAGTCAGAGGAAATTCAACAGTCGCGGAGCCACCGGGCGCGATCTGAATCTTCTCAAACCCACGAAGCTGTTTGAAGTCCCCCCCGGGCAGCCTGACATACAGCTGAGCTACTTCTGCTCCGGATCTAGGACCTGTATTGTGGATCGTGGATGTAACGGTGGCGATGGTATCCCAAAGGTCAACGGCACCCCCTTGCTCGATGGCACCACTTGGGTACTCCGCAAGACTCTTGTGTGGAGGGCTATTGGAGATGGAAAGATCCGAGAAGGAAAATGACGTGTACGAGAGACCAAAGCCAAACTCGTACTGCGGAGTAATGTTTTCCGCCTCAAATGCACGATAGTCGATGTACACCCCCTCGGTGAAGTTGGATTGCGGAAATCGGCCGTCAGGTGGGACCGCTTCCGAGTGGTGCAAGACGGGGTAATCGGTGTCATTTTTGGCGACGGTATAGGGGAGCTTGCCGCTGAAATTATTGTCACCGTACAATAGCGACACTAAAGCACGGCCGGAGTCTTGGCCAGGCAAATGGGCGAAGATAATAGCCGTCACGTTGGGGTGGTGGACGAACTGGTCCACCAGACGAATCCCTGCGTTGTGAATCACCACCACGGTGTTGGCGCAATGGTCTGCCACCCGGTTAACGAGTTCATCGGAGTAGTCGTCATGGATACCGGGACGGTCCCAGCCCTCCGAAGCGAAGGCGTTGATGAAGACCAAACACGCATCAGAGCCTGACATCAGCCCCGTTGAGCTAGGAGAGCAGTCGATGTCCCACATCAGCATGGTGTTGTCTTCATAAGCACGCTGTTGGAGGGCGTCCAGAGGACTGCTTAAATAGGGCCCACTGCTGGCGCCAGAGCCACCACCAACGCTGAGCGTGCCGTTCAGTGCGGCCTGGTATATGCTCGGAAAGCTAGGAGTTTTCATATTGTTGTAGGCGTTGGCCATCTGAATCAAGGCTGATTCATAGCCAACTTCCCAGGCAGTAACCGGGGCGGTGTCAGGCATATTTTGGTTGGGTGATTTCGCATCATATCCAAACACTGATATCATGCGGGGGGCCTGGAGAGGCAGGGCGTTCTTCACATTCTTCACGAGTACATGGCCCTCTACCGCACTGTCGAAAATAACTGGCTTCGCGGCAGGATCGAGAGCGTTGACGACGACATGCGGTTCGCTTAGATTGGAGGGCATTCCGACTCCGGGATTGGAGCCTCTGTCCTGTCCCATCTGATACCAGGCAGCAATGATTCTGACGTACATTAGCAGCGAAAATCCATTCTGGATAATAATAGGCATACCGCGTAGCCATGTCATCTAGACGCGAGACCGGAACACTTCCGTTAGAAATGGCTTCCGTGAAGTTGCTTCCCCAATAGCTTTCACCGTCGTAGGAAGCCCCATATGGCATAGACATATCCAGACCTGCCAGGGCCGACGCCACGCCGGAATGTTGACCATACCAGTCACTGACAACGAAACCGTTAAAGCCTAGCTCAGTTTTCAGGATTCCATTCATCATCTTGCTGTTCTGGCAGGCGTAGGAGTTGTTGATCCGTTGGTAAGAGCACCTGGTTATATGTTAGGAGAATTAACACTACTTGTGAATTTCAGAGTGCAAAGCATACATAACATTTCCGGCACCTGCCTTGAGCACATCGTAAAATGGCCATAAATAAAGTTCATGCAGAGTCTTGTCATCGACGTTGGAAGAAACTGCCTCGATCGACAAGTTGGCCTGGCTGATAGAAGGCATGCGGTAGCGCTCTTGCTCATTGGCGATTAAATGCTGTGTATCTCAAATGATCAGCACGACAAACTCTCCCTGAGCCTTGTCCGACGGACGGAATCACCTTCACACTTGTAATAACACCTTGACGCTGGGTCCCCTTGACAGTCTCGGCGCCAATGGCTCCGGCCAGGTATGGGTCGACGGAGAACCCTTCCAGGAGGTCAATGATCACTCACTGTTTTCCATTTGTACCGGATTTAGCTTACCTTCCCAATTTCTACCACCGGTGGGGATACGTCCCAGTGGGCCAACCGCTGGTCCAAGAGCGACCTGAACTCCCTTCTTTTTGAATTCGGCACCAAGGTGCCATGCTCGCTTGTACGCCAACTCCCTATTCCAGCTGCCTCCCCGATTGCCAGTTAAGATCAACAACCACGTTCTCAACACCAAGGGATCACGCACCTAGCACCAACATGTATCCCACTTGGGTAGCTATTCACAAAATCGGTGATTCGCACGCCGTTTTGCGCATCCTGCAGACACAGGCCAGGGAAATTCAGACGCGGAATCGGCTGAATCCACCCCACGCAACCATTCGGGGCGGGCACACCGTAGGTCAGATTATTCTAATAATTGAGATGAGTGAACATTGAATCAAAGCAGAAAGGAAAAGCCAAAGGGAGGCTGGCATACTTTCTCTTCCAGGGTCATCTGTGCAACCAGAGCCGCAGCCCTACCATAGGCTACCTGCCAGTCCCCATTCCCAGTGCCGATTGCTGTACAATTGGTTCAGATTGAGCTCAGGGAATCATTCGCCGTGTGGAAGCCTACGCGATGGATAAACCGGTTCTGACTGGCCGTAGAAGTAAGTGTCATCAGCAACATTACTTTCCGAACGCGATAGGCCAAGCATAGCCAACACGGCCACACTCTTGAAGAGTTTCGCCATCGATAGCATCTTGGTTGAGCCTGCGATTACTCGGGTTTGAGCCGGAGGGTATATGTCCCAAACTTATATACGTTCTCTAGAGTACTACAATATGCCAACGTCTCGTATTTGAGGTGCCAATTTTTATTTCTGTTGTATAGATTGAGTCTATTTTTCCCCAGAATTCGAATGTGTCGGCTGTTTGCGCTAAATCTAGGGTTCAAGTCGAACATGGAGAGGGTCCGGCATAGTCAACGCAAGAATACGGTGATTGGGTTATAGACGCTTTGCCAAGCCGATGCTAATGCAAGATGCTGACACTTTCGCCCACTTTCCCCTACGCGAGTACTTCATCTCCGAGCCCCACGGAAACAAATTCGATTCCGACTCGGCCACCAATACGGGGGGCATTGCGGGGGATTCGTTGGCTGGACGCGGGGGCACTCGGTCCCTGCCGATGGTTGTGGGGGTCTTCGCCGGCGACAGCAGCCGACGTTCGTCGACATTGCCTGTTCCGATTCTGGGCTGTGTACATTTACTCAACCTGCTCCCACGGCTGCCTTTGTGTCTCTTGGGGCTCATGGCTGTGGGGAACTCGGAGATTTATCGGCTAATCGCGAAACCTTGACTGATGGGGTTCTCAAGAGCCGTTGCGGTCTCCCATACTCTCGGCAGATTCAGCGCTCCACGGCCTCCAGCAACCCGAGTGACTGGCATTTGGTAGCTTCGTTGGGGATGTCTGATCTGTAGTGTTCGTTTCACCGATAATTTCATAGCCGAGAGCTTTAACCCTTTCTGTTTAACCTTTCCAAGTGGACTCATTTGTTCTACAAGACACGACCCAAGGAACTCTTGGTCGTTTCCCGGCTTTCTGAAGCAGACAGAACACTGCATCGCTCTGCCATCTGTAGGAATCAAGATTTGCGCTAATGTAACCGGCTGACTCTGGATGGAAGGTGTGGAGCCGAATACGAATGAATTTGGTTGCGGTATCAGTGTGTAGCAATGGAAGTCCAATGCCACGTTTGACTAGTTACCAGTTACCACATTTGCTTGCAAAGCCTAGACAAGTAGAAAAAGTGCCCTCCGCGATGGCTGCTACGAACGAGCCCCCACGCCCAGTCAACCGGGTGGCCACCGTCATCGTTGAAAACTATAATAAGCTGCTCTTCCTACTTTTCCTCCTTCGGGCTTCGTATCGGCCTTTGCCTCTTCTGAAAGCCCTAAGTCTTGGCCATATACTGGGTGAAATTGTTTCGTCAGGTGGCAACGATGGCTCTTCACGCAACAGCAGATGTCGAACGCATCGAGGCGCCAGTTTCCTGGAAGGCCTATCTCCTTTGCGCTTTCTCCTCCCTCGGTGGCATCTACTTTGGGTACGACTCTGGGTACATCAATGGTGTCAATGGCATCGCAGACTGGGTGGACATCATTGATCCCGGTCATACCACGCTGACCGCATCTCACTCGTCCCTCATCGTGTCGATTCTCTCCGCTGGCACCTTTTTCGGAGCGGTCATTGCAGGGGATGTCGCCGAGTGGATTGGGCGCAAATGGACTGTCATTTGCGGCTGTGTGATTTACGCAATTGGCATTGTCATTCAAATGCTCACCGGCATTGGTGGTAACGCTCTTGGCATCATTGCTGCTGGCCGTCTCATTGCCGGTATTGGAGTCGGCTTCGAATCTGCAATCGTGATCCTATACATGAGTGAGATCGTGGGTCCTCCATTACCCTCGCTACTTGATCTTTCCGGCTTTACGTGCTAACACCCTTGTCTTCCGTTCATAGTGCCCCAAGAAGGTTCGTGGTGCCCTTGTCGCCTGCTACCAATTCTGCGTCACCATTGGTCTCATGCTGGCGTCTTGTGTGGTCTACGGAACAGAACGGCGGGGAGATAGTGGCTCCTACCGGATTCCAATTGCGATTCAATTTATCTGGGCCATCGTTCTGGGCGTTGGGCTTCTGTTCCTCCCTGAATCGCCTCGCTACTTCGTCAAGAAGGGCCAGACGGAGAAAGCCAGACAGGCCCTCTGTCTGGTCCGCGATCAGCCTCGCGATTCCCAATACGTCGAGGCTGAACTCGCCGAGATCATTGCCAACGAGGAGTACGAACGCAATATCATACCCGACGCCGGGTGGTTTGGAAGCTGGAAGAACTGCTTCCGAGGTAGCCTCTGGGTGCAGAAATCCAACCTGCGTCGTACCATTCTGGGCACCTCCCTTCAGATGATGCAGCAGTGGACCGGAGTGAACTTCATCTTCTACTTCTCGACCACCTTCCTCCAGTCCACCGGCGCAATCAGCGACACGTTCTTGACGTCGATGATCTTCACCATCGTCAACGTGTTCTCGACCCCAGTCTCCTTCTACACCGTCGAGAAGTTCGGCCGTCGTTCCCTTCTCATCTACGGCGCCCTCGGCATGCTGGTCTGTCAGTTCATCGTCGCCATCATCGGGGTCACGGTTGGCTTCAACCACACTCACCTGGATGCCGGCGGCAACACCATCGCCAACAATATCTCGGCCGTCAACGCCCAGGTCGCACTGATCGCCATCTACATCTTCTTCTTCGCGTCCACGTGGGGCCCTGGCGCATGGATTCTCATCGGTGAAATCTTCCCCATCCCCATCCGCTCCCGCGGCGTCGCTCTCTCCACCGCCTCCAACTGGTTGTGGAATACCATCATCGCCGTCATCACTCCTTACATGGTGGGATCCGACCCGGGTGAAGCCAACATGAGATCCTCGGTCTTCTTTGTCTGGGGCAGTCTCTGCACCGCTTGCTTTGTCTACGCCTACTTCCTTGTTCCAGAGACCAAGGGCCTGTCGCTGGAACAGGTTGATCAGATGATGGAGGAATGTACGCCTCGGACCTCGCCGAAATGGCGTCCGCACTCTACATTCGCCCGGGAGAAGGGGATGGTCGCTCCTGAACAGGGGGAGGTGGAACAGATTGCCTAGATAGTGGAATAGTTTGGTCTGATCCGGTTGGGGATGCTTTCCCATGACACCAATTGATCGTGTACATGTGAAGAACCTCCAGCAATATCCATAGAAACGAAACAAAAAAAACAATATAGTCATTCAGAGCTTGATTCTATTGGTTTCTGGGTTGTTGAATTTTGCAACCTTAGCGTTGTGGTGTACGATCATGGCCATCATCTTTAAATTTGGATATCTAAACCGCGTCAAGGCAGTTTTATCTCCGCTTAACTTTGCCAATCCTTTAGTTCCGAATTTTGACCTGCAGTCCCTTGCTGTCCTTGGCGGGGATCGGGATAATGTAGTCTGCATTCACATCAATGTCTCTCGAACGGTACGTGTCGTACAGCTCCAGTGTGGGCCCCGGCTGGCCCCGATAGAGGTCGTATTTCGTGAAGAGCGTCGCCAACGTCATCGCCATTTCGCGACGAGCAAGCGTCATGCTAGACAAGCCAGCCGGTTAGTACCGTACGCGTCCAGGGGAAACACCAGAACCCGGCGGGACCACTTACCCAACACAGCCTCGCGTGCCGCGGGAGAATCCGAGGAAGTACTTGGAGAGCTTGGGCTGGTCGATCCAGCGCTGGGGGCGGAAGGCATACGGATCAGCACCGAAGGCCTTCGGGTTCATGTGCGTTTCCAGCGGCGACATGCTGTAGATGGTGTTTGGCGGGATGACATATTGCTTGCCGTCGACTGGGTTGTCGTACACGATCGGGACGTCGGGATTCATGCGCACTTGGCGGTTCATCACGCCGGGATGCAGACGCACGCTCTCGGAAATGATCGCCCCCAGATACGGTAGACTGTCGACTTGGGCAACGGAGATGTTGGTCGGGTCCGGTATGGCCTCGCTGAGCTCTGTCTTCAGCTTGGCAAGCTCTTCCGGGTTCGCGAGCAAGTGGAACACGGCGCACATCAGCGCGTGAGCTACTCATGCACTGCCAGGTTAGCTGTGGACGACAGACAGACTACTACTACTACTACTACAACTACTCGCGCTGCTGTGTGACTGACCAGTGGTGCCCTCGCCTGCAAACACTATCAGCTGGGCCTCGCTTGCTAATCGGATGTCGGTCTTCTCCTCCGCCGGCAGGGAGCTGTCCAGGATGCCTTCGAACACGGTGCTCTTGACCCGCTCCGGGTTTTTGGAGGCACGGATTTCGCGCACCTTGTTGATCCACCACTACGGGGGGGCATGTCAGTCTGTGAGGATAGTACGCGGGGGCACAAGCGAGGCCACTTACGTCTTGCCGCTCACGCAGTGCAGTCAGGACGGGGAAACAGAGCCGTACGAGCCAGACGGGCGCGTTTTGGGCATATTGCACGAGCCATGGGACCAGGCCAAAGATGTGCGTGAGGTAGAAGAACCACTCGGTGGATTCCTGGAAGTCTTTGCCGTAGTCGGGAGAGTCCATGTAGCCCATGTTGTCGCCGAAAGCATAGAGTGTGATGATATCGCTTGCGCAGGCCTTGAACACGCGGTGAATTTCAACGACTTCCTCAGCCTTGCCAGACGCTTCCAGTCGCGTCATCATCTTCTGCATGTAAGTCTTCAGGATGGGCTCCAGGCGGCGAACACTCGCGACAGAGAAGAAGGAGTTGAGAGCATTGCGACGGCGACGGTGTAGGTCATGGCTTGGGGTGGACACGATAGAGTAAGGCGCTGCGAAACAAGTGTAGGTCAGTGGCGTCCCCCAGCAGGCAGAGATGGTCAAGACATACTGCCCGTTCTTTGAGCGACCCATACAGGCTTATCCGTCTTCCGTAAGGTGGTCGGATAGGCCTGGTCGATGAACTCGGGGTCGTTCCAGTGGACTTCATGCGGGCTGACGCGGATGAGAGGTCCTTTCGACTTGACGCGTTAGTCCCACTGTCTGCAGGTGGCAGAACCGAGGATGAGCATACCGTACTGTTCGTGTAGCTTTGCAACGTGATTATAGTACTGCCCGCCTTTGACGATTTCAAAGTAAGACTCGTATAGGAACGTCAAGGCTAAGAGCGATGATTAGATGTTTGCATTGGTAAAATAGATGGGCGCAGAGAAGGTACCGGCGAGCTTGGGCCCTGGAATTTTGGCCAATGCCAGGGGCGAGAAATAGACTGGTTGCCAACTGGTTAGCTTTGCGTGCGCAAAATATCACAGACACTGTCAAGCCATACGCCGATAGATGCTCGTGCTAACGGTGTGGACGATGAAAATGGCAACCAGCGCGAAAAGAACTTTGCGCTGCCAGCTTTGCTCAGGGTCGGCTAATACCGCAATGGTAGACCCAGCATCTGTCCACAGCCGCTGGAAGGCTGGCTCCAGGTTTGGCGCTGACCAGTTGAGGATGGAGTCCATGATGAGGTGCAGGGTACGGTGTGGGAGGGCACGCGGCGGCGCGAGGGCGACTAATATATTAATGTCAACCCCTCCCAGGATATTAATTAGGTCAAGTGCACTTAGTGCAATGCAGAACACGAACGGATGTTCAGCGGGCAGCGGTTCGACGAGCGCTGACTCTGATGGTCGGGTGTCATGGTTCGCGGAAGGGGGAGGCTTGGAGAACAGCCGGATTACGGCCGGGCTGACAGCGAACGGTAAGCATGCAGCTCAAGAATGGATAAGCAAAAAATTCTGGATAATACTCGGTATCATACTATCTACCACACTCAAGAGAGCCGTCGGTATAATACTCGAGTGCATTAGAGCCGCGGTGCTTCAGGCTTCCCTCAGTTTGCAAGTCCCATCCACAATGGCCTCATCCTATGCGAACCTGTCCACGATGGTCCAACATGCGTGGAGTCATGGTGAGGTTGCAGCCTACATGCAACAATTTCGAGAGAATCCACAAGCGTTTATATGGCTGCTGGTCGCCGCCTATGCTACGTACTGGGCTTTTACCGTCATCTACAACCTCACTCTCCATCCACTGGCGCATTTCCCGGGCCCGTTTCTGTGCCGCATCAGCAATTTACCGCAATGCTACTACGAGGCAATTCTGAACGGGCAATTCATGCCGGAAATTGATAAGTATCATGAGAAATACGGTCGATCTGCCCCCGTTCTGGACGCGACAGAGCACCGGCTGACTGACTAACCTCGTCCAGGCCCCGTCGTGCGAATCAACCCAAATGAGGTCCATATCAAAGACTCTTCTATGTATCATGCGTATGCAAGATCGACACCCTACTGAGAAATTCGAACAGACATTAACACACCAGCTAGTGTCTATAAAAACCCGGCTTTCACAAAGGATCCGGGCTCTTACGCTCTTGGCGTGTCTCAGGGGATGGCGTTTACCATATCAATTGACCAACACAAAGAGAAGAGAAAGACCCTGAATCCCTGCTTCTCCAAGCTTTGCATCAGCAACATGGAGGGCACGTTGTACGATGAGCTTGATAAGGTCTTCTCGAAAATCAAGGAATATGAACGCCAAGGCGAACAAGTCCCCATCGCAGAGCTCTTGTATTGCTACACAGTGAGTCAGCGCACACTCGAGAACCTAAAGAGCATAGGCTCAATCGCAATAGGCCGATATAATCTCCAGCCATTTCCTTGGGAAAAATCTTGACCTCATCGCGGCCCCCAACTTTATCGAACGGTCGGCAGAGATGCAATCCTTCACCAAGGGTATCTGGATGGCTGTCCACTTTTCCTTCGTCCGCTACATTCTGGTTGCTACGCCGCGGTGGATGCTGGCGTACCTCAGTGGCACTTTTGTCGACGTGATCTGGGTAAGTCACTCTACGTTTGAGCTTTGGACTGGTGCTAATCGCAAGAACGCCAGTTTGTCGAACGTGCCGCGCAAGCCGCCATCAAGACATTCGACCTCGACAAGGCTCTGCAAAAGAAGGCGTACGAAGAAACCATCTTCGACCGCATGCTCTGCGAAAACGCTAGACGTGAAGAAAAGGGCCGAAAGGCTAGGCCGCTCCACTTCCGAGAGCTTGCAGATGAGGGCACAGGCGTCCTCAATGCAGGCACTGAGCCGAGTGCGATCATGCTTTGCTATGCAACTTACTTCTTCTCCCGCTTTCCTCACGTTCAGAAACCTCTCCTCGAGGAGCTTGCTTCCGTCGAGCGCCAAGACGGACGACTACCGCTGCGCAAGCTGGAGGCCTTGCCCTATTTGGTGAGTGTCTTGGTGCTCATGTTCATTGAAGAAAACCGCTAATCCGCTGCCATGCAGACTGGCTTTATTAAGGAAAGCCTGAGATACATGCCACTGATCCCGGGCCGGTTGCCTCGCGTCGTGCCCAAGGGAGGTCTCTACGTCCCAGCCGTTAACAAGACTATTCCTGAAGGCTGTGTTGTTGGCCTGAGTCAGTTACACATCTCCTTCGACCCAGAAGTGTTCCCGAGCCCATACGAGTTCAGGCCCGAGCGCTGGTTTGCTGAGTCAGGAAAAGACCTTGATCATTGGGTGCTTGCATTCTCGAAAGGTCGAACTGACTGCATCGGCAAGACGTGAGTGATTCCTCCTTTGCACCAGACATTTTTTTCCCCCGGGAAGCTGACATGGAGCAATAGCCTTGCGTATGCGGAGATGTACTTGGTCCTGGCCAACTTGTTCACGAGTTTCGACATAACGTTGGCTCCTGGAAGCCGTGAGGGCATGGAGTGGGATGATCGTGTCGTCGCGCATTCCAAGCAAAACTTGCGCATCCTCGTCAAATCGAGGACGGTGTGACGGGCTTTGTCGTGCTGAAAGGACTTGGTGAGAGGGGGTACATATGGTGACATTTCACGTGATGCTCACATGACAGCGGGTGTGTATTACGGAGTACGTACATTAAAACCAGTAGACAGAAGTTAGAACCAGAACACTGCTTACATTGTATCGTCGATGAACCATTCATATTCTTACTATCTACTTTAACAGTACGTTGCTCTCCTGATGTTATCGAGGTGTTTGATGGTTTCTAAGTCGAAACGACACAGTGATCATTGTCGGTCCGATTGTCGACTTGAGAAGCTATTAGTTTGTTTGACATCCTAGTGTGACCAAGTTGCCGGCCAAAATCGCATTTGACAACGAAGTTCATAGAGTCTGGATGTTATTAAACTTTTTTATACGTTCTACGAGAATGGTTTCCGCTCTGAGAACGGCTAAAGATCATGTTTCTGCTCTATAAGACTGATTGCGTTGACCACATTAAGCAATTCTAAGCAAGGCAATGAGCCGATGGATGTTGTTGACTGAGCATGCAAAAGGTTATTCATGCATTCACTCCAGCGTGCCTTCGAGAGCTGCGTCAAGGAAATCAAGAGTCGCCGCCACCATCTCAGTTGATCCGTCTCCAGTGGCAATGTTCAAGTGGCCTTTGCCCTTTGCGAAATACTCCCGCTTGGGGCTTTGCACCCTCGACAGAGCCTCCCTCTGTTCCGATATGGGTGATATGTCATCTAGTTCAGGAATTATCATCATCAGCGGTGCTTTAATCATGTTCATATATTCCATTGGACGGAACATGGCTAGCTTTTGGTAGGTTTGGAGCGTCAGGCGGTCGCGAAAGTCAGGATGGCCTAACTCGGATGCGGCCTTCATCAGATTGTACGCCTCAACCCCACCAGGGCCTCCAGCGCCCCCCATGCCGATTGGATTGTCTCCCTGGGGCGTGAATGGGGCTATTGAGAGGGGCTCATTTTTCCTCAACTGCGACACGCGATCCTTCATGAGCAGTGCATAGGCCTTGTCTGCTTTGTGTGGCTGCACATAGCTGAACAACGGGCAAACCATGACGACTGCTTTGGGACGGCGGTCAACGGCAGCAGAGCAGGCGCTCACTGCTCCACCAAATGACATGCCCCAGAGCGCTATGCGACGCGAATCGACGCTTTTCAGCTCCGAGACGAAGGTGTAAATGTCTATATCATCGGTTAGCTTTTGGACTTGTTCGTTTGCGCCGCAGCACCAACCAGATAGATCTTCGGCCATTTGAAGAGGGTCGAGGAGATTACGTGGCGATCCCCCGCTTGCTCCAACGCTGCGAGCGTCGTATAGAAAGACGTTGTAGCCTCGCTTGTGGAACGCTTCGGCAACCTCTGGAAGGGTCATCTCTTTGACGCAATTGAACTGTTGGAAACGGTGAGTTTACTCTGCTAGAGCGGAGTGCAACAATTGCCCACATACGCCGTGTGACATGATGATCGCCGGTGCAGGCCCATCATCGACTGTGTACAGCCACCCTGCAATTGATGTGCCATCAATTGTCTTGCACTCGACTTGACGATGTGGTGAGAGGTGCGGCATGACGGCGACAGGCTTCAGGATGGCAGACAGGCGGTTGAGATGTCGCGACAATGGTTCTACGGACGGGGTCAAGACTTAGGTAATGTGCGGCTCTGAGATAGCCGCGTGGATGACAAGGAAGCCGTTCGCATAAGCGTAATATATAAGCATGCGCCGGGTAATCAGAATGCTTACAGGGTCCTGCCAAACATGATCTGTGGGGCCAGCGTTACGGTAAGACTAATGGAGTCAGCACCAAGCACCCCTAGCGTCACTAATCGGCCATCCGTCGTATTATGGAACCCGCAGAGTATGTGCGTGTCCAGCAAGTCGCCGTCATATAGCACTCGTAAACCAAACATATGGATAGCTCTTATCTTCCTCCAGCAGCATATCAAGCCGCCGCTACAATATCTACATAACCACAGGGCCAAACTACCTTTGCACCTCTTCACACTCAGATAAAACTGCGGCCTCACTCACTCCTCCTCCCCAGGCCGAACACTTGCCCTTTCCTTCTTTATCATCTTCATAGAGCGGCCGGCTTTCTAGGTTTTGATACCGCAACATCGCAAGCACGACCACAGCTTGTTTGTACATACCGTCCATCTGTTTTTCCTTAATCAGTTCTTTTGCAGACACAATGGATAGCGCCCAGTTTCAACAGGAGCCTATGGCTGTCGTGGGCTTTGCCTGTCGACTCCCTGGTGGCAACCACTCTCCCTCAAAGCTGTGGGACTTCCTAGAAAGAGGTGGCGTCGCTTCCAATGAGGTCCCTGAGACTCGCTTTAACATCAAGGGTCACTATGACGGCTCGCACAAGCCGGGAACCATGCGGCCCAAGGGTGGCATGTTCATTGGCGACGTTGATCTCGCCGACTTTGATGCCTCCTTCTTCGAGATCGGTGGCACCGAGGCCATTGCCATGGATCCCAACCAGCGCCAGATGCTCGAGGTTGTCTTTGAGGGCCTTGAGAACGCCGGTATTCCCCTAGAGAAGGTCGACGGCGCGCCTGTTGCGTGCTTTGTTGGCTCCTATGCATCAGGTAAGCACAACTATCAAAGACCACTCGTTGCTCATAGAGAGCTAACCTGGTGTATCCAGACTACGGCGACATGCAGAACAGAGACGCCGAGGACCGACCAGCAAACTGCGCTATTGGTGTCGGCCGCAGTATCATGGCCAATCGCCTCAGCTATTTTCTCAACGCCAAGGGCCCGAGTATCACCATCGACACGGCGTGTTCCGGCAGTTTGGTCGCCCTTGACCTGGCATGCCGCTCCATCCAGTCAGGCGAGGCTTCCACGGCCATCATCGCCGCGAGCAACTTCTACCTCAATCCTGATCACGTCATGGATATTGGCAACGTCGGTCAGGCACATTCCCCCACTGCATTGTGCCACACCTTCGACATGGACGCCGATGGCTACGTCAAGGCAGAAGCAGTGAGCTGTGTAATCATCAAAAAGCTCTCGGACGCCATTCGTGACCGTGACCCGGTCCGCGCAATCGTTCGAGGCACGGCGTCAAACAGGTATGTACTCTCCTCTTTTCAGTAGACCATGCTTTCCAAAAATGATTATGCATACCTAACACAACTCTCGCAGTAACGGACGGACAGGCGGTATTGCAAGTCCCAGTTCCGAGGCACAGGCTGCAGCCATTCGGCGAGCTTATGCCAATGCTGGCATCTCAAACTTCAACGACACTGCTTATCTTGAATGCCACGGCACTGGCACGCAAGCAGGCGACCCGACTGAGGTTAATGGCGCTGGATCAGTCTTTGGAGCCTCACGCTCGGCAGAGCGACCTTTACTCATCGGATCTATTAAGAGCAACGTGGGTCACTCAGAGCCAGCTGCTGGTAACTCTGGCCTGATCAAGGCTATTATGGCCATTGAAAAGGGTGTCATCCCCGGCACACCTCTTTTTATCAAGCCGAGTCCAAAAATTGACTTCGTTGGTAACAAGGTGAAGGCCTTCCGCACAGCAGTTGCGTGGCCAGACAAGGACTTCCCTTTTCGCCGAGCCAGCGTCAACTCATTCGGCTACGGCGGCTCTAACGCGCATGCAATCATTGAACAGCCTGAGGAGTCTGTACGAGATCACCATGTGTCGTCTTACAGAAACCCTGACGACTACGACGATGTAGGGGAGAGCGAGCGCCCCTATACTCTGTTCATATCGGCAAACGATGCCAAGTCTTTGAAAGGGAATATCGAAGCCCTCTGCAACCATCTCGTCAACCCCCGAGTCAAGGTTAGCCTTGCTGACTTGGCATATACCCTCACGGAACGCCGCTCACGACTTTGGCACCGTGCCTTTATCACTACTCATAGCACTGAAATCCAAGAGAACGACTTTACGGTCGGCAAGCGAGGCTCGCATCCGCCAAAGGTCTCCTTTGTCTTCACTGGACAGGGTGCGCAGTGGCCCCAGATGGGTAAGGACTTGCTCAACTACTTTCCATGGACTCGGTCGATCCTTGAGGAGCTCGATCAAGTACTCCAGACTCAGACCAACCCTCCATCATGGTCTCTTGTTGAAGAGCTGACCGAGTCCCGGTCAGCGGAGCACCTGCGACAGCCAGAATTTTCGCAGCCGCTTGTCACTGCACTGCAACTTTGCATTATCGCTGTGCTGGAGTCCTGGGGTGTCGTGCCTAGCAGCGTCATTGGCCACTCGTCTGGCGAGATTGCGGCCGCATATACTGCTGGCCTTCTAGACCGCGCCGGCGCAATCAAGGCAGCCTTCTACCGTGGCCGTGCAGCGGTCAATCGCAAGTCTGAGATTGAAACTGATGTCGGCATGCTCGCTGTTGGTCTTGGGCCCGATGGCGCCCAGCCATTCATCGAGAAGTACTCGGGCAGCGCTTGGATTGCTTGCTTTAATAGCCCTACCAGCGTGACCATCTCGGGACGCAAGCCCGCGCTTGAGTCTCTGGCCGAGGACATCAAGGCGGAGGGCCATTTTGCACGGCTACTGCAAGTGGATCTGGCTTACCACTCGGAATTGATGCATCTTATTGGTGTCGAATACAAAGACCTGTTGGATGCGGACAGCATGTTCCACGCCTCGACATCGTCGTCCCCTATTAGCATGTTCTCTTCAGTCACCGGCCAGAAGAAGGAGGACAGTGCAGACGGCGAGTATTGGAAGACGAACATGGTCTCTCCTGTCCGCTTCAGCGAGGCCCTGACAGAGCTTATCAAAGAAGATTCGCCAGACATGATCATCGAGATTGGGCCTTCCGGTGCCCTGGCAGGTCCTATCTCGCAAGTGCTCAAGCCTTTGTCGAGTGGTGCTAATGTGGCGTACGCTGCTGCATGGGCTCGAGGGGCTAAAGCAGGCGAGGCCCTCTTTAATGTGTCCGGTCGTCTTTTCATGGCTGGCGCTTCGATTGACATGTCTGTTGTGAACCAGTATGAAAGGGGCACATGCCGCACCATCACTGACTTGCCCAACTACTCCTGGAACCATACCATCAAGTATTGGCATGAAAACGCCGCCAGTCGAGACTGGCGTTTCAAGCAGTTTATCACTCACGACCTTCTTGGATCCAAGATTCCCGGTACCTCGTGGGAGTCATCAACGACCTGGCGCAAGCATCTCTACCTTGACAATGTGCCGTGGCTTCGTGACCACAAGATGGGGCCAGATGTTTTGATTCCCGGTGCTGGTCTTGCAACGATTGCACTGGAAGCCATGTACCAGAAGCATTGTGCCCTACACCCAGACCAGCAGCTAGAGTCCAATGACCTGTGTTACCGATTCCGGAACGTCAAGTTCGAGCGCGCCGTGGTTGTCGAAGAGAACAAACCGACTACCATAATGTTGACGCTGTCGAAAGTGCCGGGCAGCAAAGACTGGCACGAATGGCGCATCCAAACCTACGCTGATGGTGTGACGTCTGACCATTGCGGCGGTCTCATTCGCGTCCAGGAGCCCCTCGGCGACGACGAAGCTCTCACAGGCGCAGACCTGGTGCCTTTGAAGCACCCTCAGTCATCCAAGCTTTGGTACAAAGCACAGCGCGAAGTGGGAATGGGCTTCGGTCCTTCGTTCCAGAAAGTCAAGTCCTTCGAGACGGTCAGCGGCAGCCGCAAGTGCCGAGCGCTCGTGGATCTAAACCCGCCCGAGTCGAAGTGGAAGCCCGAATCCTACTATCCGCTGCATCCTGCCACCCTGGACTGCTTACTGCAGACAGCCACTCCAGCAAATGCTGCCGGAGAGCGAAGCTTGATCAAAGACACCATGATTCCCCATCTCGTCGACGATATGATCGTGAACAGGATGCCCAAGGGCATGACTGAGGGTTTAGCCGTTGCCGAGTCGATATACACGGGTCGTGGCCGCAAGGATGTTGCCAAGAGCTGGATCGCCAACATCAACATTCACGACCCTGCGACTGGAGCGCCCATCCTCAAGGTCAAGGGCTTGAACTATGTCAAGCTCGACACTGACGAAAAGCCTGACCCCCACGTCTTCCAACGTGTGACTTGGAAGCCCGACATTGCGCTTCTTACACAGGACCAGCTTTCCGTCCTGTCGGCTAATTCAGCAGGCCCGCTTGACACGGTCCTTGACCTGATTGCCCACAAGAATCCCACCCTCAAGGTGCTTGAGTTGAATGTAGATGAGTCCGACGTCTCGACGCTGTGGTTTGCCGGCGAGGACCAGGCGGTGCGTGCAGCTTACGCGCAGTACGATTTTGCCACTGCTGATGCCAAGACGCTGGTAACTGTCATGAGCGCCAACGAGACGAAGAGAGACACTGCCTTCCATCTCATGAACGCCTCAAAGGACGCTCTAGACCTACCCAGCACCGAAACCAAGTATGATCTGGCGATTGTCAAGGCACCAAAGGGCAAGGACGAAGTCTTGGCCCAAGTACTTCGCAACATGCAGGCTCTTCTCGCTCCGCATGCAACGGTCACCCTAGTCCGTCAAGACAGCGAGCTACACACGAAGCTTGTAGGTGTTGTGAATAGAGCGAAACCCACACAGACAGGTGACATTGATGCCACCAGCTCATCGTCTGACGAGAGCGTCGATACGCCGCTGTCGTCTATTCCTTCTACGCCACCGGAGCTGGATGAATCAAAGAATGGCGCTTTAAAGCAGGAGACATTGTCGTCCCTCCTCAAGGAGAACAACCTCTTCAGCTCCGTGAAGGAAATTGCAACTGCACCAGGCAATGACTCGGTGTTCTTGCTGAGCAAGAAGTCCATGGCTGATGTTGCTGTGGCCCCTCAGCAGCTCACCGTCGTCAAATTCCGCGCAGACAGCCCCAAGCTTTCATCTGGCTTACAGAGCACGCTTAAGGCTTCAGGCTGGACGATCCGCACTTGCATGGTTGAGGACTTTGCATCTCATAAAGATTACCAAGCCAGCGCAGCAGTCCTGGTCGTTGACGAGTTGCTGAAGCCTGTACTAAAGGACATGCCTGAGACGCAATGGGATGCTTTCAAAGAGCTCGTAAGCGGTGCTAAGCCGGTGGTGTGGGTTACCAAGGGGGCTCAGACTGCCAGTGTCACTGATCCTGACAACGCGCTCGTTCAAGGCCTCTTCCGTGTAGTACGCAACGAGATCCCGGACGCCAGGCTGGTCACTCTTGATATTCAGTCGGCGCTCAGCGCGGCTACCAATGTTGCCATTGATCAGGTGCTACAGAAGGTCCAGGCCAGCCACGACGGCGAGACGGAGTATGCCGAGCGCGACGGAGTAGTGGTCATCCAGCGTGTCATTCCCGACATCGAGCTCAATGACTTCAAGACTGCAGAGCACAAGGGCCTCGAACCTGTGGTAAAGGGCTTGCATGCCACTGAGGCGCAGGTCCGACTCCAGGCTGAGAAGGTTGGTACGCTTGAGAGCTTGACCTGGTGCGAGACCGCTGTTGGCGAGGTGCCAATGGAGCCGGGCATGGTTGAGATTGAAGTCAAAGCGGTCGGCGTCAACTTCAAGGTATGTTTGAAATTTGCCTATGTTTGGCGACAGTATGGTCTGCTAATGCCTTTCTTTTTGAACAGGATGTTGCAACAACCATGGGCATTGTGCCAGAGAATGAGTACACGATCGGTTGCGAGTGCGCTGGGGTCATCAAGCGCATCGCACCTGGAGTCGACAAATTCAAGGTTGGAGATCGCGTCGCCTGCATGCGGAGCGGGACATATGTGAACCGCGTTCAGTGTCCCGCTGATCGTGTGCATGTCATCCCAGACAACATGAGCTTTGAGGATGCATCGACTATTCCGCTGGTATACTTGACCGCAATTTATGCGCTGTACCACCTTGGAAACCTACGAGAGGGCCAGGTATGATGATGATATGCCGGCCGACCTTGCTCACGCAATCTTGCTGACCCTTTCTGTTCTAGTCCGTTCTTATCCACTCCGCAGCTGGTGGCGTTGGTATCGCCGCTATTCAGCTTGCTCAGTACAAGAAAGCAGACGTAAGTTGATGGGCTGAGAGCATGTAATGAATGTAGGTTCTGACAGGGGTTGGTCGAATAGGTCTTTGTTACTGTGGGCACCGCTGATAAGCGGGAATATCTGGCCAAGAACTTTGGCATTCCCGAGAACCGCATGTTCAACTCGCGGAACACCAAGTTTGCGGCGGAAATCCGACGCGAGACAGGCGGTCGAGGTATCGATGTCATCCTCAACTCCCTCATCGGTGAGTTGCTGGATGAGTCGTGGCGTCTCACGGCCGACGGTGGCATCATGGTCGAGATTGGCAAGCGAGACATTGTTGACCGCAACACTCTTGCCATGGAGCCGTTCGACCGCAACTGCTCATTCCGAGCTGTCGATCTTTCGTACACCAAGGAGATCACCAATGAGCTGATCGGAAGGTTCGTCCCCCATCTTACTGCCAACGTGTTATTTTGGGGATTCTAACAGGGACGGAATAGGTTGCTCGAGGAGATTTTCGACCTGGTCAAGGGAGGTCACGTCGGGCCAATCCATCCCATTAGCCAGTACAGCTTCGACCAAGTGATTCCCGCTCTGTCGTACATCCGCCGCGGTCAACACATCGGCAAGATTGTTATCTCCAGCGGTGAAGAGGACCCGCAGCTTCCGATCCGTCCAGCCGTTCGCAAGCTTCAGCTAAATGCTGACGTTTCGTATCTCATTGTTGGTGGACTGAAAGGCCTCTGCGGCAGTGTTGCTGTCCACATGGCCCGTCATGGGGCGCGTCACATTGTTGTAATGAGCCGCAGCGGTATTGATGACGAGGCATCGGCACGGTGCATTGCACACTGTGCAGCATGGGGTTGCGAGGTGACATGTGTCAAGGGCGATGTTGGCGACGACAGCTTCGTTGACGATGTTTTCAAGTCTGCACCCAAGAGGATTGCTGGTGTGATCCAAGGTGCCATGGTTCTCAGGGTGAGTGTGCTGCATCCGCTGCTTCGGAATATCTGACTGACACCAATACAGGACAAACCGTTTGAGACGATGACGCATGACGACTATGTGACTGGTCTCCACGCTAAGGTCGCCGGTACGTGGAACCTACACCACGCAGCACAGCGGCAGCAGACGCCGCTTGACTTTTTCACGCTGCTGTCCAGTATCTCTGGTGTTGTCGGCAACAAGGGTCAAGCCAACTACGCTGCCGCGAACGCGTTCTTGGATGCGTTTGCCTACTACCGGCAGGCGAAGGGGCTGCACGCCAACACGGTCGACCTGGGGGCCATTCAGGATGTTGGCTACATGGCGGAGCAAGGTGGAACCCTTGAGGCACGCTTTGACAAGCGTCAATGGACTCCCATCGATGAAGCTATGCTGCGCCGGATCATGAGCTACTCCATTTTACAGCAGGAGCATCAACCAATCCACAGCAACAGTAGCGCTCAGCTCGTCACAGGTCTGGCATACCCGCTGGTGGCTGACGGATCGGACTTGGCGAGCGAGCCCCGCTTCTCTTACTTGTTCAGCAGTCACGCTGGCGGCAGCGGTGCTGGGGACGAAGCAGGCGAGGGCAACAGCGAGATGGAACAGGCGATCAAGGCGTTTCATGTCCTGCACGGGACGGGTGCCGAGGCCGCGGCACTGAACACGGCTGCACTGGGCCTGTTACAGCCACAGATCACCAAGCTGCTGCGCCTCGAGACGGAGATGGAGCCCGGTAAGCCGCTGTCCGCGTACGGGCTCGATTCGTTGTCGGCCGTTGAACTGCGGGGTTGGGTGCGGCAGAAGCTGGGTGCCGAGCTGAGCACTCTCGATATCACCAACGCGAGCTCGCTGATTGCATTAAGTGAGAAGCTGGTGGCGAAGCTGCCGGCGGCCGGCGAGGGAAAGAAATAGGCGGCCTATTGGGTTGTAACATGTCCTATGGAGTTCTTACTTAGGGAAATGCATTTTGCTATAATGAATATAACCCCATGGATGCGAAAGATGGAAATTTCCGAGAAACATACTAAATCCTAAGGTAGATAACCAGAGTATCTACAGGGCCCGAAAGACACATCCACACCCCCGAACAACGAAGCAAAGCGCATGAACCTTGACTCAAAACATGTGTACGTCGCTACCGGAGTGGAACATCACCGGGAACAGATGTCTTCCCTCGTCCAAGTCCAGAACGGCCGCGTGCAATTGGGGGGGCACCATTTTGAGCGCCCCTTCCTCGACGCGGGCCTGCAGAAATCTGGCAAACAGGTCTGCTCCCATCCCCGCGGCCCCCTTACCCGCCGCGATAGCGACATCACTCAATTTCTCAAACGTGTTCCCACTAAATCTTCTAAGAAATTCCTCCAGGTCGTCGTCCGCCTGGCCATTGTTCGGGTCATTCCAAGGCTGGACTTCCAGGCTGTGAAGCTTCTGGCGTGCGCCGTCCCACAAGATGGATCGTTCAATGTACAAGCGGACCGCATGGCAGACCCGGCATTTCTTTTCGGTCATGTACTGATACCAGTAGTCTATCAATCCCTTTTCTGGGACCGCATTCTGGAAGCTGAATGCATCGGTGGCAATCCGTCGGCCGTACAGATCGCTACCGGATCCCAATTCCAGGCGACACAGAAACCAGTCTGCTCCAGCCACGCCGGAGAACCGAGCCAGCACCCATTCTCCGGCAATGGCATGCAGGTCGGGCTCCTGGACGAACCTGATCATACGGCGAACCCTTTTCTGCTCGGGGGTGATCGTACGCGAACTGCCCTTTGGTGGAGCATCCGGTGTCTCGTCGCGGGCGTCGAGTCCACTGTTGGCCACTGTCGCCACCTCGACTGGCGGCATTCTGTCTGACATGTCGTCCGCCGTCAGGCCGTCGTCGTCCTGGGCATCTTCGTCTGCAGTGGGTTTATCGTGGGGCCTCGCACCATCATTCGGTTGATTTTGGGGCTCACTCAGTTCACTCTCGACCACATGCGCCATATCGAGTTGCTGCTTCAGCGTATCTCGGTCGCAGGAGAATGCCACTAAGGCAATGGCGAAGCCAGTGCTGATGGTGCACCATCCATCGATCTTTTGCCCCTCAATAGCATTGACGACCTGCGCGCGAAGTCTGTCTTTATCCTCCATCTTGACAATAATCCTCTGGATGTCAAAGACTCCCCGGATACCGGCGCTGCTTACCACGATGGGGTTCGGGCATACCAAACGTGTGTCCCGCTCCACCGTTTGGTTTTTGTCAGGATCATTCCTCTTCTCGTCTTTCGTCTTCCTGATCCGCTCGTAGTTTTCTTCAATGATATTGTTTTGACCTTTGAGCTTTTGAGCCAGGTCTTGAATTCTCGCTTGCAGGATTTGTTCCTCAGCCCGTGGAGCTGGTCCCTGCTGCCTAACAGTCTCAGGAACTGTGTTCGGAGAGTTGCTATGACCGTCCGCATACGGCTCTGTCTCTTTCGCTATTGATCCTCGCTTGGAGCCGAACCTCGTCAATGGTAACTTTCTCGGGGAGAAGCTAGCCATCGCACCTGTCAGTTGGCTGAAGCCGGTATTCACAAATGTCGTTGGTTTGCATTGGGCCTCTTGGCCAGGCTTGTCAGTCTTCTCTTCCTTCTTGCCATTCTTGTCATCCTGGTGAGCCTTCTTTGCCTTCCGGATGTCACCAAGCATGTTAACAATGCCTTCCAAGTCGCGAGTAACAATCCTTAGTTTACTAAATTCTGCATCTTGTATGTCGCGAACAAGGCGCAATAAAGATGTTGCATCCGGGCAATCCTGCCTCAAGTCTTTGACGCGTTTCATCATCTTTACCAACAGCCACACCACATCTTTTGCTATGTCACTCTGCTGGTGACGCTCAGCCTGGAACAATTCCAGAATGCGTGTATTGGTCTTCGCCTGGTCAGCCAGATGAGGAGTTTCAATCGGATCCTTAAAGGCACCGATATTGGAAGGGTAGAGTGATCGGCCTTGGATTGGTGTGCCAGCATGCTTGCCAGACCAATTAAATACAGAAACCTCGTTGGATGAGATGACAACCTCGTCCAAAAGACGGGCAAGGGCTTTTGGCAACCCTTCCGCAGAGAAAGCCGGAAACCGCACCCCCATAATGCCCATGAGCGAGTACGCTTGGTCTGTGGGAACGGTAGTGACTCGATCGGATGCAGTAGCGAGCACATTTCTCGCCGCAGAGCTCAATGGGTCTATTCCCGTCGCCCAACTGGTAAGCTTTGACAATCGACCAAATCGCCGTATCTCCTCACGGTCTTTCTTGATATAGCTACAAATTTCATCTTTAAGTTCAGCTAACAATCGGTTGATTCTAGCTTCTCCGCTCGCAGAGGCCACCGCTTGGGCAATCTGCGCTTCAGCGGTCATGTTCGATATATGCCGTGGAGGGACGAATCCATGCGTTTCAAGTTTCCCAATCAACGTCTTGATTCGTTCCATGCTAGGGGTGTCACTCTGTAGGAGGATACTTAGTTTGTTGCACCGTCCAACTTTAATGAAGTCGGGGAAGATCTTACACTTGCTGACCCGTCTGATCCTGCATCGGTTGAATTTTTTTGCTTCGCTTGGGATGGGTTTAAGTATTGCTCGAGGAATGGTCCCACTGGGTAGTAGGGACCGATGGCATCAATTTCTCTGCTCAAGAGCTTCCATCGAGAATTGACATAGTATGTCATTTTGCTGAGTACCAGCTCTTGCAGCGTCCAACCTCGCTCCGCCCACTCGATATGGTACCCAGCATGGTGGTCTGGACAGTCTTCACCCCAGCAGTTAGGGTTGGCACAGATTTCTCCAAGATGCGAGATATTTTCCTCCACTGGGTTTAGTGTGTGACCCTCGAAGTATTCATATTCCTGCAACCACTCGGCGTGCGAGCGCCGAGTATCCAGGTGTACCAAGCAAAAGTCCGCATTAGCATACCAGTCTCCCATCAGCGCCAAAGACTCGGTCAACTCATATGTGTTGGATTTATTAATGCAACAGGTATCGAGCCACACATACTTCTTTCCCCCTTTGGAGTACGGCATCCGCTCAAAAAGCTCTTTGGCGACTTCAATCGACTCTTTGATTTTGCGGGCGGACCTTTGGCGCTGAAGGGCGGTTAGCACTTGCTCCACGAGATAAAGGGCGTGGCGATTGTTGGTGAAAAGCTTCTCCGTATCTTGCTGCGATTCAATGGCCTCCCGGGCCTTTATGAGGTCGCCATCTGCTTTGTCTCGACGGTCTTTCGCATCTTGTTGGAGGCCTTCCACTTTTGAGAGTAGCTCTGCGAATGCACTATCTCCCTTGCCATCTTGAGTGGTTCCATCCGTGGGAGCTGTGTAATGGAGATCTTTAACTGGTTCTAATAAGGTCTTGTAATGTGATCTTTCGTGCTCTGCACTGGCGAGGTATCTTTCTTTATCACGCGACTTTTTCTCGGCCTTGGCGAGCTTCTCTTTGGCCTCTTGCGCTTGGATGTACCTGTTGAGTAATTCAGGAACCGAGGGGACTGTCTCAACGTCACCGTTCGCAATGGGCAACTTCTTCTGAAGCTTGTCGATTGCTTCGCGCAAATCTTTGTCACACTTGTACGTGACGCCTTGAAGGTCGTTATGCTTCGATTCGATTCCGGGACTGGAGTCCCCGGCTGCTTCCTCTCCCTCTGACCGAGTGGAGGCTTTCGCGCCACAGAAATACCCGTAATCAATTTCAGCTCCCTTCCAGCTATGTGAGAGGATGCAGTACTGGTCTTGGGGGCCTAGGTCGACGGTGCTGACCATATTTTTCGTCTCGAGATCGATCATGCGAACCGGAGTTTTCAAGTCCTCAGCTGGCAGCATAAACCAATTTGTGGACTTAGGCTTCTCGGTGGCCTTAGGCTCTTCTTTGCTCGTGAACTTTGGCAGGATAGTTGGTTTGACTAGATAAAACAAGACTCGCCGAAGCGTGTGCTTCTGTTGAGAATGAAGGACGAGATTCCTCAGCTGGGCGACACTCGCACTCGCGGCATCAAGCAACTGGGCGCCCTCTTTGTAGAAAGTTTCAACCTTTTCTGAGGCACCCTTCTGCAACTTATGCACCGAGACATTTCCGAGTTCAAGCATGTCGGGGATCTGAATAGGAGTGGTTGGAACTTGGTTGCGAATGGAGGGCAGTAAGCCGTGGGAAACGACGAGATTATATAGCATCGACTCCGCATCGGAGAGGAGGTAATCCACACGTCAACCAAGAGGTTACGGAGAAAGGGCTAACGGAAAGACGGAAAGAACTGTTCAATGTCTTGCTCATTCCAGCAAAAGGATGCCGCGTAATTCCCCCCCGGGAAATGGACAGGCGCGAGTCATGAACCCGATATGGCACGGTCCGTTCAGGTTGTTTTCCTCGCTCGTGCATTGAGATGCATGACGGGGCGAGATACATGCATTTATCATTTACCAACCAAAAGCTGCCATACTGAGCTCGGGGCTGGTAAAGCCCCGGAACTCAGCCGCAAGTGTGTGTCATTGAATTGTACACGTCTCACATCTCACGCATCCGTATCATTTCTATCCGCCTTTGCCGGATCTAGGCCTGAAAAATGCCTCAGCTATCATCCGGACTGTGCATTCCATTCAGCAACATAACGACTAGTAGTTGGAAGACTTCGTTGGAGTTACATCGCATGGTTCCATCGGGATTCAATGAGAGATGCGTTCTCATGAGGCGTTCGCTGACACGTCATATACATTGATGTCACAATTTGCCTACCTATCATACGCTCTGCAAAGAAGGGCACTGGCTACTTGGTGTAGTACAATTTATTGTGTCAGACGAGATGATTGTTCTTCCATCATAGAGCCCTGCCCACCGTATAATAGATTGCCCCCGGGCTCTCCAAGGACGATTCCCAACGGACCTCAGCCGCCACAATGTTCTCCTACCACCGCGTTTTGAAGTTATTCGGACGGTCTATTCATGACAAGACTTTACAATGTGACTGGTACGGATGTCTTCCAGCCGTGGTGGATAGGCTTCACTGACAACATTGCAGCGACATCCATCCGTGGGAGATCACCATCAACAAAGAGCGATGGACGAACAAGATCCGACTGATTGGGTTCATTGACGTGTTCTTTGTGATTTCCTACTCGGCCAACGACCGCTTCGAGCAGGGAATCATTGTCTACAGTAAGCTGCCCGGGAATGCGAGCATCACCCACGACTGACATGCCTCAGAGGACAAACTGGCGCTAGAACAACTGACCGGACATATACCGGAAGACAAGGGCGATTCGAGCATCAATCAGACCCAAGACCAAAATAGAGAAAGTGAAAACAACACAGATAACAGTCTGTTTCCACTGGGACTCAATTTGTACTTGAAAACGAATCTAATGTAATCCAGAGAACAACGACAACGAAGAGAACAAACTGGCGCTAGAACAACCGACCGGACATACGCCGGAAAGCAAGGGCGATTCGAACATCAATCAGACCCAAGACCAAAATGGGGGGAGTAAAATCGACACAGATGACGGTCGGTTTCCACTGGCACTCAATTCGCACTTGAAAACGAATCTAATGCAATCCAGAGGACGACGACGACGAAGATAAAACACACGACCCTAAACAAGCTGCATGGAAAGAGAATCGCTCTTATAAAACGACCAGCCTGGGCCACAAAATCGAACTTCGAACCGAGTATCCCGGAGGATGGATTAAGCCATACGAAATCTGCATTCACAAGCCTATGAACTGGGCGATGGCTAGTGAGTGGACACTCCCTTAGCATATGATTCGTATCTACACAGATACACACACACACACCCAGGCAGAGAAATTAATGATAGGTTAGAGCAAGTCCGGCGCGGAATCAAGCCACACGGGATTTGGCGACTTGCTCGGGACGTGATCGATTGCGGAATCATCACCGAAGCACAGTTTCTGGGCCACATTCTCGGTGCAGTCCTGGCGGGCAGTACTGCAGATGATGTCCTGCGTAAAGTGCTCGGCGAAGTCGGTTCATACAATCACGCCAATCGACTGATATTATCGAATGATAACGTCTGATCGCGTCCACGCGCCATCCTCTCAGAAACCTTTCTGGAAGTAGCCGATGACGAGTGATTTTGGTGTAGTCAATTCGAGCTTCTGTATTTTCACCCGGAATCTCTTTTGTTTTTTTGTTTTTTGTTTTTTTTTTCTTCTTTTTCCTGCTCGTACTGTCCAATGTGAAAGTTGAATATCCCCCTCACACCATCATATCATAGTCACGCATAGTATCCCATGCATCGAGTATCGATGCTTGCCGGGGCAAATGACTAGTAGACAGACTACAAGATCCTCCCTGATCACATTTCAATTCACGATGCCCTTACTAGGTTGAGGGGATTATGCTGCTGTAGGTTCTAATTTACGTAGGAATACGCGGCACTCTAGAAATATGCCATCAGAAGCTGAGTCTGACCCACCCACCACCATGCGGAGTTACCAACAAGATCGACCGCTGAGGCTGATGGCAGTAGATAGATCAGACGTCTCTAACCAAACAAGTAGGTTCCGTGCATACACAGCTCATCAAGCAAACATGGATGAGGGCAACGTCGCATATGAACCTGCCACTCATATCCTTTTGTTTGTTTCAGCTTACCCTGCCATGCACATACTAGTATTTGATACCCACTTCCCCCTTCCCCCCGGCTGACGGGCAGTCAATCCTATTGGGTTGTGCACGGACTGGAGCGGCTGCATGGTGCTCCGAATGAAGTGGACAAGGCTGGCAATCTTGCCAAGAATATTCGGACTAGAAGGCATTCATTCCTACATCGTAGACGGAGTGCGTAATGCTACGAGGTAGCTTTGACTCTATCTATTCCTGAATTTCAATTTCACAACCACTAGGTTGATATCTGTAACCACTAGGTTGATATCTGTATACTACTCCTAAGGTTTATGGTCTGATGCCGAGCAGGCGCTGAAGACGAACCCTGGGGCATGATGTTGGGAACACCCCCGCACACTTCTTGCTCGCCAAAGACCCCACCCAGCAACACACTGCTCGAACGCTGGCGTATGGCGAAGTTGCGGCGGGTCATGCGAATGGTTCCAGCTGTGGAGGTCGACAGCAGCTAGCACCACCAACTATCATGAAACTTACAAACGGGTCCGAAGCTTCTCATCCGCAACATGCGAGATCTTAAACCCGCCGACACATAGCTTTTGGAAGACCTGATGCGGGTCATACTTAGCCGCCGCAAGCTTCATCTTGCGCACATTCTCCACGCCATAGCTGCGCAGCGGATCCTGCGACCCGTCCGCATAGTTCAGGTAGACCCAGTCGAGGTTCCCATTTTCTATCGTCGCCGCGTACGCCTTCAACTCCTCGACCCACGCCCGGATGCGCGGGTAGGCAAAGGCCTGTTGCGCGGGGGTCTTGAGCAAGACGATGGCGACGAAGAGCAGGCCGTCGACACGCTGGTTCTGCACGCCCATCACGTTGCCCCCGTTGCGCGCGGACGTCTGGCCGTAGGCTTTGGGGAGCGGCTGGAGAAGGCACTGGGTCGTGAAGTCGCCGTCCGGGATCAGTGTCTTGAGGTCGGCTACGAGGCGCTCGTGCAGCTCGGTCGCTTTGGCGACGATGCGCGCGTCGTTGGCGAACGTCGCCGTGTAGAAGGTCGACTGGTGGTCTCCCGGCGAGACGTCGTACTCTGACACCCCGCCCAGCACCGTCGTCTGTTTGCATGTGTCCATGATCGCGGGCAAGTCCTTGAATCCGTGGTATGCTGGCGCATCTGCAATGCCGGCGAGTTGCGCGATGGCGATGACCACAACTATATCCTTGAAGTCGGGCTGTTTTCATGTAAGTCTTCTAGCTGCTGATCAAGGGTGACTTCGGACATACTAGGAGGGAAGAGACACATGGTAAGTTAAGAGAGTCATATACAGTCGCCCGCAGGCAGCAGCAACTCACCCGTATATGTGTGAAACCAGAGCATGTGGCTATCGGGGTCCGAGTGCACACTGGCCGTGAACCGCACCAGCGCCTCGGTAGCTTGCGGCGTGACCTGTTTCGGGTAGATCTTCAGGCCGCCAAAGATACCGTCGCTCTTCAGCGCATGCATCTTGTAGTTCGTCACGATACCGAAGTTATTCGAACCACCCTTGAGCGCGTAAAACAGATCGCTGTACTCCTCCACCGTGGCCGTGACGATGCGCCCATCCGCAAGCACAACCTCAAACGAAACCACGTCGTCGCAGGTGAACCCGCGTCGCCCCGTGGAGAAGGAGATCCCACCGCCCAGGATCAAGCCCCCCACGCCGACGGTGCCGTTACGACCGCCGGCGACGATGCGGCCGTGCTTGTCCAGCTCGCCGTAGACGTCGCGCCAGCGGCCCCCGGGGCCGATGTCGACCGTCTCGGAGGCGGCGTCGAAGCGCGTCCAGCTCAAGAGGCTGAGGTCGATGGTGACGCCGCCGCTAATGTTGTTTGCGCCGGCATGTGGCGTGTGGCCGCCGCTGCGGACGGCGAACTGCGCTTGCTTGTCGGCTAGCGTCTTGACAATGGTCGAGACCTCGCTGGCCGAGCGCGGCCGCACGATGCACGCGGGCTGGAGGCGCGCCTGTTGCGACCAGTAGCTCTGCTCCCGCGCCGTGTACTCTGCACTGTCGGGCCAGAGCACTTGACACTCGATTCGGGCCTCGGCCAAGGCTTGCGCCAGGACGGATCCCTGCGTGGATGAGGGTGTCGTCATTGTCGATTTTGCCGTGCAGCTAGGTTCTCAAGACAGGGGAGGCTCCAAAACTTAGCGCCTTGCGCCTACGACGGATACATCGACCTGGGGGAATAAATAGTGGAGCATAGTGGATCATGCCATATGTGTGTCCCATCGTTGTCGAGAATCTATGTAAAACGCGTTGTGTCTGGACGTCGACGGGTGGTCGGGGATGAATGGCTTACATGCATGATGACTTACAGAGTGATTAGGGTTGGTAGTAGTTACGGGTACGGGCCAGACCCCACCATGCGGGCTTACTTCTTACGTCCAGGTTCCCGGTAATCAAGATCCGCGGCTAGTAACCCTAACTGGATCTTATCAGTGTCGAAGCTTTCCGGCGTGTCAGCTTACGTTGGATCTTAATTGCACGCATGATTATCTTGTTAAGTAATCCTTGTAATTAGAAGGTAACGAGTCCGTCCATGGGTACCTACAGTGTAGGGGTTTAATCTGGTCAAGGCCAGTTGTCATCTTAATGACATAGGTAACTACACGGGCAGAGGTATAATCTCTGGTGGAGAATGATGATCAGAGGTAAGAGAGGGGTGGGGCGCTGACACGAGGGAGCACGCCTTGGGATCACCGACACTGTCGCCTCCATGTCACTTCTAGGGCACAGTACTTAGGTCGTGCGCATTTCCTATGCTCTCACGATCGATGCAATTCACACGGACGTCTTTCTGTATACATTCGGTCTCAATCCATCGTTTTAAGAGTAAACAACCTTCCCTATATTCTTCCACACCAGCAATCTCGACAACCAGCTTCTAGAAACGACCACACAAAATGGAGCCCATCACAGTCTACTACTCCGGTCAGTGCAACAACCCACATCTTGTGCAACATCAGCAGAGACACTGACAGCTTCACAGGGGAGGCCTTCAATCCGTGGAAGGTATGTCACAGAAAGAACACTAGGCTCACTGCCCCCCCCCCCCCCCCGCTGACGCTAACGCTCTCACCAGGTCGTCCAGATTCTCGAAGAGCTCAGCCTGCCCTACACGCTGAAGAACATCCAGTTCGACAAGGTCAAGGATACCGAGCTGACCAGCGTCAACCCCAACGGCGCGTGCCGGCCATCATCGACCCAAACACCAACCTGACGCTGTGGGAGTCGGGCGCCATCGCCGAATACGTAGGTCCGCGAACAGTTCCCTCCGTGATCACACCGCGAGCCCTGACACTGTCCCCCACAGCTTGTTGAGCAATATGATACGAATCATCTCATATCCTACGACACTTTAATCGAAAAGAACCAGGCCCGTCAGTTCTCTCACTTCCAGGCGTCCGGCCACGGACCCCCGAACGGTCAGGCCGTGTGGTAAGGCTCCTCTGACGAGTTCCCCCTACGACACTTGACTGACGAGATTTCTTTTCCGGCAGGTTCATGATGTACCACCCGGAGAAGGTCGCATCCGTCATCGAGCGGTTCCAGAATGAGACGGAGCGCGTCGCCCGAGTTTTGGATGGCATCCTGGCTCAAAATGGGACTGGCTGGCTGGTCGGTGATAAATGCACCTATGCTGACCTGTCGTTTTACCTCTGGGGTCTGGCGAAAGATCTGGCCTGGCCGGCAAAATGGGATAATGCCGAGCTGCCGCACTACACGGCTTGGATGAAGAGCATGGGAGAGCGGCCGGCGACGAAGAAGACGATGGCGCTGCGGGAGGAGAAGTCCTGAAAGGCGGATCAGAGAATGTCACCACCGAAACTGGAATAAGCGGTAGTGATTTCGCAGGGTAAATCAGCAGTACTAAACTTTAAGTAGCAAAACAGATCAGTTCTTTTGGGTGTCTTTTTCCGTAGGATCCTCCTAGTGTGATTGGCCGACGGTACCCTTGTGCCTTAACGATCGATACGCTCTGTGGTGTGTCGTATTGTGGTGGTGGTCGTATATCATCGCCGAGGAAAGCCCGTTGGATCCTACTGTGATGAGATCCCGGTGGATCCCCGAGGCTTAGTAAAGTTTGGCAAAGCAAGGGATCATCCTCCTGCCATTCGTAGGCTCGTTTCATTCGAGATTATTTGTCAGATTACTAGTGCTATTAATAGCGGGGAGCATCGGAGAGAAACCGAAGGACTTTAACCGGAGTGGATAAATGCCCACCAGGTACTACTACTAGTAGTAGTAGTAGTAGTAGTAGTAGTAGTAGTCGTGGATGGCAGAGATAAGGGACCCTGTGCGTTGCTGGTCATCGTCAAAGTCTCCATCTCGCTTACGGAGTAAAGTTATCGACGAGTGAATTGTTTCCCGAAACCTAAACAGATTACCTTCAGGGTGTTGACGGTCGAGTGTATCGCAATGTTGGATGCGATCCTCTATTCAGAGTGGTGCCATTGGTCGAGCTGATAGTGGAGGATCATTCGTACCGCTCATTGGCTGATCGTAAATGCATGGCGGTTGCTCGGACACTCACTAGTCCTAGTTCGCCCTAGTTAGCCCTAGTTCGTTACTGTGGGCATTGACAAGACGGATCAAGGCTGCCAGCATTCCCTCCAGATCGACCAGGCACATGGGGTGGATCGCTGACGGTGTGTTTGTCGTCCAAATGAAGTTCACTTCACGTTCACCAGAACCTTAACCGTTACCGATCAGGTCAGTTGACCCAGCCCAGACGGCAGATCAACATTCGTATCTGTCCCTCCGAAGGAAGATGATGCTCTCGAACGATCTGCGGGTGGGATTGGCAGAGAGAGCGCAGGAGAGGCCCGAGGGTCCATCATAGTGTCAAGCTTTTATAGTTCCGGCTAGGGTATCCGTTCCTTTTCGGCCCCTTCGCCGCGTCCTACCCAAAAATCCACTAATCACCACCAGTCATCTCGCATGTCTGCTAACTGGAATCTGATAATGCGCCCTCGTTCTCTAGACCTGGGGATCGTGCCTCAATCCCGCCAGCCCCACTTCGGTGCGATTCGTAAGTCTTAGCTACCCTGGATGTTGGTTCTGCAGGCCATTTCATTCGCGTTTTAGGGCAGATTCCACTGCGATACCCGCACGAGGTTACATCGCGTTACAACTTTACCCTCACGTCCACGAATCATTGCCAGTTGGGAACGCTCCACCTTTATCGTCAGACGGTAGCGGTTCCTCTGCGCTGCATGTTCGAATCCTGCCTCTGCCAGACTCGGTTTGATGGAGAATGGAACGGTGGTCCAGACGTGCTGACAGGCACTGTTATACGAGACTGAGGTCGGCCTCTACCGCGGCACCGCCACTATGGCCCCCACGACCACTATAGGGCCCCCCACCGGTGGTACCTTTGTATTTGTAAATGTACACACTCGCCATGGTTTCTAAGAGCCGCTTCTTTGGCCCTTCTTCGACTTGAGTAGCCATTGTTGCAACTGAGATATTGGCCCAAAATGGAAGACATCAACACCATGGACATCCTCGACCCGGTTGACCGCCGTCGCGCACAAAACCGTCTGGCACAACGCCGTTTTCGAAGTAAGTCACCCCCAGTAGTAGCCGCCCTGGGGCATCGTTCTTCAACTGACAAGATTCTGCTCCACGAAGAACGTTGTCAGCAAAGGCTCCGACAAAGCGTGGCGATCCAGACCGAAGGCGCTTCAGCATCTGAATCCTGTTCATCGTGTACGTCCGGAGACACGGCACCGCACTACCTGACTTTACAATCGGACATCCTCCCGGACGCCACCAAAGAACCCGAGCATTCGCTGTTCTCCGATCACATTGACACCTTTCTCATCCCGGAGCACATCTTCCCACCCACACCGGAACATACGCATCTCTCCGACACATTACCATCGTCGTCGTCGGGTGACGGGGACAGCGGAGACCCATTGGTGGGCGTGGAGGCACAACCAGACACGGTGAACCACAGCGTGGACCACACCGGGTCGACGGGAGTTCCACGCGCCGCCTCGTTGCCCACCGCCGCCAGCTGGAAAAGCCCGCTGCACGTCGCCGCACAGGAAGGGTATGGGGGCATTGTCCAATTGTTACTCGAGCATAACGCCGACTGTAACGAGAAGGATAGCGACGGCCTGACCCCGCTCGCACACGCGATCCGGGGCGATCATGAGGCGGCCGTCCGCCTCCTACTCTCCCACGGCGCTCGGCTCGACTACACAGACGGCCCGGGCTGTTCGGTGTTCCACTGTGCGGTCATCCATCGTCGGGAGGCACTCCTGCGCCTGTTTGCCAACCATTGTGCCGCCAATCTGGCCTTGCTGGACGCCTTGGATGTGGAGGGCATGACGCCGCTGCACCGGGCCGTGGTCACCAATTTCGAAGCCGGCGTGCGCATATTACTGCATCACGGTGCCAGCGTGCATCACCGAGCCCAAAACGGCCGATAGCCCCTTTTCTGTAATGATCCACGACATAATGCGCATGCCCTAGATAGAAGCGCGCATGGAGCGCGCCGGCTACAGTGTCTCTCTTCCAGCTCCCTATAGATAGAATGAGCAACCACGTTGTGTTTAGATTAGCGGCTTTTCTAGCATAGGACACATAACCGAAGTTCTTTTCTCTCTTGGTGTGCGTGATTGTGCTGTAGTCGGATTCATTTTCCATCAGCCTGAAGATGTGGCGGGGGCTTACCAGTAGTAGCTCAGCCGCCTGCCGCTGATCTGCTGCTGACTCACAATGCTTAGTTATTTTTAAGTTTGACTAGTTAGCCAAAAGGTGCTTATGTTAGCTAAGCTCCTTGAACGCGTAGTAGCTATGGAGTATGAAACTTCATATCCTCGTATATTCAGTTCAACGATCAGAAGTGCGAACAAAGGTCCTTTTGAGCGATGCACAATGTCCATCCGGACGGTCGATCATGCAACCTCTCATTCCACAGACATTCCCCTCGCCGTCGTGTCAGCGCCCCACCCGGCGAGGCAGGGAGTCGCTGACCTCCGATCATAATCCGACGCCTGATTATATTTCTCAGTAAGATGGGTGATCACCAGACAGTACGGGCAAGCTGGTGAATGCGCTGACACGATGGATGCCTCTCGACATCTCTCATCTGGGGCAAACCGGAGAACCTTGCTCCCCGGACGGCCGCCCTGAGATGGGCTGTAACCAGCCATCCTCCTTCCTACTGCCCCAACGGCTCAACTGAACCTGGCTTCCAGGGCCACCAGCGGCCCAAGTGCCAGGATGGCCGTGAAGAGCGGCAGCGCTTCTACTCAACCGAGCTCGACCCTCCCCCAGCGTATCGCATCGACATCTTCGAGGCACAGGAGGTGGCGAAGGCTGCGGCACAGTGACGAGAAACCATCAACATTGAGCAGCGTCAAGACCAGCACATCCTGGAGACGGCATCCACGAGATCGTTATACTAGCGCACGGTACTGCCTACCCTTGACTCATCGTGATCGTGACCGATCCCAAGTTTGGGAAAGACACGTCCGTCACATAGTAACGTTGATTAACTTTCTTCCTCCGCCAGGTCATGAAGCCCGACGTCTCCTTAATGTAGTTGGTTTAGCTTTGGCGACCTATCATCGACATTAATGATAAGTATTCACTGTGATGGCGATAAAGTCCCCTGAATCAGGCACGCTCAGAGTTAGATTATAGATATCCCCATGGCATGTTGCCTTTGTGCCATATCTCCCAGCCCTTGAATCCAATGCCCTGTCGTGGTTACTTGGGTCTTGGTTATATACTCGATGGTGGGGTTTAATATGGGTACATCTCTGCGAGAGGCTTTATTTTTCTCTGTATCACGAATCTCACTGTTGTTCAGCACTTTTTGTGTGTTTCGGACGAAGACATAGATAGATAATGAACTGTGTCTGCTCTATACTCCTGTTGATAAGATATATGTGTTTATTCTTCAAGCTCTAGCATGAATATCTAGGTGTCTACGAGATTTTCCAGAACGACTTCAAAGACCTGCCGGTCTCTAATCAATGATTCCTATCCTGGAAACCAAGCACGAAAATAATACTAGATGCACTCTTGTCCTGGCTGTTAGTTACTACGATATATCTACTCTAGAGTACTCTTATCAACTAACAGAAGGCAGAAACTGCAGTGATGAATCATAAGGAGATATATAGCTGAGACAATGTCTGTTAACTAAGCGATGGAAGCGAGAGTGCATGAACAGCTCGATGGAAAAGTTAGATTCGTTAAAAGGACAGGTTGTCTACAGAACTGTATTGTATGAGTATGATCGCCTGCATCTGGGACATGGTTAACTAAGATTCTCTGGGTACAGAATGCCCTAACTTATACTCTGTACACTATACTGGTTAGACTTTAGAGATATTCGATGGACCCGCATGAATTGTTAAAACTGAATGTATAGATTTATATAGCTGTATGTATATCTATAGCAACGGCCTATCTTAAACGCGATCCTTCAAATAAATACGTAGACTATAGATAAACTGTGATTATCACTATAGCAGAGAAAGAAGTGCCCTCACTTCAGGCTCTTTGGAGCCCGTGTCCTGCCAAGATGCTCTTTGCGTCTTGTTCAAGACGATGATGATGACAATGGCCCTTTCCTTATTCCCTAGCATGATGAAAGTAATATAATGACAGGGGGTAGGGTCTCCTTCCATTTCTACGCGGGCTTTGTGGAACTCAGTTACTTCCTAGGCCAGGCTACCTCAGGCCATATCGCAGACACAGATACCAAGTCTCTAGCTTCCTACCAGGCGGGTTAGTTTTGGGGGTTGGCCCGATTTTCTATTATTGTATAGCAATACAATCCGTGCTAACTGATTGGGCTAGTCAGGGTTGACATTGTGACAGCGAATATTGGGGCTTTTGAATGCTTTGTGAGTATGTATAAGCAATAGTTAATGTGAGGCTATCTGACATTAGCACCTGTGGAGCTTCAAGGGGAAATAGTTGATTAAATGACACTTCTCTAGGATTATATTGTGCAGTAGTAATTATACAGTACAGGTGTTTTTACTTGAGGCCATTCAGTTCGAATTTATCTAATGGTAGGGGAGGGAATGGTACTATACCCTTAGTCTTACTGGGGTGTTGGCGGCGGAGGTTGGTGCTGGGTATTTTGGGTCCTTACTGGTTTATATGGTTACTTGGCTTGTTTATGGTGTTGTGTATTTTGATATATATGTGCCTTGGTTGAATCCAGACCTGAATTATATCTATACTGCGCCTTGTCAGTATCACTGATCGTGAAAGAATGGTAAAGATCCAACGTAAGCCTTGACGTTCTGGAAATACGCCTTGACATAAGTTATGCGAAAAGGTGATTACTTCATTCTGCTAAACCAAAACGAAAACCATTCGCCTTAGCCTTGCATAGCAACAATGCTGCCTTCTCACCAAACCCCATCGATAGGCATTGACGCCCACATTAGACAGTAAATTGTCCTCACAGCTGCTCATACATAACATCTGTCCGCAAGGTATACTTCGTCCCCCGAAACACCGAATCCCCACCGTGAAGCAGATCATTCTGCTGAAACACAAGCACCGACCCCATTTTGGGGAAAACCCTCAACTGCCTCTCCTTCTCCTCATACCGAGGAAGAAAAGACGTAGCGCCCCCGAGCAACTTGCCCTCAACATCCAAGTTCGCTTGTCCCTCTCCTTTCTCCACCCGCGTCTGCTCGCGCACCAGTTCCTTGAGATCCTGCTCCCCGTCGCCATTCAGATACAACTGAATGGTATAGTACGACTTCTCCTTCCGATCGGGGGTGGTGTAGCACGCATCCCAGTGCGGCTTGAAGTACTCACCACCTTCATACTTGAGGAACCGGAGTCGTTCATTCAGTCTCGTCAATTTGTAGGTCTTATTCCGGCCCGCGAGCCCGGTGACAAAGGGATGGTTCTCCAGTCGATCGATGTCGAGGTCTCGCAGAAAGGGCATTAATCGATTTAATAGCTTCTCGGCGAGTTCGGGTGTGTCCCAGATAATACGGCCGCAGTTGCGGGTGTCTGTTACGAGTTTTTGTCGCCCGTTACCCATGTTGACCATGGCGCGTTCCCAGACGGGTGTGGCGGATTGGGGAGTTAGGGTTGATGCTTCCGCGAGACGGATCAACTCGTTGCATTCTTCTTGGGTGAGTATGTGGTCTATTATCGCTGCGAAGCGGTTCTTGTATTCGGGCAGTGGGGGGTCGGAGGTTGCGAAGTCGATTTTGTGGTATTTGGCTCCCGACGGTGCTTGTGGGAGGAGAAAGTTGGGGTTGGTTTGCAGGCTCATGGTTGCGAATATGTGATGTGATAATGTTTGGGATATGTCCAAACGGTGGGCTGCATCTTGTATTTAAAGTGCCTTTGGGGGCCTGATGCCTAGTGCTCTTTTTCTGCCTTACGGGGCTGCCTGGGAGGCTGAGTCACAACATGATCCTGCCATGTCATCCGTTGTATGACCAGTATGATGGATGCTCGTGTGTATTATATGTTTTTTACTGCGTGTTCATAGTGGCGAGTTTCCGTGAGCTGCACAATGAGCCGTCCTTCAAATGACCTAATGAGTCCAGCTCATCCTGGAAATGCCTAAGGGCATTCTGTGAAACTCAGGATATCTACCTTGCGTAAATCAGCTTTGTTGTCTATTGTGGTAAGATAAACTACCAACCTCGAATTTCCGACAGATAAAAAGAGTCAAGTCAAATCTAACTAGTCATATTCGAATCTTGAAGCATCTTGAGGTGAACAGGCTGCTTCACCGTGGAATCCACATCTCTGGTTGTACTATTTTCATGTCATCGCATTGCGATTCTCATTTGGATGAGGTGATGGCTATATCTCAAACTTGACACGACGCTCCAGATCAGACATTGCATAAAAGACGGAAGCAAGTCTATGAGCTGATGTGGAAGTTCCAATATGCGTCCTCACAGGGATTGAGGAACAATGATAGAAAGTCTTAGCGTGGCCTCGGTCTCAAAAGATCAGATCGAATCCAGCAACTGCCAATCAAGAAAGTCGATTTCACCCTCCCATCCTCTTATGATGTGTAGTTATAAATAGAAGAGCTTCGAAGCAACGTCGTACGACGTGATAATAAGTCATGAGGGTTCAACCCTGGCCTCGAGACGAGACAACAAGGCCTAACAAAGCCTAGCCCCGACGGTCGAGGCTCGCGTAAACGCCGTGCTTAACACTATTAGCTCTGCCAAGGAATGCTCCGTATCATCCACGGGGTTCCTGACGATCGGAGTTCCCCCGGGATCAGAAACTGGCCAGTCGTGGAGACTTCGAGAAAGCCGAGTACGCGTCATATTCTGAATCGTATCTGGGGTCTGAGCGGAAGGCGGGGTAAATCCTTAAGCATTAATAAACTTGGGGTCAAAGTGTATTGGCAGATGCGTTATCGGTCTCTCTGTTCTAGACAGGATTAAAATCGGGTGTTGATGATAGCCCAATGAGGCCATCGGAGTATAGCCGCATTGAGAGATGTGAAATGATGGGAACCACGCCGACAAATGCATGCTATGCGGAGTACTTTTGCTCAGTAATAGATTATTTGTATTGTCAAAAGCAGTGTTGCAATTCCCCATCCTGAAGTTCCGTCTGACCGCATGTATCGCTCAGTGTTTGATGAAAGTTGCATTCATTGCAAGTGGAAGTGGGCCAAATCTCTGCTGGTCACACGGGCAGTGTGTGGGCGGGCTTTTGTTGCCGTTAGACTCCAACATCGAGACCGTTCTCTGTGGGATGGCCGAGGCACAGACCACATTTGGTGGGATTCTGGAATCTGGGGATCGTATCCAGGGAAATCGGCCTGTCAATGTGATTGGCCTTAGGTAATTTTATATTTTCTTCAAGGGATCGGTCCGACAGGATCGGATTACCCCGGATCACTTGTCGTATATTCTTGGCTCAGAGGTTGGAAGACAGCCTCTGTAGTGACTGCCACCAGGTGCATGTTATGTCACCCGGATCAATCTTCGAACAAACGTGAACTTGTACATTCACAAACAAATACAAGACTATCGGGGTAATTCTAGAGTCATGTTTATTTAATTTTGGTCGAGATGGCTGTTCTGAAGATAAGAGAATTCAGAGCCGATCCCTGGCGAATGCAGGAGCGTCCACTAATGGGATCTGGTCCTTCAGGTCCGGTTGTGAACCGCGGCCATTATTGGACAATTCCATACAAACAAACTCCAATTGTCAAATAATCTACTTGACTTTCTATCAATAGTACAAAGTATAAGATGCTCACGGGGACAGGCACAGACAATAAGGGTTCAAATTTGGTTCTGGGGTCTGGAGTACCGAGGGAGTGAAACCAACAAACTGGGGCCGTCGTTTCCCACGCAAATTCCCCGGAAGTTCCCAAAAGGGTAAGCAGCTTCCCACTGAGAATTGTGTTCCATCGCCTCCGGAAGGGAGCTTTAGCGATGCGCCACATTCGAGTTTCCAAAAATCTGATGGTCACACGGTACCGTCGCGGATCCATCTCGGTTGGCCGAACTGATAAATCAATCGATTTTTTTCATCGTTGCTTATCCTTAGTACTGATATGCCTGTGTTTTGTGTTGGCTGTGTATGTCTATTATCAAGTGACTGTCATATGATATGACCTAAATATAGACCACATTTCCGTGGAGTATGTATTGTGTACACAATACCACCAATCTCTCTTCTCTGAGCTATCAGGTTTACTGTATATATTCTAGTAGCGTTAATCGAAACTGCATTAACAGGTGCACTATGCAGAGCCTCAGGATGTTTAATATGGTTAAAGATCGGAAATAGAAAAATTGGACGGGAACATCTAAGGAAAATGCGAATTGACCAATGATAGTGGAGATCGTGACTTAGACTAGGGACTTCCAATGAGTACTACTATTAGTAGTAGTGATCCCTGAACATGTCAAATTCAAAGAGATTTTAGGCCAGTAAAAGTTGTGATTAGTACCGGAAATCCCAATGTGTCCAAGGAAGTCGAGGGGTGACTCAAAATATGATGAACTGACGTGGAATTGGCCAGAGCCATCTTCTGCATCCTGCAATCTGCGTGTTTGATGACTGTCGGTAAGATTGGCAATAGAAACCAGGGTGATCTCTGAATTACCCCGTGACCACATCCCCAGACGCGCGGGTCGTCGAATGTTCCAGGAGTACACTTGTTTTCTTCCAGAACAAGGTAAACAGCCCCGTGACCAGCCCCGACAGCTGGTCCAGTGTTCTCGACCCGCCCACTTACCGACTCCTTGGGGAACCCGCCCACCTGAAGTCCCGCCTTAAGCTTCTTTTGTCCGCCGCGCCGGGTTGCCCAAACAAGGAACCCGAGTCCGCCACTGCCACTGTCATGTATCCTCTGGTATCTAGTACTTGGTTTTTATTTTTATTTTATTGTTATTTATTTTTAATCTTATTTTTTTTTTCAGTGGTACTATTGTGTTCTCGGCGCAACATAGCGTGGTTGTGATAAGTGATCCTCGTAGGGCATCTGGATAATTATGATATCAAACTGGAGTCATCAGCCCGTCATGCTCGCGATACCAAATCACCTACGAACATCCAAGTTAACCAAGTTGGCTTGGATTTATCTCGTATGACATATCTCAGCTCATCGAGTCATTACTCAGTAGCATGTTGGTGGTTTTACTTGAAACATGACGATTGTAGCAGAGCACTAGTATTGTAGGATAGCCCCATCCAGGGTATCAACCGGATTAAGGTAGGAGTATCAAATTCATAGTAAACGTGGTGATCAACATTCCCCTTTCTTGCCACGAAGAAAGACCAAGTGACCACTGATGGTGGGCCCGAAGTCTTCATCGTTCATGCATTCCCCCGGGTCTGGACCGAACCCACCATTCACGGCTCCCTCGCAGCCTTCCTATTTTGGCTCCCTTACCAACTTTTTCTCTGCTCACATGAGGCCTCATGACATTCCCAGACCCAGAGTGATTCTTTCCCCCGGCAGTCGTCAATGTCCAGTGTGAAGTATATAAGTATGACATTTCTCGTGTTGAAGTGACTGACTAGACATCATCAATTGAATCGCTTACCCACTGCGCTCCATCTCTCAACCGACAAAACAGTCGCTGCAAACCATTCACAAATTTCACCGCCTGAGCTTCGCGCTTATTTTCAGTTGATTCTACCTTTCCCTTGATCCATATTTCCCTTAAGGCATATCCTCGAACAGCACAATGTCTGTCTCTATTGAAACCAACGACATTGCCCCCGTCGCTCTGTCCACACAGGCGGCCCCTTGTCTCGGCTCTAAGAACAGAATGCCTGAGTTCAGCTTGGCTGGAAAGGTTGTCTGTGTTTCTGGTGCTGCCCGTGGCCTTGGTCTGACTCAGGCTGAAGCGCTTCTGGAGGCCGGAGCCAAGGTATATGCTTTGGATCGCCTAGCAGAGCCCGTAAGTGATTCTTTCTAAGGCTGAATCATCAGGACATGGACAAAAAGTCTAATTCTCTATCTGGATAGTCCCCTGAGTTCTACGAAATCCAAAAACGGGCCAAGGAGGAGTTGGGAACTGAGCTGCAATACCGTCGCATTGATGTCCGTGACAGCGAACTTCTCGACAGTACTATCGAAGCCATCGCCGATGCCGAGGGCCGCTTGGATGGATTGGTCGCTGCGGCAGGCATTCAACAGGAAACTCCAGCGCTCGAGTATACGGCCCAGGATGCCAACACGATGTTTGAAGTCAACGTCACTGGTGTGTTCATGACTTCCAAGGCAGTTGCTAAGCAAATGATTCGTTTCGGCAATGGAGGTAGCATCGCACTAATTGCGAGCATGAGTGGTACTATTGCCAATCGGGTACGTTCTCATCTTACCGTTGATTCTGCTTCAATAAAAAAAACTCCCCCACCTTTCAGTGTCTTTTGCAAGTCTCGGGTTTCACGAGAACATCCCGCCCACGCCACTCCGACTTTCTGTTCTCATGTCATTGGTTGCTATCGTCCATAGAAGTTACTGACTGGTCTGCCTCTTAGGGTCTTATTTGCCCTGCTTACAACGCTAGCAAGGCTGCAGTGATCCAACTTGCCCGTAACCTCGCCATGGAGTGGGGCTCGTACAACATTCGAGTCAACACCATCTCGCCCGGCTATATTGTTACTGCTATGGTGGAGAAGCTCTTCGTCGAGTTCCCGGAGCGTCGCGAAGAATGGCCCAAACATAACATGCTGGGACGTCTGTCTACCCCTAACGAGTACCGTGGCGCTGCCGTCTTCCTTCTCAGTGACGCCAGCAGCTTCATGACTGGAAGCGATCTACGCATGGACGGAGGTCACGCCGCGTGGTAGATGACATTTGAATGGCTGTTTCCTTTTTTCCTTTGCATACTCCATTTTCCTATTATCATTTCTATTGCATGGCGTCGGGAGAGCAAGCGTGGTCGGATTTTGGAATGGATGGTCTTCTCATGATTCTTGTGTTTTGGCCGATAGGACGAGATTCGGTTGGTGTTTCAGCGTTGCAGTTGCTGGATCGGGTCTTAGTCGATTAAGTAGAGCGACATTTGTACCTATACATAATGCATGAGACTTAATTTGGAACCAGTGAACCGTCCGCCTGAGAGGAGCGAAAGTATGATTGACGAAGAACGTTGCGGAGAGTAATCCTTGGAGGGTCTGGGCTGGCAACTAACGAGTAACGTTAAAGTGAGTTTGCATGAATCATCATCCACTTAGTGCCAGATCTGACAAGATATTGATGCGCATGTTCGCACATGACCCACTGGGCAATTGTGAACTAAAGCACCACTTGCGCGGCGTTATTCAGATTCCTACGAATGAACAGTCGAGGCGACAGGGATTCTGCTTCCGACTTCCCGGCAAAACGAGTACGCGTCGATACCGTTCATTAAACAATACCAACCCCGCCAAGAAGTCGACCATCCGGGGGAATCTCCACACCATCGAAGGTCAAACTTTCCCCCCACCCCACATTCATCCCGGACCACAGAACCGCGCTCCATCGTGGTCGTATCCATGGTTGCCCATGTCATGACATCAAGACCCCTGCTATCAAGACTCAACGCTAAACCACCAGATACAGCCATATCCATCACGTTATTTAAGTATGGATTACTATGTCTCCTTTTGCCGCTCCACTGAAGCCAACGATACGGGCCATGACTGTACCTGTCCAATTATCGTCAATTGTGAGGGATGCATGATGTCTTCATGACCACTACTCTGTTTTTAAAAAAAAATGAGAAATGAGAAATGAAGAAAGTCCCGGGATTGCCAGAATCGACCGACTTCTCTCCGTCCGCCACTGAGTGGATGTTTCAGTATCCAGAGGGATTACCGTTTGGGGCCATCTACAGACGTAGTTAGATTTGAAATTCTGGGGTAAGAATCATGGGACAACGTTTGGTATAACGGTACCTACATCTTTCTGTAAGTCATTTAATAGGCTCTAGCCCGACCAAGGGGAACCAACGCATGACCGGAAGGGAGAGATAGGGCTCCCATTTTGATGCCTAATCCTCGACTTTTATGTAAGGGATGCAGGCTGACTGCGGTTTCATCCCGTTGAGTGGTTGCTTACTGCTTTAGGCGATCTATGAGGATGTCACGTTGGCAGTCGTGGTAAGGCTCAAACCTTGTTCACGTGGGTCACTTTGTTTCGACTCGACCCGGAAGTTGACTGGCTCTCGGTTGTTCTCGGGACTATCCCCATACTAAACGTCGATTTTAGTTTATTAAACCCTATGGACCATGATGTGATTTCATAAAGGTTTTCTGTCTGTCCGGGGCCCAAAATGACGCCGAATTCTTCGCGTGAGCATCTATAACATGTTCTAGTGCGTTGATTGCATATCATTTGATCTCCGCAATATCATCGGATAGGCTTCGTTATCCAAACAAATGCGCAGCTTGATGGATGTCTTCGATATCCTGCGGACTAATACTTTATGAGTCAGATCTAGGTTTGACAACGCATCAATCTGCGATGCTGCTACTACGAGTGCCTTGTTTGATGTCGTGATGCAGGTTCACCATGCCGGAGCCTACTATCGAGACGTCTGCTTGTACATACCGACTGAACTATATGGACATGGGCGTGGGATGTTGTGGGATCTATCGGAATTGCCTGAATGGGGGTGATCTTGTGGTTCAATGTGTCCCTGAAGTTGAATGTACCTTTGACTTTGAGGCAGTGCGTCTTAAAAGGAGGAGAAGGAGAGGATAGATAGAGTCGGACCCTAGCAAGCTGCGTGGAAGCATTGGAAACGTCGTATCCGCGGTAAGAGACGTGGCCTTGAAACGTTTCTGTCCAACTAATATTCGAAGAATGCTTCTGTGCGTTCCAGTAAACATAGCTAGAGGTTGATATGGGTAATTGACGGCTGTATGCACGAATGTTCATCGTCTTTCCGTGTGCGATCTGTTACTCCTTAGGCTGTTCCCGTTTGAATACTTGTGGACTCGACCTTCCAAATACCTATAACATCTGTAAGGAACCCAACGATTTAACTATATTCAGCCAGTCAACGGAACGATTCTTTTTCAGCGAATGGAACATGACTGACCGCGGTATTGACTCATTCAATGATCTACCACCTCACAATCAAGCCATCCTCCATCAGTATCCCTAGTAAATAGAATAATTTAATCTGACCAACAGCGTAGAATAACCGCGGCACATATAAACCGAAACCACCTATATCTCTGCTATCCATTGCCGGTCTGGTAATAAGTGTTCAACCCCCTACACAGAAATGTCTGTGAACTAGGCCTCAGTCCGAACCTGAGTAGATTACATCGCTTAACGACGATTGATTCCCGGATGATCTCTCCACAGACATATTCTGGTACAAATCTATCTCATATCGAACTTACACCCCACACCGAAGAAGTGTACATATATCTAGACGACGTCTATACTCAGAAGGCTGTGTAAATTAGTCACTAATACAAGGACGCAATCAGTTATTAATTGTAGAAACCAGTCAAGCACCATAGCAATAAAGCATGCCTCACAGAGATAACCTAATACATGATTTCCCAATATCAGACACTGCTGCAACTATTTTGCCAATGATGAATAACTGCGTATAGACATCGCCCTTACGTTTGTATTCCCGTTCAATTAACAAACAGGTATGTACTACATCGTCCCGTGGGTAATACACCCTTTCCAGAGAACACACCGTACTACACACCACTACACATATGCATATCGGAAGTGAAATGACTTGGTCTACGAGAAAGCCCTGTCTGATATAAATCCCCTCCGTGACGCGATAGTTGGACGTGAGGTACTAGTCCCAAACCGGGTGAAGGTTCTAACCATTGCTACCGAGATTGAATCACGGTATCATATACTCTCAAATGAGCATTTTAGGCTTTGACAATGTGAATTAATTATTCCATTGTTTCCGCATATAGTCGAATACGCTGGGGGACATCTCTGGCCTGGCTCTGTGTTCTATTGTCTCAACCCGGGGATATGTTGAACTTGTAGTCGATGATCCGAGCCCAGGGTGGTTTGTCTATGCTTGACTGTCAAGTTAGTAACCAAGGAAGGGGCGTTCATCACATAGAGAGATATGAATAACCCTCCAGGCCGGTGGATTGCTCCATAAACTTGTCATCGTATGATCAACGTATTCGAGTAGCCTGTCCTGGGCACGTTCACTAAGTCTACGGCACTACCGTGGCGAGTGCGCCTATAGATGTTTACGTATTTGGGCTGTATAAAGTTGTGGTCTCTTTGATCGCTCTCTCGCTGTTTCAGTGGTTAATTGGAGATACAGTCGGTCTTTATCACTTGCTAGCATGTTTGGACTTTTCTGGGTGCAAAATTCATGGTTATTGGTGAGTTGCGTGTAGGCATGGTATATATATATATATATATATATATGCAAAACACTAGAGGACTGAGTATAGGAAGTAAGAAGCTTGCTAAATATTCACCAGGATAAATACAACAGCGTTCCAGTACTCTTCTAAATAGAACAGTACATTGCCAATACAAAGCCTGTCTAGAGCCGGGGGTGCGTTATGAGAGTGCAGTCCACTCCTCAAGCTCGCACTGGGATGCGAGCTGGGTGTGGAATGCGGAACGGGGTTCTGCGCATACATAACACCTAACAACTACATATCGTCATAATTACGGAGTACAATAGTTCGAGGAGTATTTTGGGTAATCGCGGGCAGCTATAGTTATAGCTCTTGTACATTTGTCAGGAGAATTCTTGCTCGAGGATCGACATTGTTCGGATACTACTTCCGCAGTCGACCCCCGTCGAAAAGGAGATTCTAATTTCATACGTGTTATTGGCTGAGCCCCTGGAGAATGAAGACCCACAACATCCGTATTCTTGGGATTTAGTCATGAACTTTTGGTTGTCGCTGTTTGATGCTGCACTCTGTATATGTCTCGTGGGGACACCACCTCGATACTCCTACATACATATCTTCATCAAACGTATGTATGTGTTTGGTCTTGTAGGACAAGCTAGACCAACCACCAATTCGGATTTGGGAGATATCATCAACTAAAACACACCCAAATGAAACGCCTCACCATCGTAGCTCATACTATACAATAATATACAAGTCCCAGCATCCCCTACTCAACCCAATCAACCAACCTCCGAAACGACCCCCTTCTGCCCCAGCCGATCCATAACCCCCTTCTTCAACCGTAGCAGCCTCTCAATCTCGCCCGACGGCAGACCCTGCCGATCCCGCATCGACAGCGCCTGTCGAATCGTCAACGCATCCAGATACTCCCGTCCCGCAAACCCTGGTCGTCCGACCAATTCCACCTCTCGCTCCGCCGCCTTAGTAATCTTTTGACGCGCGGTGACCACCAGCAGAGCCGGATTCGCCGCCCGGGGAAAGACGGTTTGCACGGAATCCCCGCGTTGGGGTCCGGAGGCGAATGTGCTGGAATTGGATAGGGTCGGGGCTGGGCTGACGGGGCCGATTCCGCGGAGGGAGGCGGCGAAATCAGGATCACGGCCGTCGAGGTCGATTGCTGGGGGGGGGTGGGATTTTTTGTTAGTCTGTGTCGAGGTTGTTTTTCTCTTTGAGGCGACAAGGGAAAAGGATCCGCCGGTGGCTTGTCCTTGTTCTCCCCTGGGAGGGAATAATGCACGTACCGTTTGATTTTGTAAGAGACGGCTGTTCTTTGGAATGATAGGTTGGGCCTGTGGGAGCACGGGTCTTTGTGTCCGGTTCCTTTGGCGGACGGGGTGCGGAAGCAGGACTGGGAGACGGAGGCTTTGGTGTGGATGGCAAAGGGGAAGGCTGTTTAGGGTATTGGCGCCGCGAGACTGCCTGCGCGGCAGATCTCACGGGCTTCGAAGATGATGAACCCATGGATGGGTGCCGGATGCCTTGTGGCTAGCGTATGCGGGGTGGGAATCGGCAACGTCGATGTTTTGAGGCGTGGAGCAGCGGAGAGAAGCTTTTGGTGTTGCGGATGTTGCAAATGAAACTTCACTAGCCGAATTGGTCAATGCCTCGGGTGACGTCAACCATCCATGGCTTGTTTTACTGCATTTTAACTGTTTCAATCGTGTTTCTCTCTCTGGCTAGGGATTTGCATTGATTCTCTCAGAAATACAAGGTGCGTGTCTGTTCTATTGGCTTGCTTGGGAACTCTGCTACATATGCTGGAAACCGAGGCTGATACGGTAATCTAGAAGACAATACAGAAGACAGTATTCAGTCGCATCAAAACTTTGGCCAGTAAATCCAGTACCAGCCAGATCTACCGAAGACCGTCAAGGCGTCTGCCCTGCACCTCACCCAAAGCGCGACTGCCACTGATGAATGCGACCGTGCCAGCCACGGCGACCGCAGGAAGGATCTGGAAGAGGGTCCAGGACTGGTAGTACAGGAAGAAGATCCCTTCGATCGAGAGAAGAGAGCTGAGGAAGACACCGTGAGAAACGGGGGCTGCCTTCAAAGCTTTGGGGAGATGGTAAACGTTGGCGCCGAGGAATAGCCACTGGACACGTTAGACGAGCAATGAGCGAAGGGGAGTAACCGGACACTTACCACTCCAGCAAGAACGGGAAGAGTGCCAAGCACCATCGCCACAAACGCGAGAGTGATGACGATCGGCGGGCTTTGGGCATCCTCCTTGAAGATGTGGTGGATCTCAGGAAGCTTTCCGTATCTCGAGACCTCAACAGTTGGGACTGGCTGATCGGGGTTCCGGGTAACGGCTAACTTGAATGCAGCGCCATTGTAGGCCTCGGCGCTGCCGAAAGATCCGATCAAGAGCTTTGCATCCAGCGGTTCATTCAAGGAGAGGAATTGAATAGGGAGGTCTTTTTGAGTCTAAAGCCAGCGTTAGCCATGCCAAATAACAGTTGTCCCTTCCGCACGTACCAACTCAACCCTCGATTTGCCATTCTCCTTCACATTGAAGGGATACGAGATGTCTAGTCCGGTCTCTGGGTCTTGGAGGAGGAGGAAAACCTGGTGCGCGCGTTTTCCGGAGCCGCCTTCGCGGGCTGTGAGAGTCAGCTTCAAGGTGTCGGCGCTTCCGAGGGCGACGGGCTTGGTGAGGGCCTTGTTGTCGGGGATACTGTCAATTTGGTCGAGATTAGCCAATAATTTCCATTGAGTAAAGCCAGGCTGTAGAGTAGTAAATCCACCACGCACTTTTCCTTCAATCCAGAACCGACTCCAGCGCCCTTGGTTTGAACTGACACGGTGGCATCAGTAAACCCCCACGCGGATGCGGCTGCGGTCGGGGCGGCAGTAAAAGCCAGCAAACTGAGCTGGAGGACGGTATTCCACAACTGCATCCTGATTGAAAGATAGACACTTGAAACAAACCAAGCTGGACGGAGTGGAACAATTGCGACGTAGGTGTCCTGAATACGTCGACCTGCGGACGCAAGCTGAAGAAACGCTAAGATAAGCGCCCGCGGCTTTGGGGCAAGCTGCGGTCCAGTGACCGACCCTCCGCCTTTGCAAGCCCTAATTTCCCGGAGTCTTCAAGTCGGCCTGCCAAACAATTCTTCCTCGCTTTACGATCGGCTTGATGGCTTCCTCAACTACTGCGACAACCCGCTAAATCGTCAAACAACCCGATAGTCACTCCTTTACCGTCGCATAATGTTTTATTTTGTGTTTTTCTAGCACCGGGAGCGCCCCTGCGACTGCAGTACGCCTGACGTTAGAACTCCTTCGCCTCCGCTACACCGACGAGCCACCCTGTGATTAACCCTCGGACGCCGTCTTGGGAGTCGTTCTGGTCGCTATCGCCGTCTTGTACGCTGCTTATTGGTACGTCAGGAGACGTTTTACCTCTCTCTCATGCCCATATCCTGGATTGGACGGTGTTTTGAAGTTTCCAGGAGTTGCCGCTCCTGCCTGGGTCCAATTCCGAACCAGCGGCTCAGTTTAGCACAGTTCACTGACCTCGCCTTACAACACAGGAATATACAGGATACCTTGTATCCGTGAAAATAAGCTAGCCGAGAAAGCGATCCAAAAGAACGAACAATACCCCCGCTGATCCTTGTGAACCGGTAAACCTCGCATCCGAAGTGCCGATGATCGAACTTTGCTAGGAACCGGTGGGACTATTGTTTATCGAGGAAACCTGAGGAATAAAGGGAACTGCTTGTAAACGGCAAAAAGTGAGACAACTGTTTGAGACTGCTGCTATTCGTCTTGTTTGCTTAGGGCTCAGTGTACAGTCAACCCTAGGCGGGGGTTGCCAAATCATTCACTCCTTCGTATTGAATACTGACAACAACCAAAGTGGCTGGTAGATCTTCTGTTACTCGGGGAGAGGCCTCTCCTGCGCCCTCGATTCTGGATTCGGCTTCTGTAAGTGTTCCTCTACCTCTCTTTGTCTGCATTGTCTCTGACCAGCCATAAAGAGAAACTCCCGACGAAGCTCATCCCGCGCTTCAAGGAAAGCAACGCGAGAACTCGAACTCAACACCTCACATCCATCTCGTTTGGCAGTGTCTCTGCCTCCAACTCCCATCACTTCCTCTTTTGAAGAGGCGTTGTCATCGACACAGCGCGCTAAGAGACACCGTTCTGTCAACTACTACGAAAAGACGCCACAGTCCAAAGGAGCCGAGACTCCGGACCAGAAGGACGCGTCTTTCTCCGCTCAGCCGTCTGGCAGTACCTCTAGAAAGAGTAGTCGTAGTCGCAAGTCCGAGAAAGCCGACAAAGACGCTGTCAAGGCGCCTGATTCCACGGGTGACCAAGCTGTCACTCCTTCTACCTCTACTTCTAACCCCAGACGCAAATATCAAACTGAGCAATCTACCCTGCACACGTATCTGCAGAAAAAGCCTCAAGACAGGCGCAAGACCTTGACTACACCAGCCGAAGCATCCGATAAGAATAGCCCTCAATCTGACCCCAAAAACGACTCCAAATCTCCAGCCATGGGTGCCGCAGTGTCTAGCGGGCGCACGACTAGGAAGTCTATCCCAGCTAAATTGAACGGCACTGAGAGCACTGAAAAAGCTACTCCCAGATCTAAGCTGGTCACTCGCCTCTCCACTCCGGTCTCTCGCAAAGACCGCAAGTCTAAGAGTGTTGTCGAAGCCGAGCAAGTGCCTAAGTCGACTCCTCATGTCAAGCCAGAATCAACCCCTCCTGTGAATTCAACGTCCAAAGCAGCCAAATCCGAAGCCAACGGAACTGCAGACCCAGTTACTCCAGCTGAGCGGACCCCTGTCTCAACCCCGAACACCACAGCAACCAGATCTCGTCGCAGAGACCGCAAGTCTGCGAGGAAATCCACAGCAGGTCGCTCGCAATTAACGAATGAATCGTCTCAAGCAGATACTGCGACCAATACTGATGCTGAAGACCACAAGCCAGTTATCAAGGACTCCGGCAAATCTTCTTCTCAGGATTCGGATAAGGGCAGCTCGGAGTCTCAGCAAGCCAACAAGAGACCGAGCAATACAGTAACCCTGAGTTTGGGCCGCAAGTCGCTCGAATCTTTTGTTCAGAAAACGCTTGAGTCTGCCTCCTATGGCAATGAAATCGCTGATAGCGTTGAAGGAACTCCCGTTCGCGTGTACGATGACTCTTATCATTTTGATTATGATACAGATATGTATCGCAACAATTTTGGTCTTGATGGCCAAATGGACACACCGGCCTCACCTACAAGCTTCTCCACAACTACCTCCACTGGCGCTCGGATGTCCGGCCGGGCCCGAAAGCCCACGATCAGGGCATTAGAATCCCTCGAATCAGAGCGGCGTTTCCGCCGACCTCGGGCCCAAACACCTGGAAAGGCAGACTCGTCCGCGGCTGGGAAGCAGAGCGACAAGGCACCCAGCGGACAGAAGAATGATGAGCAGCCGAAGGCAGCGCCAGCAGAAACTACGCAGGCGCCATCTGCCACTCCGCAGCCAGATGTGGACGCCTTTGCCCGCCGGATATTTGAGTTGGCCGCGGCAGCCGTTTCAGACGACTTTGTGCCGGCGCCTGAAGCCGACTCCTGGCTCGAAGAACTGCGAAAAGAGTACCAGGGCAAAGGGGATGCGGAGATTGCCGCAGTTGCGGCGGTGGTTGAGGGAGAGAGTAGGCAACCCTCGGATAACGAACCTACTACAGAACAGTGGACTGACGAGGACGGTTGGATGCACACAGGTCAAATCAACGAGTTTGGAGAGGAGTACGTCGTTGTTGGCCCTGACTTTGAGTGGTACAGGCCCAACAACACGTACGGGGACACGCAGCTTCCCGAGCCTCCTGTGCGCCTAAGGTCCCTGGAACAGTCCGAGAAGGACCGAATTTTTGGCTTTCCACCACGTATTGGAGAGCGTAACCTGCCTCGTGCCACTAATTTCCCGTTCATGATGGAGGATGTTTATCACGAACGGGCTAAGATTAAGGCCCGCGAGGAAGCCCGGCAGAAAGGCATCTCCGTTGACCGGTCGATGTCCGTCTCTCAGATTGAGGAACTGATTGGCCAGCACAGCAAGGGCAGCAGTTCTCAATCATCTGAGACTCCCGCTCCGGCTCCGGCTTCCGTGAAGAGCTCGAAACCGGACAGGCCGTCCCGGAAGCGACGGCGTACGGAGCCCGTGATCCCAAGCGAGGCTCCTTCGACCAACGAATCCACCACAGAGAGCACACATAAGCCGAAGAGAAGACGCAAGAACACGGCAGGAGCATCGGCAGCGGGCCCGACTGACCCAGAGCCTTCATCTGAAAAACCCAAGACGCTCAAACTCAAACTGATCTTCTCGAAACGTGAATTGCCGGCAACTCCTTCTGCTTCCAACACGACGAACACATCTACCAAATCGAACAAGCGTCCCCATGCCGAAATCGAAGCGGACGGTGACAACGCCGCCAGCAACGGACCTCCCAAGAGCCCTAATACCACACCCTCCAATCCCACGACTACCCCCAGACGCCTCCTCAAGCTCTCGACCCCGAAGCAGGGACAGAAGGAGACGAGCAACGCCGCTCCCACCTCCACCCCCGACGTTCCCCCTTCGGCGGATCCGAACTCGCTCACACGCCCGGTGGGCGTCCTCGTCGTCGCGCCGCAGCAGCATTAATGGCCGAGTTTCAGAACCACAAAGAAGAAAGGGCTCGCCGAGCCAACGCGCGCAAGAAAGCTAGCACCGATAATCCGGAAGAGCCAAGTTCCAGTCAGGCTTCTGGCTCCGCCGCGAAGCCGCACTAAGCGGTTGACCACTGCTACCCTCAGAATACGATAATTCCATTCCACGTTTCTTTCCCTTCATACGTCTTAGCCCTTTTCTAAATCCACTTTAATCCCTTATTCAAGTGACCCCAAGTCACACACACACACACACACACACACACCCTGATTCATTAGACATTTGAACTATCACGGCGTTATGAACGGTCATCGGAACTAAGCATAGCGGAAATTTTCAAAGATATGGCAGGCAATTGCACTGGCGTTTTTTTAACTCATGTTTTCGTTTTCTTTCGCTTCCATTATGTGAGAGGCCTCTTTGTGGACTTTCCTCGCAACTGTTATTCGGGCTTTCTTACTCCCACTCCGACGTGTATTGTCCTCCGTCCTGTTCACCATGGTTGCATGCCAAAGGTGGCTGGAGACAAGACACGGAAGAGAAAACGGGACTGTATTATTGTTTCCCTCCTGTACAGTGACTTATGAATTTTCGCTCTATTTTGTTTTATTTTTGTATTTTCAATGGACGCGCATGCGCATAGCAAAATCCGACCACAGGAACGGCCAGGGTTAGAAGCAATTAGTTTTTACTTGCGGGGTTTAATCGTTGTCTTTACAGCATGTATTCCAGCATAGGATTGATTGCAATCAGCTTGTTGTATCAAGAATGGGATGAATTGAACTTGACCTGATCTTTCGATGACATTAGTAGTAGTACATCCATTTACATACCAAAGAAGATCTAGTAGGAGCAGCCTGAGGCAGCAACCCGAGAAAAGGAAACGCAAAACATTTCCATCCGCCAACCAATACAAAACCCAGTCCATACACCTGACTTTGCCGCCATCTCATCGATCCACATCTCTTCAAACAAGCACGGTCAACATACCCATCCAGAGCCCCCCCCATAACTTAGAGAAACAAGAGGAGAACAAAAAAGGAAGAATAATCCCCCCAGAATGTCCAACCAACAACCCCGCGTAGTCATCAACCCGCAATCCCTTCAACGACCGCCTCACCCGCCCCGGCGCGGACCACTAGGTCCACACGCTGTACGGGATATTCGGCAAACGAAGGAATACAAAGTGGCTGCTCGACGGTATGCTCCTTTCCCCCCTCCCTTCCTTCCTGTTATTGAGCTAGTTATCTTCAAAAATGGAGATATGGGTTGGAAGGCTATAGACTCGGCCGAACATCAATTATGTTTCCTTGTTGAGTCGAAGGTCAGCTGATAATGTCGCTGGGGTAGATGGCTTTCAACGATCGTGCGTTGCCGATTTTGATGTATACGTCTTATGTGCTTTATGAGAGGAGTGAGTGTTTTTTCTTTATCTTATCATGTCTTCTTTTCTTGACCCTTGTCCTTGCTTTTTGTTTCTGGGCTTGTCATTGGGGGGGCTGCTGATCTGGTTGTTTAGCGTATTTGAATAAGAGCCAGAAGCATTTGGGTCGTCCGTCGCGGCCTGAGACGGAGGAGCGGAAGGATGGGAGTGCTTGATCTAGCAGGTTTGGGGGGGTGTTCTTTTTTTTTTTTTCCTTGTCTGGTTTAATTGTATATTAGTTTGTGGGTTTGGGGTATATGTATGAAGTGTTTTGGTTGGGATGTGTCTGTTGTAGGGCTATATTTGTACGGATCTGGTTTGGTGTTTGTCTGGTGTAGAATGTTATTTAAGATATCGTGTCTGGTATGGTGTTGGCTGAAATATTTTTTAAGGGAAGTAGATAAGTGAGGAACTATGGTGTCTCAGTGTGAATATCTGTGGATGCAATGGTATTTCTTTTGAGTGTGGATATCGCTGCTCTTTGTGTACATTTTGGTGTATTAAGCTATGTTGTATGGATGAAGGAGGTCTGAAAGAAAGACAGACAGACAGACAGACAGACAGACAGACAGAGTAGAGAAGCAAAGAAGAATAGAAGGTTTGTCAGTGACAATCTTGGTAGACAATCCCAGCTTAAGCAAAGCACTCTTCCCAGTTTCCACCGGATGTAACGAAGCTCAGCCCCGCGATGAAGTCGTCCCGTTTGCACCGGCCATGCTTGTCGGCGTCACAGCCCTGCAACGGAATGACCCGATCGTTGACCAGTACGCGGACGAGAGGCTCCTTCTCATCCTTGCACTGCATCATCTCGAAGTAGGCCCGGGCCCCGAAAGGAACGGTCCAGGCGGATGAATACCCGTTCGTCTCCTCAGTGGACTGCACCGACGTCTGAGAGAGAGGCTCAGTTTTGTTGTACAGACCAAGCGCGAAGAAAACGGAGGTCATCGTGTTGTCGTGGGAGAAGTCCGCATAGAGTGTAGCATTTAGCGGGAATGTGGCGGGATTCGAGTCCAGCGTCGTGTTGGTGCTGGTGTGATCCTTAACCGGGGACTGGGTCAGGCGAGCGATCAGCTCATTCGCGAAGCCGATACCCTGCGCAGGCCCAAGAGGGTTTCCTGCGCCGTAGCCGTAGTACTTCTTGACCGACTGCAGGTAGTCATATTGCACCCATTCTTCCTGGGTGAACAAAGCGCAGAAGGGGGAAATCCGACTGCCGTCACGGGTCAAGGCGACGGTGTCATATGAGCACATGTCCATAAGATAAACCACCTCTTTGCTCGAGAGCTTGGTTCCGGGGAGGTCCTTCTCCAGACGCTCAACAATCGAGGGCGTAAGAACCTCCGTGAACTTGTCCTCCGCTTCATCCCCTACCTTGCTGTTCTCGAAGGCGGTGCAGACACTGTGGTCCAACGTGTTGTTGAATCCGTCGGTTTCGGGAATAACCACGTTGACAATAGGAGCGGGCTGATCCCTCCTGGTCTTAGATTTACCAAGCTTCGCCTTCTGGAAGCCCTCGATGAATTTCTCGCCGGATGCGATTACCCGATCCGAGCCCGATGCCCGAATGAAAGGAACGGCATTCTTGGCGAGCTCCTCATAGCGCTGGTAGAACTTGATACCCGAATCCACCAACTGGTTCTCTCCAAAAGCCGTAAGGTCATCTGCGCCGAGGGAGTAGTTGTAGGATTTCAGGAAGGCATACTTCCCGGTGAACGAGGTAGCATTGTGCTGGATGGCCTTGATGAGCTTGGCGTACTTCTCGGACTTGCTCTCCGTTGGATACCGCGCGCCGTGACGGGAGAGCACTTGGGCGAAGGTAACCTGGCAGTGGTCCGGAACGTCTTCGGAGAGCGAAGACTCGTCGTCGACCGAGAAGTACGGCGAATACTGGCCCCACAGGTGAGAGACCCCGGCGAAGCACTGGTAGCCTTCGTCGACAGTATTGCACGACTGTTGTCTCGGGCTGGTCACCGGAGTACCGGCAACACTGGATGAAGATCAGCCGCTGTTAGATTAAGGCATCCACTATAGGGCAACGTCTATCGGCGAGCGTACCTCGAGAGAAGGAAGGCAATGGGAAGGAGCACGCTAAGGACGGCCATGGCGCTCACGATTGCAACTCTTTTACTGTTAGATAAGCGACGGGACAAGCCCTCCACGCGGACGGGGCGGTCCTCATATAAGCCCTTCATTTCCGTCTCATGTTGATCCAAATGGGGGACCTTGTAACCCTCGTGCAGCTTACGATCCCGCGATATCGGACGGAGATTCAGCCGTGGTGCGAGTGAAGCGGCAGTGTAGTGGGGGTGAAAACGGATAAGCGTGCAAGGTGAGACATGGTAATCGATCGCCCATGGTTCTTCGAAGGTGCTGATGGGGGGCAATACTAATATACGAGAAGACCGTCGAGGAGGACCTGAGTTGTCAGTGTGACGCTGATAGGCTGTGTTGGGCCACGTGGGCGCAGGAATGGTGACAAGTGTGCCTGAGAAAACAGAAAGGGAGAGGAACGCGTTCCATAATCCTAGACATCGCTCCGGATTCCGGTCGGACTTTTGTTCAATTGAAGTTAAGATCTGAAGTGCAAGCTTGATTAACTAGTGCAAGGCTACGTCGCAACGATCCACTCCTTACGAGAAGCCGTTGCTTTAGCCGGTTTGATATTGATCAGGGGCGGGTTATCAATCAGTCGACTACAGCCAATACTCCTCCCACGCTTTGCGTGAATATTCTTTCGGCGTCATGTTAAAGATGATGGTTGATTTAATATACTTTTTTTCCCCTTCTTTCTTTCTTCTGATGTTCACCCGTTCCTTAGTCTCGGGACAAACCATGTACTATTCCAAGTCAATATGTGGAGACCTCACGGAGAGTTCAAGATTCACATGGCTACAAAACCGGTCAAATCAAGACTTACATCCTCCGAAAAACGCACAAGTCAAGATGTCAATGTTTCAATGCTTCAGTAAATCAATCTAATGACCTAATAAAATCTCGTGGTGGTGCTGGGGGGCCACATCTGATAATCTCTACCCGTGATTCCCATTTGATAACGATCATCGCCGGATGTCGCCGAGCCCGGCGGAGATCCACAACAGTCGTTGACAGCGCCTTGCCTTTTTTTTCTTTCTTCTTTTTTTTTTTCTTCATTTTGGTGCTTTCGCTCTTTCTTCCCGTTTTGCCTGAAGTCAGGAAATATTCTCAATTTTTTTTGTAGGGGTATTTCTTGTTCTTGTTCTTGGGCAATGATATTGTACAGGTCTATGGTAGATACCACAATCCCAAGTTTGAGTAGCCAACCAAGCCTTTGAAACAGTAATGGGGGGAGATCGCTCTCAGCTGCACGCTCAAATCAAAACCAGAGCCATGGTGGTATCTTTCGTCTAACGGGGTCCACGGTCACAAGCAAACCAGAACAAATCCAAACAACACCGAACAGCCCAAGATCAAGGGACGCCTCGCCATTGACACTTTCCAAGTGCCATGTAAAAGCAAACCAGCGAGACGAATCAAATCGACATCAATGCAAAGCGGACAGGCTCCTTTCCGACACTCTCAATCAAAGGGACAGGGGTAAAACAAACTATAAGCAAGAAGGGGAAAACATTGACAGCTAAAGCAGACAAAATATATGCAGGAATGAGAGGAACCCAGTTCGCACTAGTCAATAAGAGAGCCATCTGCTTTTCGCCGTTCGAATAATCCAAAATTTCCATGCTGATCGCACAAATGACAATTTCCTCCAATGCAATGAGATTCTCGCCTCAGGCGAGATGTATGATATATGGTCCAGCAATTATTCCTGCGAATCTCCTCGGATGCTGAAAATGGCAACCGACGATCCGCAGGAGAGAAAAAGAATGTTAGAGAGGGAAGGCGTGCCCCCTTTTCAAAGTCACGCGTAGACCCCTTCAAAAGAAACACAGGGAAGCAGAACACAAGCTGGGGCATGTGAGCTCAATGTCTTGCTTCCATAATCAAGTGCGTGTCCATGGCCCAGGGAACTGTGGCAGTGATCTTGCCTGCTGTTCATCTGCTAGAGTCCCTCAACTTGTCCAGTTACCAGCTGATCTGGTAGCCGAGGCGGGCGGTGGCACCCCGCTTGTATCCACAACTCGCGGTGTGGTGTCTGTACTAGGCCAGGCCTGATGGTCACGATCCGAGGATTGAAAGGAACGTGGAGAGGTTGGCCGGGTCGGGATCTGACCGGAAGGCACCAGACGACTGACGTGCTCGCGGTAGAAGTTCCTCTCGGAGCGGTAAAAATCTCGCTCTTGCATCAAAGCCCGAATCTCTTGGGCCTGCCTTTGCAGTGCCTCCGTTTGCTTCCGGATTTCATCCTGCTGGGCCGTGATCTTCTGCTCCATTTGCAGCTCGTTCCGTTTTCTGTTGCGGAACCTCCTCGACGCATCGCTATTAGCCTTTCGCTTCTCGGCCTGGCTAGAAGAGCCGGATTTCAGGTCTAGGATACAGGGAATCATCCCGGGGTAAGGGGGATTTTCCGCCTGGGAACCAGGCAGGACGATGGGCTCTTCGCTCACACGCTTGTGCCCTGCCACTACTGAAGGCAGTCGACTGACTGGTTCCATCGTCGTATGTGGGGTGGAATGCAAATATGATGGCGCAGGCTGTGGGCCGGAAGTAGTAGCAGCCGCAGGAGATGACCGTCCGAACTGGCTAAAGGTCGAGATGGGTGTGGTAGGGCTCGTCTCCTGAGGGCTCGGGTTTGGTGTCGGGTTAGCACTTGTCCGGCGGCTATGGAAAGTTGGTGTGGAATGAACGGACACTGGAACAGGCTGTTGATATCCTGACACGGACATCGGCTGCCCAGTTACCGAATCCACGGGCAAGGGTGAACCAGGCGCCACAGGGTATGCCCCCGGCCGTGTTTCTTGAACTAACGGAGATTGGGAAGAACTCGCTTTTCGTGGATAACCGACCCCAGAGCTGACAAAGCGAGCTGATGGTGAAACGGGAGTAATGGTCTGACGGCTTCTCATTCCTGGAGATGCCGATAGGCGCTTTGCGTGTGTTGATGGGGATGGGAGATGTACTGTCGCGGAGGGCAGATGCTGATGAGACGGAGAGGTTGAGAACTGGTCCCCCAGTCCTTCTCGAGCAGTTTCCGCGGTAAAAGCGGATACGGAGGGTGCTTTCGCCGGGGGGTTCAAGATAGAATCGACTCCAATGGGACGAAGCTGGGTAGAATTCAGCGGAGGCTCCACAGGGGTTGAGGGATGCCAGGAAACAGGCCGCGGACGTCCAGACTCGCGGCCGTTTGAAGACGAATCCTCGTCTACAAAAGGGCGTTTCTTCTCCAGGACACTGTGTTTCTCAGTTCGAAGGGCATCTTCTGATGAAGGGCCTGTCACTGGGGAAATCGGCGACATATGCTCCGAGTCTCTTTCGATGGACTGCCGCAAGAAGCTGGGGCATGGCGGGGCCCCCCCTCTCTCCAGGTGAGCCGAAGACTCGGGAAGGGGAGAGCGAGAGAGGGCGCCAGTCGGTTGGGTGAGATGGTAACCAGACAGCGAATGATAGTGATGAGTGGAATGCCCCGGGTTGGTGTACGGGGTATTAGTCAACACACTGATCGCTAGGGTCGCCACGGTGAAAAGGGAGAAAATAAATCGGGAAGGCTAAAACTGGATAGAGACGGGCTCGAGGAAATTATAAAGCTTGATTCCCCGGTAGAAAGTCCTCCGTACTGTAGTAGTCTTGGGTTTCGTATTGAAGCAACAGCCACTGAAATCACGGTTAATCACGCCCGTAGTTATATGCAGTATAGAGTAGTGAAGCTCGTCACAACGATATACAAGTCCGAAGGGAAAGAACAGAGTAGAAGATATATAGAATCCAATAAGAGAAAAAGAACAAGAAAAGAAATTACAACCAAAAGATAAAATAAAAGCTAGGTTCTTGAAATAGAATTGGAGCAACGCAAGGGTACCTGTCAGAAGAGTCAGGTAAAGAGGTACAGAAGAAGAGCAACAGAAGTGGGAATTTGAGGAATAGAAATAAAGATGTAGAGGACAAAGAAAGAGGGCAAGAAAGTCGAATCAGCGACGAGCAGAGGAGAAATGGATATTATTTCTAATTATTATTATTATTTTCTCAGTCCGAAGGGATTGCTTCATGTTCACGCCGCCGTTATGACAAGACCAGCAGCAAGCAATCCAGCGGTGTGAATGGAAAAGCTGATAAGTGGGACCAAGTGATGATGGGTTTGCGTTAAACCACAGGCATGGCATGGGGGAGTGACAATAAAATAAAAATAAAAACGAAAAGCAATTTTGAAAAATTAAAAATAAATAAAAATAAGAAATTCAAGAACAACTAAGACAAGGGACCCAGAAGAGCTCACAAACTGAGTATTTGGAGTCACAGAGGGTAAAGAAAAAAAAAAAAGGCCGTGAGTTACGTGCTGCTCTCTTACTTAGAGTTGTGTCTAATGCCCCATCCCAACAGCCTATTACCAGGCTTACTCGACTACTAACGTATATAAACTCCGTCCTTGAGGTACATACATACATACAGAATACCTAACCTAACCTACTACCTAAAAGGCTCCAGGATCCTAATGCATGTGCATGGGCTTTTAGGCCCATTCATGGATTAGGTACACGACCGGGTAGAAATACAGACAGTCACCTTCGTCATTACACATACTGTACTGTACACATCGAAACCACTCAAGGTACCGTACATGCGGAAGCAATCACGGACCAAAAGTACTACTACCACTAGAGGGAAACGCTATGATGGAGCCCGGGGAATCGGGAATCATTTAGTTGCGGTCGTCAAAGGAATTCCAGAATGCGTTAGTGGGCAAATTCCTTTGGAGAAGGAATAAATTGTATGTCGACTTAGTGACGACTAATTAATTTCTTTTCTAAATTCCTGGGCAATTAATTGAATGATAATCCAAGAGAGTTACACCTGAAGTGGATCTCAACCTTATTAAGATGAAAATGGCAGGTTCCATTAGAAAAGTAGGTGTTTTGAGTTCGTCGTGAAAAGGCTCAGAGCTGCACGTACCGGACGTACAGGCCGAAAACCCTACCTGCATACCTAGTTTTTGGTACTGTGTATAGGAGGGACCCTGAGGCAATGCTTTGACAACAGAAGAACTCGCCTAGAAAATCGTACCCACCATTAGATGCACTAAAGAGTGGCTCTTGAGGCTGGGGAAGATGCAGGTGAATTAGAGGCGCCGTCGCCATGGTCATGGACAGGATCAGTGGAGGCGCGAAATTACCTGGTATCATACTAACCGAATGGGTATCTCTAAGGGGCCTTACTCGGTAGTAAAGGTATCCATAGCGACCTTTCCTAGTATCTGTGTAATAGATACTGCCAATAGTTACATACGTACGCACGGGTTGCTACTTACCGCCACTATGGGCATAGGAATCTCCCTTTTCTTTTTCTTTTTTTTTGTGCTGTCTATTTGATTTCACTCTTGAGTCAAATTGGAGAATAAACTCATACATATATAAGCTGATAAAGGGTAACGAATGAAATCTGGAAATGGCAGTTCAAAAACTTCCTCACACATAGTAGCCCAGTAGTTCAACCTCCAGTACTCATTAACTCAAAAAAAAAAACAGAGGCCACGGGAATAGGCTTTCAACTTCGTCTTGTCCTAAAATGATAGTCTTGCCAGTGTCTTGGAATGCTCTGCCACAGAGCTAATGTCTCACTGTTCTGTCACTTTCTCCAAAGATTCCCCGAAATCCACACGGCTCCGGCAGTTGCCGCTCGCATTTAGCATTTGAGCTAAGGAGAAAGATGTCCTCTCTTACAATTCTAATATTCTTCGGTGCTTCTAATTTGCCTCGGGACCGGTTATATCAGGTAGTACTAATGACCCAATCTTGTTAAGATGAATATCTGACGTGTGACTGACTCGTGTTATTTAGTTCAACCGATGATTTCATAATACAAAGAATACCGGTAGCTTCACCTCTGGGTGCCGCTAATAAGCTTCTAGTAGCGACTGGCTGGCCGGTCATGGCTCTGGGCAGTTTCATCTGGCCTGTGCTTCTATCTGTCGACTCAAAACGATTAAGTTTGACGCTGTGAGGCAAGTCATTGCGAGGAAAGCAACCAAACAGAGGTCCCCGAAGAGCCTAGAGCTGAAAAAATAGGGCGGAGATGATGGGCTCCCATTTTGGATCAACAACTAATTCGAATCACAATGTTGTGGACGCAGGGTGCTTCACTTTGGCCCCAAAGTTTGGCGAGTCGTGATTGACAGTCTAAAGCGCACTAATTGACTTTGAAGGCCTCTGCTGATCGCCGTTGCCCTTCTCCTTATTGTTTTGCCCCCACCCTCCCTCATCTCTTGGTCCTGACAGTTGCCCTTTCGCAAGTCATAGCTGGGCCTTTCACTGGAGGCAAGGCACCTATACCGCCGGACGCTTAGCAGAGCTCTTATTCCAAGCTGTTCATCTGCAGTACAGAAAGTTTTGATCTTGGTAGTACGCTAGCCCCTCGAATCATATAAATCATTAACAGGGGGGGATTATCATCGACTTCTCCTCTCCTGAGTGGCCCAGGAGGGGGGATCCTGCTTGCCTGTTCCACCTTGATTGTGCATTGAAGTCGTGTTGGAGCGGAACCTGGTAGTATATGTGTCTCGGCTACGTCATTGGGCATCAATCGCAATGTAGGCAGTTCAACAAGGTTTGTAACGTGATACCTCGTCCAAATCCCACTCCTCTTTTCCGGCAACAAAGGCTCGAGGAATCCAGAACAGATACAGGTTCCAACATACCGGTACTCCGATCAAAGATGGTTAGTATGGTTAGTACGGATTGTTACGGCTACCTTGCCGTCCATACCAAGTTTTCTTGCCCAGGGGAGGGCAAACCGCTGACACTGAAGGGACGGAATCGATCTCGACCTGCAAGCGTAGCGATCTGCAGGCTATACGACACAAGCCCGAAACTATGCATAATGAGCAGTAACTAACCTCCTAAACATACCGCATCAGTATGCATCTTGTTAAATGAACAAGCTGATGCTGCATGTCTCATACAGCAACACTACATATAAAACACAGATTGACTCAAAGAAAGCAATGAGATCGCTATGTCACAGGGAGCAACCCAACCGTATTGCCTCTCTCACCGCTAGTGGGTAGTGGCGGCCTTTTTTTCACTACTGAATTAACCCCATCAGCTGTTGTTACCGCCCCTTTCCAGAAAAAGAAAGAAAAGGAAGGAAGGACAAGGAAAAAGACGCGAGGGTCTGGTTCTCCTATGGCTTTGAGAGCAAGTGACAGACCGATGGAATAAAGGATGATTATATGCAGCTACAGGAGAAGCACACAGCATATAATAGACAACTGATGTACGTAGGAGGGGGGGCGAGGATGGCAGGCAAGAAAAAGTAGAAAAGTGAATAAAAATAAGAATTAAAATGACAGAAAGATAGAAAAAACATACCAGTCAATGGACCTCTAAAGCGAGCAATGTCGGTAAGAATCAGTGAACTCCATTTTCTGCAGAAGACCAGCAAATTACCTGCAGTGAGTTTAGGAAATACTTTGGCGATCTGACGCACTATTGGCCAAAATTTAGAAATCGTAATCTTGAGCGCCTCGGGTTGTGCTCCAAGGGTTACGGAGTGTGGCTTCCTTGAGTTAGTGGCATAGTTTCAGTGGACTACCCACCTACAGCCACCTCGACGACCAGCATCACACATTTTAGTTTCGCGTGGACGCAAAACGTTAAGTGTAACAAGCTGCGGCCTTCATTGGAGGTCGAAACCCCACGGAGAAAGGCGGTATTTCCTTGGACGACTTAGGGAATGATTAACGTCACAAATAGTGGGTTCCCGAGCTTTCCCAAAGGGGAACTCGGTTTATTAGTGTCAAGTAGACAGAATAGTTAACAACGGGTGATGGTAGATCGTGTGGGCCGGAGCAAGAGGGATATGCGTGGTCTGGAATGACAGGTAAACGCGGAATGGATTTCATGGGATGAGGTTGCGGGTCATGCTCTTTTCAGGCCACATGGTCTGTCGTGCCATACGCACGCTATTATATCCTTTCTTCGATAGAGAACTTGCCATCTCAGTTAGCGTAAAGAGATACAGCGCGTGGGAGATACTTAGAGAAAGTTAGTTATATAACGCGTACCAGCTTCTTGGTTTTACCTTTTATTTTTATTTTATTTTTTTCGATTCGTTTTTCTTTCTTTCTTTTTTACCACTATTGCGGGAAGTGGAGTCGATACTAGTACTTGGGTTATTTATCCATTTCGTATCCGCCATGTGCGGAAGAGTTCCCGGAATTAGTTTCCGCCTGGTACCGTAGCTTTTCTGGAAGTTGTTTGATCTAGTTATAGATTGCCGAACCTTGAACTGTTGAAAACGGAATAATGAGATGGGAAAGAGAACGAAGAATTGGGAGGAGGGAGGGGGGGTGGACTATGGAGACGGAGGGTGGTGTGAGCACCTAGTATGTGAGGGTAGACGCAGATTGCATGAAATAGCACCAGTTCCGCAGGATGTATCGGCGCCTTGTCACTCAGGCGGCTTTTCCAAGAATGCGGTTCGCGGCCTTATCCGCTTAAAACTGTATTCACTCCGGAGCCATCACATTTTTTTTTATGACAGACAGATGGATAAGGGGCGGGCTCTTTTGTCTTTCTCGAAGTCTTATCGGACGATAGCATGCGAAGATAAACTAATTATTCACTCTCCTCACTAATCCGGTTGTATTGACTCTGTGTTATAGTATCTTTATTATTGGCGCTTGTTCGCAGTGTTGCATGTAGAAATTTTAGTCATAGATTTGTTTACTTTTTCTTTTTCTTTTTTTTCCATTTCTCCTCTCTCTTGCGCCCCTGAATCCCAAGTGCATGTCTTCGGTGCCGCTGTATGCGCCACCTTAATCCCACCGATAATTGATAGGTCCAATGGGACTCGTGGCACTTATGTTGAAATGATGGATGGCACTCTCCCTATATTTGTGAATCTTGAAAGAGGGAATTACAAAAGAAAAAGAAAAAAAAAGTAAAAAAGAACACTATGGGCTCCACTGTTTACTCCGTACTGAAAAAAGACCGTGTGTGCTGTACATATTATAATCTACGGCCCAACCACTATATCTGATGTTCAACCTCGACCCTTACCCACTTGGTTGTGGATTTGATACGTGGTAAACAAATAAACATGTCCCTTTCTAATCCAATAACCCCCAGAGGCAAAGAGGCAATATAAGAAGATTAAAAGACAAGGCCGCTATAGATAGCACTATCGCCCCAAGCCTTCCACGAGTGTCAGCATCCTCCTGCATCCCAGAGACCCACCGATGGTGTGCTGGCCCGAGGAACCCTTCAATGGGATTCTTAGATGTCCAGGTCAAACTTTGACCTAAATCCCACAGCATGCCCGGGATATGCATGCACTGTCATAGGTCACGCTTGCCTTCTGCCAACCTTGGAACCGGAGGAACTGAGAAGTCTTCCGGGCTTTGCGCGGAACAATCACACTGCATCCGATCTCTTAGATCCTTTATGCATGCTGCATCTGTTTACTTACTCACAGCGAACAATGCTATTATAGAAGACAGGGGGTCTGCTGGGCGGTTAGTAAATCTAGAACTGGGATTTTTTATGCGTCTCACTCGGCTACTCTCCGTATGGATTACGAAGCTACTTCCTCCCTCGTACCCAGCATACTGTATGCATGTATAACATACCAGATGGACTGACTGTCCCGTGCCGGCTTAAACTTCGACTTCCTGGCTATATAACTCTATCGCTTGAGAAGGTTCTTCTTGCATTGGCCTCGGCTTTTAAGTTATTAATCATTTTTATCTGGCTAGACCATAAAATGGTACCCTGTCCTTTTTCGATGTATGGCTTTCCACCCGACCCCGACCGACTGTATGCTTAATCACACGGGGATAAAAGAAAAGAAACGAAAAGAAAACGGACAGATATAGAAGCTCCAGGAAGATGTAGTTTCAAATGTTCTAGGGTTACAAAATGGATCCCGTCTTACATGATACATATACGAGGAATTCTTCAGCTTGCTTTTCCCATTTTTAAAAGTACGTGCATGGTCCTCCACCTTATTGGGTGCTGTTTCGAGGCTGCGGTCACTCCCGCACCTAAAGTAAGCCCAATCTGCAGCTATCAGGCGTCATCTTACACCCAACACAAACATCTTCATAGTGGCTCTGAAGAACAAATGGACTACTGCAAGGGATTACTTCGGCGAATACTCCATATGCATCGGCGCCAAGAATCCAGAAACCACTCGACCAACGAATTGCCCAATAGCTTGAGAGACAAACGTACTGGTCGCACAAGGACTCGATGACCTGCTGTGGCTGTTCGAATTTGCTCATCTGCGATCCTCCGGGAAACAATCCGGGTTTCAGTTGTGAAAAAGAATCTATTCGAATCTCCCTTTCTAAAAACAAGGAAGCGTTTCAGCTTCGGCAAACATATCTGAGTCACTATCTATAGGTAAACAGGGTTCTTCCTGATGAACGACGGGATGGTCCCACAGGAGGACTCCCAAATGGTATCTGATTGATTTTCCTCTAGGGTTTGGTGGCCATTGCTTCAACCTCCACACCATCAACCATGCTATACGTACATCAGTTTTGGAATCGAAACTCATTCTTGGGCTTGCCCCTGATTCCCACGTCAACCTTATAGACTCGCCCTCCATACCGGATTGAGTTCGGGAACTGCTCATCATCGGTGTCATCCTTGGCGGTGGTGATGAGTAGTTCAGTCCCCACAAAGATCGGGCAGGTGATGTTTCTCGTGGGAAGCAACACTTCTCCAATAACCTCCCCTTCCGGCGAGATACGGATGACTTTACCGCCCCCGTAAATGGCGCTCCAGATACAGCCTTCGGCATCAATGGCAAATCCATCAGGTTCCTTTGGTTCTCCCAAATCAAAGTGGACTCTACGGTTGCTGATCTCACCGGTTCGGGCGTCAAAGTCAAACGCGTAAATTTTGCCAGTGGGTGAGTCGGTCAGGTACATTGTATCGTCGGCATGATTCCAGCCAATCCCATTGGGGATAGTCAGACCTTCAACCATACGGTGCACTTTCATGTCGGGATCCAGTCGGAAGAGAACGGCCTCGTTGACCGGGGACTGCACTTTGGGGTCATTCATTGAACCAGCCCAGAACCGCCCATGGCTGTCGACCGCCCCGTCGTTGAAACGCATTCTGTTTTGGGTGAATCCGCTTAGTCAGATTTTACGAACAGTAGCTGAGCAAACTTGGACTTCACTCACATGCGGGCTCTTTCTGGGTCCTTCTGGTCATCCCAAACCTTGGAGATGTACGAGAGCTGGCCCGTGGCGCGGTCGAGAAGAGCATACCCATGTTTTGCGGCTACGATGATCTGGCCGTTGTAGGCATCGCCAGAATCTTTGATGTTGGCAGTTACCCTAATCTCCCGTTTCGCTGATCAGTTCAAGGTTGCCGGAAAAGCTACAGCTGCAGGGGTGTCTGTCCACGCACCCGATTGAAGCAGACGTATCAATAGTCTTCAACGAGTCTGGGCCTTTGGCTAAGTCCACCACATAGAACTTCTGCTCCCAGATATCAACAAAACGAAACTCATTTCTTGGCTCGTCATGGAATGGCCCCTCCAACAAGGTCCCTGCGATATCGATGTACGGCTAATGGTTGAGTCGTGAGAATGAATCCATTATTTACGCTTCTCCCACCCGTGGCAATACCGCGCAAGGTGTTCAGAATCCTACCTCAGAGACCGTCCATTTCTTGAACGTTGACATGATGATAATTCGATTAATCAAACTAATTAACGCAGGAGGCCGTGCTTGGATTTCGGGATCTGAACGGTACCACACTGAAGGTGCTGGATCTGGACCCCGGACAAGGAAACGAGCCGACGGTAGCCAAAGATAGATGGCTACTATCAATAACCTCGTAGGAACGTGGATTGTTTGGGCTGTGCGTTGTGACTGGTGAGAAGCCAAAAGGGGATGAAGATCGATTCAATAGTCTGACCAGATTCTTTGAGGGGCTAACTTATCCAGTGTCGTGGCCATGGGCGCCAAGACATTCACCCCACATGACTGATCGATGGGAATTCTTTACTCTCACTAAGGTCAACTCCGTTTCTGATACGCATAAATCATCCTATCAGCGGGTCGTCCCCGGTGAGCCGAGTACTGGCGCGAGTGGTACTACTACGGGTCCATCGCGCTGGATTTCATACACCGCTTTCCTCGGCATAGTGTCTGACGATGAGATTTATTTGCATTAAAGCGAAAGTACCTTTGACGAACTAGCTCCAGAAATTGCTCTTTCAGGAGTTGGTGGCTTTTTTGGGGGGGGGGGGGGGGGGTATATGGTAAGGTATCATCGACGCAGTGGTCGCCAAAGAGGAGTGGGCAGACAAGGTTATAAAACAATAAATTAAAAAAATCAGAAATAAAAAAAATAAAAAAGAAATTGAATACTAAGGGGGAAAAAGTACACCCCGAGATCCTTAACGGTTCAGCAGGATAATTCCCCGGGCCAATTGCTTCTCAAACTATTGGACTTTTGGTGGACATGATTATTGGGAAATCTGCACCAGGACACGTATCCACAAAATGGGGCTATCACACGTCATGTGGATAAGCAATGCGAGACCACGTTTGTGGTCATAGAACCTGGAAGGGGAGTAATACAAGAGGAAATCACTCAATCTGTTGCTTGATGCGTTAGATTAATCAAAAACTGCCGCCTGGGACTTCCACCGTGCGCACGTCTTGGGGACCGTGGCCACGGTGCGGCAAACTTCCCGTGTTACGCCTCATTTGTTCCAGACTAGGACCTCGGGTGGAGAAATCAGAAAACGGGGTCATATCAGCAAATAGGAACTCATCCGGCCTGTCCTCCTTGGAGCTGGACAGTGTGGGAAAGAATTAGCTGCCGGTAGGTCTATCCCAAGCCTTAAGCAAGCTGCGTGACAGAATTGAGGTCGCCTTGCGACTGGAAGGCTCCACTTTCGTCCCTGGTGGTTCCCTGGTTGCAGACACGGCACGACGGACAGGGTCCCAAAGGTCCCGGACTTCTGGTGCAGCTTGCCTTACCGGCTGGGGATTCTGGCGTACAGCCGTTAGATGACAGGTTTGCATTGCTTACTGCATTGATCACCAGTTCTTTGTGCGCCTTCTACGGCCTCTGCCACCACAATGCCCTCTCCCTGCATTGCTGGCCTGCGGTCAGACATGCCCAGAAGTCTGGGGGGTGCTTCCATTCCGTCCGTACAGAACCGAAGAATGAAGCGGCCCACTAGACTTCTTCCAATTCCTTCGATGGAGCTCTAGCAGGGCGGCGAGACATTCAGTTCGGCAGTGGATAGGCTGTCTGTGCTACTAACGCTAGAAGTTCTAGCGAAGGCCGCAATTCTGAGGGACTCTGTCTTAATACCGTTCGTTTAATGAGGGCGGTCTGGCAATGCTCATGGCGTTAAGTGTCGCATATACTCCGTACCTTTGGCAAGAACCGGCCGAAATGTCTCTGGGGTGATCGCCAAAATAGTGCTAAAGCTACTCCGTCCACCAGAAAACGGCAACCTCAGTGAGATCTACGGTGCATCAAAGTCTACTTTGGACAGAGTCGCTTTCGACTGTGACTGTCGGTCTGCCGTGCAGGAAGCTTGCCAACGGTCGTATTTGTCATATTGATAGATCGAAGGTATGATTTTATTGTTCCCCCTCCGCCCTCCCCTTAATTTCTTCCGACGTAACAAATTCTACCAAGCGGAGTCGGCCAGCTCAAACATGGATGCATTGTTGGGCCGTTGAGAGTACCTGCAGAGGCAAACCGGACGCTTGATATTTGATGTGATCCACCAACGAATACACGGGCCCAGTTACTAGATTGAGCGGCTGCGGAAAATGCGGTGTACAGCGTATGCTCACGTAGGACGCAGCAGCGAATCCATCCTTCTCCGTCCGGCCTCAAGAATTGGAGTTCCACTGTCCGACCGTTAAGAGCGGATCCAAACCCGGTGCGTCGGTAACGATAAATCGAACCGGCATCGACCGAGATACATACATTCTATACTGAAGCTTCGAGGAGGCCTAATGCAGATAGTTAGATGAGAATGGGATTTAGGTAGGCAGCCTCACATGATCAATTCTTCATGCAATGCAAGACACAATTCGTAACTTACATGATGGATGCATGCGAGGTGATCTTGTACCGTACCGTTCCAGACGGTATCAGTACCGGTACCAGACGTACTGAATACCAACAGCTCATGACCGGAATTCAATCGAAACCCACTCTCAGGCCCTTCAGCCTTTTTCTTTTCTTTTTTTTATTTGTTTTATTTTATTGATTTATTTCATTTTTAATTTGTTTTTCCCCCTACTGCATGAAATCCGTCGCCAGATAAGAATGAGATCCCACAATCCCCCTTTCCACGATCGAATCACCGCCATGAAGTCAGTCCTCAGGTGCAGGCAAGATGTGACCTCCACAGCAAATAAAGAAGCCAACATGCCTACCACGCAGCCCAACCAAAAAGCAAATCCAAATAAGGATTGCTGCATGCTGCAACTAACAGGAAGCATCCCACTCCAAAGCTGCCACGACAGACACCTCAAGAAACCCAACCGACGGGCCAACCACACCGCAGCATCAAAATTCCAACGCTTGGCTTTTTGTCATTGGCGGGGTATTTTCTGATTGCCGCGATTTTCCTCTCTTTTTTCTCTCTCTGCTTTCTCCATCTCAATGGAATGTGGCTGTGGATTGGCTGGTGCCCCAGTAATTTCTCAGCCCACTACCTCTCTTCGGTTTAGGTCTGTATTAGGTACCGAGGGAGAGTACTACCTGACTGATCTGTCCCTGTCCCTAGGAGCAAAAAGGTGTGCAGCTGAGGTGGTAGTGATTGTTGTCGTGCATTTAGCCTAGGTGTGTCGATGCATTCGTTGTTTGGGGCGAGGTGGGTGTCCCTGATTGGGATCCCGACGTGTAGATGTTGCGTTGTCGTGCTGTGTGTCTCGTTTTGACTTCCGTTTAATGTACACCGCGGTGGTTCTGAAGTAGGCTGGTCGTAGTGGGTACCGAGTGATGTATGCTATGTAGTTTGCAGCAGATGAGTAGCAAATTAATCAACTTACGTTGCTGACCCTGCATTGCATTCGACCAGGATGTGAGATCTATACTACTTGGGCATCTCATGTACACACCTAAGTCCAGACTCCGAGTCTGAAGTCCTCCATCGGTATATATATATATATATATATCAGACACCCATATCAGCGCCATCCCCTTCACAAAAAGATATCCTTGAAGTTACACCTCTTCCTACCCAAATCTACCCCGTAGACCTCCAACAAAACACTCCATAGCCAAACCCTCACTAAAGTACTAGTAGTCCAAGACCCCCAATGTAGATCCCACGATCAAACATCGGGTACCAACACATCTCACGTGGCCACTTACATAAAAGCAAGAGCAAAGCAACTACTACTAACCTAGTAGTTAGTGAACGACAGTACATCCCAAACTCTTTCCAACATCAATCAAATACATCTCTTTCTTTATCCCCTTCACCGGTACCACGCAGCTCGCCTGCTCATATCCTTACTCGCACGATAATATGCATCCATTAGTGTTCGTGTTACCATCTCACCTCGGCCACACCCCCACCAACAGCGCCCCATTGGACGCAACGCCGATATCTTATCACTCACCGAGCATATAACTAAAAGCGTTTTTGGAACTTACTAGTATCTGGATCTAGCTGGAGATATCGGTAGATCCCTGTGCTCGTTTTATTGGGCACGTTATGATCTCGGGATGTGTGACAGGGATATAATACCTAATGATCTATCTGCGCGTGATCATGCATGTAGTAGTTATATAAAATAGACAAATATCATATGGACATAATGTTGGTACAAGGCAATGATTATCTAGACGTGTCGACTTGTCCCTGAGCTTCTTCTTCTTCTTCTTCTTCTTCTGGGTGTAATCAGTATATAGGTAGAGCATCATTCTGTCTATGATGAACCGGACTATATCATTTTGTCTGGTACTTACTACACTTAGTATTACAAGATATCCAAGTCAATTCCCCCTCACCAACATCAAGAACACTTCCCCACGTATGAATACCCATGGGTCTAGGCAAAAACATCCCCACCAGAGACTCGATCAGATGAGCCTGGAATTAAGCGACGCGGTACGTGTTGGTATACTCGGGCGTGGCTGTGTCCGGTTCTCACTCTGCCTGTGGGTCAAGTGGGATGTAACTATATGCACGGATAGGCGATGGGATATCTAGATTAAGGTGTATAAGTATGTATAAGTGCCTTGTTAGGTGGTTCGGCATGATGTGCAGTCCTTGCTTGGGGCATGCATGTAGGCTTGGGTGTGGCGAATCGTGATGGCTTGTTTATGCGTGGGGGTGGGTTTGGGTTGGTTTTTGTGTGGTGGGGGGTGGTACTTATTGGGTGGTTGGTGTTGTGTATGTGTATATGTATGTGTGTATGTGTGTGATTGAGGTGGGAGGACGTTTGTGATGTGCCTATTGTGTCGAAGGTGAGATGAGAGTTGTGTCAGGTAGGGTTTGGATTTGATGTAGCTGGTGGTGGTTGTGGTTGTTGGGTCCAATGTGGGTATACCACGTTTCTTATTCTGTGGTTTGGTTTGAGTATTATGCGCAAGGTGTGTCTACTGGTAGGTTTACCATGCTCTATGTTGTCTCTCGTTGGTGGATTATCTGCATGGTTGCTTGCTGGATAAACTGCCTATTTTTGTAATTTTTGATCCAACTCATCTGACTATCCTATATACAAAACATTACACATCATCAATGGGGTTGCCATGCATTACATTACAGTTTGGATCCGAGGTTGACATGAATAGCCTTGACCTGCGAGTATGCCTCCAATCCGGCCTCGCCGAGCTCACGGCCGATGCCGCTTTGTTTGATGCCACCGAAGGGAACGCGGAAGTCGCTGTCGTTGCTGCTGTTAATCCAGACCATGCCTGCTTCGATCTCGGAGGCCACACGATGCGCCCGCTCAATATCCTTGGTGAAGATGGCTGCTCCCAGGCCATATGTCGTGTCGTTGGCGCGGGTCACGGCCTCGTCCTCAGCGGCAAAGCTGGAAATCACGACGAAGGGGCCGAAGACCTCCTCGCGGTAGATACGCATGTTGTCCTTCACATTCGTGAAGACGGTTGGCGCGATGTAGAAGCCCTTGCCGTCGCCGACGTTCTTGTAAGGCTCGCCGCCAGCGACGAGAGTTGCGCCTTCGGATTTGCCGGTCTCGATGTACGAAAGGACTCGGTCGTACTGCGCCTTGGTGACCTGAGGCCCCTGGAAGGTGTCGTCGGCGAAGGGATCCCCAACTTTGCTGGTCGAGGCCACTTCCTGCTTGAAAAGCTCGATAAACTTCTCATAGATCGATTCGTGGACCAGGATACGAGAAGTTGCTGTGCAGACCTGTCCTTGATTGTACATGATGCCGATATGTGCCCATTTAGCAGCCTGCTCAATATCTGCGTCGCCAAAGACGACTAAAGGAGATTTGCCGCCGGTTTCAAGGGTGATGTTTTTCAAGGTACCAGCGGCTAATTTCATGACCTCTCGACCGGTCAAGGTGGAGCCGGTGAAGGCAACCTTATCGACATCAGGGTGGGTTACCAGGCGCTGCCAGCAACTCTTCCGAAGCCATTGACGATGTTGATAACACCTGGGGGGAAGCCGGCTTCTTTGATGAGCGTGGCGAAGTAGAGGATGCTGAGGGGTGTCTGCTCAGCTGGCTTCATGACAATAGTATTACCGCAAGCGAGCGCAGGGCCAAGTTTCCATGCAGCCATGGCGAGGGGAAAGTTCCATGGGATGATCTGGCCCACTACACCAATGGGCTGGCGAAGGGTGTAGGCAAGCTTGGCCGGTGTGGTGCTAATGGTTTGACCATGGACCTTGTCCGCCCAGCCAGCATAGTACCGAAGGGTGTTGATAACCTCACCCAAGTCCTCGCTCAAGGAGACAGAATAAGGCTTGCCTAACGAGGGTCAGTCAAGGACAAAACACAACGACTTCACTGATAAAATAAGGACACAAACCATTGTCCCAGGTTTCAATGGTGGCCAGCGTCTCTCTGTGCTGTTCAATGAGATCTGCCAGCTTCAGCATCAAAGCACCCCGATCCGTTGGTGGAAGTAGCTTCCATGATGGATCTTTGAGGGCCTTGCGGGCTGCCTTGACGGCGATGTCAATATCTTCCTCGCCTGCAGCATATACGGAAGCAATCTCTTTCTCATCTCTATGAGCTGGTTAGTTTCAGTTCCTTTGAATCACAGGATATGGTATCCGGTGCGAGCGGACTAGGTCACGTACGAAGGGTTGATCGTGGCAAACTTCTCGCCCGACTTGGACGGAACAAACTCGTTGTTGATGAACAGGCCAATGGGCTGAGAGTACTGACGGCCATTGGGGGCTGTCAATTGTACTGTGACGTCCGACATGATGACTGGGGAGCTGTGAAAGCGTCGACGAGGAAGCGAGGAGGATAGAGGGAGCTTGAAGAGAGGAGGACCACGCAGGCACAGGCGGGTGAAGAGTGGAGATGGAGCGAGGGGCATTAATACACCAAGAAAGAGAGAAAGAAGAAGGGAAGAGAGGGGAAGCGAAGGAAGGGGGGGGGGGCCTTATATAAGAAAAGGATACTAGTGAATGAGCGTCAGGGTATCTCTTGCAGCATAGATGCAGGTAGTAGTTACTAAATAGTAGTAGAAGTGGTGTTGTTCGAGCTCCCCCGCCAGCGAGAACTGAAGATCCAATGAGATGGCAGGTGACTTGCCCACTAATCGGTGGATATCGGATACACTTTCTCTTCCCAGGAAAGCCTTACGTTCTAGAATACTTTTCTCTTTTCTGGATCCCCAATCAACATCCCGTTTTCCCAGGGGTTTGCGATGCGATTCATCATCAGAAAAATGGATCCTCACGACCTGAACTGTTGAGATCAAACACCGCAACCCCACCCTTCTCTTCGTCCGCCGTCCGCCGTCCGCGGCCACCGACCCATGGATCCGCTCATCACGCATCAGCGTGCATCTACTAGTAGTTACTACTATAGTATACCCCTGATCGACTTCCAACGTACCAAGGCATTCCCCGCCTTCCCCTCCTCACGGTCCAGCTTTCTGGAGTAATGACCCGCCCGACTCGCTCTCCAATCATCTGCAGGTCATCCAGCTTCCCGCCGTCGGACTGGCCGATCCCATTCGTTCAGAAGATCCCCATCAATGTGGGGACCCTGTCCTACTCCTAATATCTCCCTGCCAACGCGTAAAACGTCTTGGTCTATAGATCACCCACAGTCATGGTGGGAATGACACAGCTATGTTGCGAAGCAAGTATGTACCAAGTCAGACTTGATAAAACCAGTCTAGCAGTCGATGTCCCAAATCTTAACCGGTGATCAGGAGGCGATCATTTAATAGACCATTCACATTATTGGAACACCTCAAAATAGACAAGAACCCGTTCATTGTACACAAGGAAACCAAGACGCTCACGGCGAGCTTTATGACTCATTCCAGAGTCGCTTCGGAGGAAATGGGGAAATGTAATATGGAATGACATAAAAATGAAAAAAAAAAGAGATTTCGTATCTTCCTCTACTCGCTCGTTTCTTCTGCGCTCTCTCCTTCTGAGGACGACGACTCCTTTTCCTTGGCTAACCCTAGTATGAAGTCCCATTCCTTCTTGGTAACGCGGGAGACACTGAGTCGGGATTGTTTCAGGACCTGAAGATCCTCGAGCGGATCTCCCGTCTTCGCGTGAGCTTTGAGGTCGTTCAACGAGATGAAGTTCTGGAACTTGCGTCGGAACTCGACGTGGACCACGTCCCATTTGGGGTCTTCTCGGGAAGATTTCTCGTCGTAGTATGGGTGTGCAGGGTCAAATGCAGACTCTAGAGTGATGTTGCGTTAGTCATCACGCCGGATATTGGGGAATTTACAGAATGGAGACGGACCGTCTGGTGTATGTTCTTGTACAATCTCCATATAACCCGCAACTCCGGGCACTTTGCAGTTCGAGTGGTAAAAGAAAGCGTAGTCGCCCTTCTTCATTTCTCTCATGTTGTTCCTTGCTAGTCATCGTAAGCTTATAGTCTCATATATCGCGAGCTTACTAATCGCCCATACCAGACGGGTTCCGTACGCCTAGCAGAAGGTAAGCATTCACTTGGCTACAAGATAGGGGTATATCACGCACCATCCCAGGGTTCCGGCTTGGTACGCGAGGCCAAGTCATCAATGGAGAACTTAACATCAACGCCCTTTTCTAAGCGTGATTCGGGCTCTGCTTTCATCAACCAATATGAGCGGCCGGAATCGTCATCCTCCGCCTCATCTTCAGCCTTGGCATCTGCTGATTCTGACTTTGGTTGCGTGGATCTGTTTGTTGGGGTGTCTGCCCCATTCTGAGCGGGATACTTTCTAGGCCTTCCGACCGGCCGCTTGCCCTCCTTGGGGGTACTCGGTTTCGTGGGAGTATCTTAAGGCACGTTAGTGGACCCTCTTCTCAAAGCACCTCTATTGCACCTGGGATGAGAGGATGGGCAGAAGGGAGATATGATAGGGCGTACCCTTGGCAGATGGGTCCTTGCGAGGACGGCCCCGGCCCCTTTTAGGACCCGGGGAAGGCTTGGGGCCACTTCCTTCAGGGTACTTGCGAGGACGGCCTCTCTTCCTTTTCTCTCCAGTAGCTGGATCAGGGACAGCAGCCTGCGGAGATGTTGACATTAGTTCCTGTTATTTGGATATGCACGTAATGGATCGCGTCCTTGCTCGGAATCCCTTTTTTCTTATCCCATCAAACGGAGAGTTGCCTTGTGTGACGAAAGGAAGGGGAAAATCCAACGCGGGAGCAAGGAATGGGGCGTCAGTGAGCCGCGGTCGCGAATTGCCTTTTATGATGGGCCTGCGCATGACGCGCCTCACGTCGGACCTGTCGATCACCGGAAAACAGGAAAGAGGAAAAGAAAATCCGCGATACACGTCGGGCATACGCACTCTTTTGGGGGAATTGCTTTCTTCGGCCGCAGGCGCGCCTTCGGACTTGCGCTTCTTGACTGGCATTGTTGTCATAGGTAGAGAAGTCTGCGTGATGAAAGGGTGGGAGGTGAGGGGGTGTGAGGAGAAATCAGAAATGGAAAATCAAAACAAAAGGCAGATTCGATAAGAGAAAGAGAGACAAGGTAAGCCAACCAGTCAAAAGACAGGAGGCGGGGAGGAGAGATGAGACACGACAGTCCAGACGCGCTGAAGGGACGGATAGTCAATCCTATATTAGTGTTAGTGTTGGTGTTGGTGTCAGTCCGCTGTCGGTCGCAATCGAATGATTATCTCAGTGATTCAACCTGTTGGGGGGAAGAGAAGTTTGGGGGGGGGGGGGAAATGAAGGGGTCCTTCTCACCTACGGAGAAACCTGAAAACCTAAGGCAGGGACCGTTAGCATGAGTTGAAGCTTTGTTTTTGCGCCTGGGGGAACGGGGACAAGCTCGACTGGACTGGGCGCGCGAGCCCGGCGCCAGTGGACCCGAGCCGATCATGGTCACGTGGTGTCGCCGTGAAGGATACTCCACAGTGGCCATCGGTGTGCTATCCGATCTGTATAGTGTTCTACGTGATGCTCCTACTACTGGAACCCGCGCAGAGAGGAAACTCATTCTACCCCCCTCATGAACAGAGTTACATAGCTATTGAATAACATTGAAGCAAGGCCATATACATGAACCTATGGACATATGCCGACGGATAGATTATGTAAACCTGGAAATCTTGGATCAAACGCTATGGCATAACCTCGGATGGATAGCCCGTTGAACTACTACTAGTAGTACCGAGTATGGAATTTCCGGATGCAACCGTCGGGGAGGAAGAGCTCATCTCCGGCTGGCGGGACTTGAATATCTCTCGCATGCAGCTCTGAACTGTCAGTTTCGAGCTGTCATTTGGGTCCCAGGGATTTGGTCGATCGCGTTTGAACAGCGCATGTACTAGAATTGATTTCATAGAACGAGAAGCAAAAACAAAAAAACGATTGAAAATTTACATATAAGATATACAGAGTAGACTCGGATGAACTAGCAACAACTTTACGAGTCAGATCATCGGCGATTCCGCCGGGATACTTCCAGAGTAGATCCCCCGTTCTCCACCTCCGCTTGCATTAACTTTCCATTCGCAACACAATTAATAACCATTGAGTCACTTGCGCTCGTGGGGCACTAACTAATTGACGCCTTATGAATGATCATGAGTTTGTCTTGTTCTTGCTCTTTTGCAACTGGGAGGATATTTATTGTCTTACACTTCCCCACATGTGCTGGATAGATCTAGGCTGAGACCCAGCCGACAGCACCTAAGGTTTAGAGAAGCCAAGATGCATACCGTACCCAATCAGCAGTCATATCCGACCCCAGATGGCGTCCAAGCACTGGAATTCAATAGGGAATATGGCGATCGAGAGGGACAGCAGCATAAAGAGCACATAAACCACACACCAGATTCTGATCAAGATGTGGAATATCTCTATCTCAACTTTGACACAATCTTGCCACACCCCGTGGGCATCTCTTCCCCGCAACCGGGACAAGCGTCTCCACCACCATGCCCCAATCTCACAAAGTACGCTTCACCCTTCTTATGGGCAGAATCCCGCAAGACCGTCGTCACAGTCATCTCTTGCTGCGTAACAGCTATGTCGGCTTACGCTGCGGGGTCGTATACCCCACCAGCTGATGAGTTGACGGTCAAGTGGAATGTGAGCAGGGTTGTATATAATCTGGGAATCTCTCTGTATACCCTAGGCTTCGCTATCGCTCCCATGGTGCTGGCACCCTTCTCGGAAATTAATGGGAGGCGACCTATCTTTGTGTCCAGCGGCCTTGTTTTTACCGGTCAGCTCCTCTCCCTCCACAGCTTGACCTATGGAGGAACCAAAATTAATGCCTTTGGCTGGTAGTGTGTTTGATCGGATGCGGTGCCACGGAATCTTTTGCTGGCATGCTTGTGGCAAGGTTTTTTCTTGGTGTTGGCGGATGTAAGTTACCCTGCTTTGCACCCCTCCTGCTGTTCTACAATTCAGATTGACGCTGTTTATCCACTGTAGCTACCTTTTCCACTATGGTAGGCGGCGTCATTAGTGATATATACCATGCTGAACACCGCAATGTCCCCATGTCGTGCTTCTCAGGTGCAGTCCTCTTTGGGACGGGCTTGGGGCCACTCATTCCTGGTTTCATAGATTACCGCGCCAATTGGCGCTGGATCCACTACTCCCAAGCCGTTGCTTCTGCAGTGTTAATGCTTGTCCTCTTTGTCTTTCTCAACGAAACTCGGGGGAGCGTGCTTTTGAGCCGAAAAGCTAAAGCACTCAATAAGTACTACGACACATTAGAAAGCGCTGGCTATGTTGGTGTTGTGTTTTGCTCAGACGACGGCATCAAGGGGAAACAACAAGCAAGACGCATACGGTGGAAGGTAAAAAGCGACGAAGAGCGGGAAAGTATAACTAAGATGATCACCATATCCTGCTTTAGGCCGTTCCGTAAGTGGGACAAGTTCCTCCTATGGGTAATATCATCGGGAAGCATAGCTGACCAAACCATTAAGACCTTCTGTTCACAGAACCCGTGGTTTTCTTCTTTTCACTCTGGGTCTCATTTAGCTGGGCGGTTCTGTACCTTCAGTTCATTGCGATTCCAATCGTCTTTTCGACCAACTACCATTTCAATGTGGAACAGACCGGGGCAGTCTTTGCAGCGGTATCTATCGGTGCACTGCTGGCTACCCCTTTGAGCATCTACCAGGAGAAGTTCGCTATGCGGGTTGGCAAGATGTCGAGCACCCCAGAAGGACGTTTGTATTTCACATGCGTTGAGTCAATTTTGTTGCCCATTGGTCTATTCTGGTTTGGATGGACATCGTTTTCCTCGGTCCCGTGGATCGTGCCGACAATTGCTGTGGGATGTTCCACGATAGGCATTTTCTCCATCTACTTGGCCGCCTTCAATTACCTTGCTGATACTTATCATCGATACGCCAGTTCAGCGATTGCTGCGCAGTCATTCTGTTCGTCTCGCTTGTACCCCCGATAGGAGCTAAGTGATGCTGATGGTCTTCAGGTCGAAATGTTATGGGTGCCATATTCCCGCTGGTTACCAATGCGATGTTCAACAACCTGGGTTATCCAGCAGCCTCCAGCCTTCTTGGGGGGATTGTAAGCAAGTTATTCCTCTATTCCATGACTCAGACTAACGCAAACAGGGTGTTCTGCTGACAATCGTGCCCTGGGTCCTCGTATTCTATGGACCTCAAATCCGTGCCAGAAGCAAATTTGCAAGTGTATGACAAAAGGTTTATCTTCATCAGCGGCTTGCTAAACAATCTCTAGGAAATCATGAATCAACATTAGGGTCCTCGAAAGCCTGGCTAGGTTACCTGACACGACATGCCATTGGGATAAAGACTTCAAAAAAATGTTGGTTTCGCTTGACAGCATTGATCGCATTCCAATCCATGATGAAGAAACGCTATGAAGACAACTGCCGTTGTATATAAGACCACCCTGACAATGACATAGTACTGGTAGTACAGCGCAGGGTGGGTCCTCAATCAATCTAAGTTTAGTTACCGAGCTTTCAAAGTGCCGGTCAGGGGTCCCTCAGGATTCACCAATAGTACTACATACTCATTGTCGATAAAAAAGGAACGTCCACTCCATCTCGGGCTCCTTAGTGGTACTTTTACTAGTACCGGTGCAACATCTCGGCTTATCACTTGCGAAGTTATCGGGCATATGACGGGAGGTGATGTGCAGAATGGCGCCATCTTCAACAGTGTCCATTGGCCCTAGTCATTGGCATTGTCGGCCGAGCTATTCTTTTCTTGTCAGTAGTCGGCCGATAAACCCGGGTAGATGGACGTAGCCAAGGAGGGGTATTCAAGGCATTTGGAAAGAAGGGGGGAGGTGGACTTGAAAGATACTGATTGATCATTTAGTACTCCGTATAGCGTATTGGATTTGAAGCATCAAATGCCCGACTGGAAGGTACAGCGTAGAGGTAAGTCAGGGGATGGTCTCGACTCCCACCCTTTTTATTACATTTTGATTAAGGCACCACTGCAATGTTCCATTGACAGGATGGGTTCTCTACAAGTCCAGACAGATCATTGGTTCCTGGATACTAACCTTTGTCACTAGTAGTCACAGAATCCGACATCTTCATGAACCCCGACATTAATGTTTGTTGACTGCATCGTGGGGCCCTTCCGAAAAGGGATGCGCTAAACAGCCCACCAGAGAATGAGCTCATGACTGGCCAATGGAGATCGTTCTGCCCCGCGGGCGGTGGTCAATTGCGTGATTTGGAGGAGGAACCGCGACGAGACGGTCATTCGCCGACCACCCTATCGAGGGGAAGATCTGGAGGGGTCGAGAAGCTGAAGGGCCGGGGGCACCTTAGGCTGTCAGTACTAGTAGTAGGATCTAGTACCGTAGTACCGCCGTAGTGGGAGTCTGGGACCCGGAAAAGGTACATCCATTCACCTAGTACTTCCCCGCCGCCAAAACTATTTCAAGGTCCTCCTCCCCCCCTCTATTCTCCATCTACTTTCGCATCTCTTCATCATCCTCATCATCTAACCACTCTTTCATCCTTGCTTGGATACCTCCTTTACTCGGTCACAATGGCTCAGGAACGTGCTGCTCCGTAAGTAACCTTGCTATTATCATCCTCCATCCTCCTGGATGACTTCAGGACCGTCAACACGGACGCAGTCAGAGACTGACAGAGCAATTGACTCTAGCATCCGTCTGGGCTCTACTGCCCCTGACTTCGAGGCTGACACCTCCACCGGCCCCATCACCTTCCACAACTACATCGGCAACAGCTGGGCTATCCTCTTCTCTCACCCCGATGACTTCACCCCCATCTGCACCACCGAGCTGGGTGCTTTCGCCAAGCTCGAGCCCGAATTCACTGCTCGTGGAGTCAAGCTGATCGGTCTGAGCGCCAACGGCACCGAGTCCCACAAGCTCTGGATCAAGGATATCGACGAGGTCACCGGCTCCAAGCTCACCTTCCCCATCGTTGCCGACCCCGAGCGCAAGGTCGCCTATGCCTATGACATGGTTGACTACCAGGACACCACCAACGTTGACTCCAAGGGTACGTGGTAGTTTTCACAACTTGGACGGCACTTCGATTTGCTAAACAAGCATTACAGGTCTCGCTCTGACCATCCGCTCCGTCTTCATCATCGACCCCAACAAGAAGATCCGTCTGATCATGTCCTACCCTGCCTCTACCGGCCGTAACACCGCCGAGGTTCTCCGTGTTGTCGATGCTCTTCAGACCACTGACAGGCACGGTGTTACCACCCCCATCAACTGGCTCCCCGGTGATGATGTTGTCATCCCCCCCCCTGTCTCCACCGAGGATGCTCAGAAGAAGTTTGGTGAAATCCGCCAGGTCAAGCCGTGAGTATTTCCCATCCAACTGAGAGAGAGATTGGTACTAATCTTCTTGACTAGTTACCTGCGTTTCACCAACCTCAACAAGAAGGAGTAAATTATGACGCGGTCTTCCACTCAACCGTTTCCCGCTAGCTGTTCCCAGGAGGAATAATCAGTTCTGACGTGGCTGTGGTTGGGAGCGCTTTCATGAAAAAGAGTATGACAGTCACGGCTTAGCATCTCTAATAATATGATACCTTTTACGATAGCATTTGAATATTTTGCTACGAACCCAGCGTAGAAACTCCCTAAGGAGCAAGTGCGATCGCAGACCATCTGTAAGAGCCTATGGTTTGTGTACCCCTTCCAGGAAGTGTGAGCAGGGTGACCAATGTTCCTGCGTAGGGAACATGGACGCTCCACTGTCCTTACGACAGACATTTTGATCTATAGATAATATGGGTGGTGTTAAGTTTGCGCCCCACGGGGCGAGAAAGAGCGAAGAACCATTCTGCAATCGATGTCATCCTGCATAAGACTGCATGAAGAACCAGTCAATCAAAAGACGAGATAGGACTATACAAAGCGAACCGCTGAGTAAATATAGTAATATTGCCTAGGAACAGTCACACCTGTCTACCTCGAGTAGGTGAGGTAAATGACCACTCGTATATATCCCATCCCTCCATCCCTACTCCTACACACATGCGATACTTTATGATTTCCTTTGCCCGGGCTTAGTGACGTGGCCGTTGATTGGGCGCGTCCAAGTCTTGCGGTAATGTGGACGGCCGACTTCCTCTTCTTTGTTCAACCCCTCTGTCGTTCGCCTTCTGTATGACTGAACGATGAGGTAGAGCGAAGATATTCGTCTGACCACTTGTCAGATCTTAGTTAGTGTGTCTGGTCCGCCAGATATCCTCCGGTCGCCCAGCCGCTTCACGCATATAAGCGACATTGAGAGGAGAAGCAGGAAGACAAAGTGATTCTCACTCTCATAGCATCATCAGTGCGAGAAACGCAGGTCGCATGTGAAGAGACTCCGGTTTCAAATACGCTGTCAACACATACCCCGTGTTGGGTGGGCGAAAAGGAGAAACCAGCATCGAGTTCAAAAGGTCATGTATGGAAATGATAGCTAGTGGGGTCGGGATCCGGCTGGATGAGTGAGTGAGTGAATCTGTGTTGGCACCAAGACATGCCCATATTGTTCCTCCGTCGCTAATTGTTTCCAATTGTTCTTCATGCTTCTAGTGTCGCCTGTCAAAAAGATTGACTTTCAACGTTGGAAGCGATAAATCTAAATCGCCGAGTCAAGCTCCACTTTCGCAGTGTGCCTGGAACCACTTTTCTCTCGGAGACCGCCTTGAAACCCGCACTTTCTCCGTTCACCTGGTCTCTCGTCACTGTTCGGAAACAACCCCTTCTCTGCATACGGCGGATTCACTGGAGGACCCCCCCCCCTACCCCTTGCAGCCAACCCGAAAAGCATCCAGAAGCTGTATCTGTGACCCGGAGGCTTGGTTTTGCTCCTTAACGACGGAGCGTCTGGGTTGGTAGCCGCGGGGAAACGAATCCACCGGTGGTCCCATCACGCCTCCCGCCCGGCCCCTGATCTGAGCAAACCGATCGCGACGATTACGATTTACACCTTCGATCTACCCTTCGCCTGCCTAAGGCCCAGACGATCATTCGAACGACAATTCTTTACTTCCTACTTTGTTTGCGGTTTACGAGTGTTATGATACCCTTATCCGTTCGACACCTCACTCTGTTCTGAAAAGTTCGAATATTGGATGACAAAACATTCTACTTACAACGTCGATTCGACTTTCCGTAGACCGTCAAATCTGAGCGAATCCAGCCTACAGCACGATAGGTATCGGGGTATATCTACTGTACCAGTGCAAATCGACCATTATCACGATGATGTCTCGGAGTCAGTCGAGTCTGGGATACCTGGACTCGAATCGGGAGGATCTTGCAGGATCGGGCGTCTCTCCTGGACAACAACAGCCGTCTTCAGCATCGGGCCCCATAAATTTGTCAGGTCTGGTGTGTAATGTTCGCCGGACAACTGGGAGAGAACCGCATCCGTTGGTAGGTGCGACTACAACTATATTAGGCGATAAGCTTTACGTTTTTGGCGGTCGTGTTCTCTCAAAAAGCCGCCCACAATTGACGTCCGACATATATGAGCTGGACCTGATTCGGCGTCACTGGATAAAGATCGATGCCACCGGTGATATTCCCCGTCCGCGATATTTTCACAGTGTCTGTGCTCTTGGAGACAACAAGCTGGTGTGTTATGGTGGTATGTCACCCAAGGATACCACATCCAATGGCTCTACGGGACAGGAGACGCAGCCAGAGGTGGTGGTAATGTCTGATATACATATATTCGATGTGCCTTCCCGAACATGGACTCGAGTTCCTGCTACCGACACGCCCCAGGGACGATATGCCCATTGTGCGACAATCTTGCCTTCCAGTGCTCACTTTACGTCCGCAACTGCGCCTCTTTCGGCTATCCACCACAACCCCGCATCGTCAAATCCTCACCAGGGCTCGATCGGCGTGGACATCGATGGTTCTGGTGGTGCAGAAATGGTGGTGGTGGGAGGGCAGGACAGCTCCAATCATTATATTGAGCAGATCAGCGTGTTCAACCTTCGCAGTCTGAAGTGGACCAACACAAGCCCCCTAGGAAGAAGTTGCGGCGCTTATCGTAGTGTGGTTGCCCCATTGGCCGGTATAAAGGTCTCGGACATCGGGTCTGCTTCCATCGATAAAGAAGCACATGAGTCCGTGGAGGAGTCGCAAGTAGAGGGATGCCCTATGCTGATCTATTCGAACTACAACTTCCTAGATGTTAAACTAGAGCTTCAGCTGCGCTTACCAGATGGCCGCTTGGTTGAGAAGCCGATGCAGAACCAAGCATCGCCCCCCGGCTTGAGGTTCCCAAGCGGAGGCGTTATCAACGGACACTTTGTGGTCAGTGGCACGTATCTTACCTCCTCCAAGCAGGAATACGCCCTGTGGGCACTTGACCTGAAGACGCTCACCTGGGGCCGTATCGATGCTGGTGGGACAGTGTTCGGTCAGGGAAGCTGGAACCGCGGAGTCCTGTGGGCGAGAAGGAACACTTTCGTGATTCTCGGCCATCGGAAGCGTAGTCTGGTTGAGGATTACAACCACCGACGACTCAATTTCTCGCACGTGTGCATGGTCGAGTTGGAAGCATTCGGACTCTACAATAACCCGTGCAGAACAGCTCCGACATCCGGATACATCTCTCATAGCTCCCCTGCCGTCCCCGCATCTCTTCACCCCAAGTTGGCTAAATTAACATCTGGTGGAAGACCATTCTCATCCGCCTCAGACGAACTGGGGAGACTAGCCCAATCTCTCCCCGAGATGACGGATATGGAGCTTCAAGCGGTGGGAGGCGAGCGCATTCCGGTCAACTCACGAATCCTGACTAGAAGATGGGGACCGTACTTTATCCAACTTCTGCGGGAATCCTCTGACAATGGGGTCTCCGACTCTGCCACACTGCGTCCAGCGCTCCAGATGTATCCAAACCGTAACTCCAGCATCACAATTACCCCGTCAATCGGCCCGAATAGCACCTATTCCAACGCCACTACTCTCGTCAACAATCATTCAAACCCCTCCAAGTCATTGTTAGCGAATCTTGAGATACCCTCTGCCCATAGTTTACCTCCCACATCTAGACCCCGCGTGCTGTACTTGCCTCATACCTACCTCACCCTACAGGTCCTCGTCTACTACTTCTACACGTCTTCCCTCCCACCCGCGGGCTCCTCCCTCTGCACGCCCCAAATTCTCTGCTCCCTTCTCCAGCTTGCGCGACCGTACCAAGTGGACGGTCTCCTGGAAGCCACCGTCGAAAGACTACACCAAGCCCTTGACGGACGCAACGCTGCCGCCGTTTTCAATGCCGCCGCCATGGCCGCAGGTGGCGGCAGAGGCACCGGATTCACCAGCGGACCAGGAGGTACTCTGGAAGCCCTGAACGGCGTCCACGGCAGCACCGACTCCGCCGCCGGCACAGGAACAGACACATCACACAGCCACCTCACGTCGGACTCTTCAGACACGGAACACGGCACATCCGGCATCTCCGTCGCAAGCAGTACCAGTGGCGCCGCCAGCGGCTCCAGAGGCATCCCCCTCCGCATCAATACCAACATCTTCAGCCGTCGCCAGCGCAACACGACCAACCTCGAACGCGAACGCGACGACTCCATCAGCAACGCCAGCACGGCCACCTCCGCTTCCACGAACACCAGCTTCGACCACTCCGACACCGACGACGCTACCCACTCCCACCGTCGTCGCAACACAGATGCCGAGCTCCGCCCCAACCGCGAGATCTGGACCGGCGACCTCAGCAGTGTCATCGGCCTGCAAAAGCGCGGCCTCCGCGGCCTCATGGAGGGTCGTCGACTGCGCGAACGCAGCGCCAAACCGGCGAGCACAAGTGGCCCCGTATCTATTCCTCCAGAAAACCCTCCGTCGGCAGGAGCCGTTTGATAGACACCGATACCAAAACACTTCCTTCTGCGATGATTTTATTCTATCTTGTTCCCCCCTTTTACTTCCTTCCGGTTTCCCTCTACGTCTTGTATCCCCCCCCCCCCTCCCATAGCGATGTTTCGGCTTCTGGCTTCATTTACCCCTTACCTTGCCTGTCATGATCTCGATGAAAATTTAGAGGTTCTTGATTGAAATGTATAGAATTTTCGTTGTTTCCCGTTACAGCACATGAACGCTGGGGTGTGTGATACTGCATCCACAGGGTTTTGTTTATAGTACACCCCCATCCATTAGGATTATTGAATAAGCTCAGTACCAGTTGTTCAGGTTATGGGACAGCGTTTGTCCATCGGTAGCTATACTGCGTGGTGCTTCTATTGGTCTCCAGATCTTCCCATATCTTCAGACTTGTCTAGGACTGCTCCGTGCTTTTTCGAAGTATTGGAAAACGATGCGACGCATACAGAAAAAATCAATCATTACATTTCCAACCTAGCGCCGATCGTAGAGCAGTGCTTATGCTATTGCCGTCGTCGTAACATGTTTCGGGGGCTGGAGAGTACCCACGCCTCCCAGAGCAGCCTCTGCTCGCGTCTCACACTCACTGCATTGTCCCCCAGGTCATCCGCTGTGAGTGCTCTCAGCCGCTCCAGAGTTGTCTCGGAAAATGAACGTCGGGTGCTTCCGCAAGGAGAGAAAGGCGGGCAATCCGCATTGAAACTTGCATGGTAAGGAGGTAGGGCGAGTGTAGGTTCGGGGACGACGGAGAGGACCGCCGTGCTGGAAGTACTGGCATGACCGTTGGTCTCTGGCGAGTCCGAGTCCAAATGGTCTGCGTAATCGATGTCTCGTAGATAAATACGTTCTACTTGATCCATTTCGTCGTGCAGGACGGACAGGATATCCCGCCATCGGCCTCCATTGCGAAGGTAGATATCAGTCAGTGCGATATCGCGTAGTTGTCTCCTGTGTCGGCGGATCAGGGAAATAACCTCTCCCGAATCTAAGCGCCAACCCTGAATGCTGAGAGCCCGGAGCCTTTTCCACTGTAGGCGGTGGAAAATAAGTTCTAGCGAGAGATCGAGAGGTACATTGGCTCGAAAGCCTAGCTTTATTGAAGTCAGGTTCTTTGCGGATACGAAAAGGTCATGGAAGACGCTAGAGACAGATTTGATGCTGCTCGTCATGTCTTTGGAGGAATGAAAGGTGACATCTAAGCTCGTCAATCGAGCGCCTAAGGTGGATAGCGTCAGCGAAGGTGTCTGCACTAACTTCGCTGCGGACTCTGGGCTAATCTGAGGCCCGACGAAACGAATAGCACTGCAGTTTGACTCTAACAAAGAAGTCGCTAGGCTTGTGACAGCCCGCGTGCAAGCTGGTTCCCAGTCCAAATAAACAGTCTCTGCTGAAGATTGCTCACGTATATAATCTCGCAATTGCTCGTCCGCCCCATCCTGTAAACGAAGCAGTTTGATTTGCTGGAGAGACGAGAACGCAGATATAGCGCGGCGGAGGAGTAGCAGATCATGGCCTCCAGTGATGATGTATTCCTGGTCTTCACGCCGGCTCTTATGTACTTGTGAAATTGCGAGGTTTTGCGATTCCACCGCTTTCAAGATAGAGGACCAGTCTAGATACTTGTCAGCTTGACTTCCGTGCAAGTTCAACGAATTAGTAGAGACGGTACCGCTTCCTTGGTAAAAGGGTCGCACCATGTACGTGAAGGATTTGACATGGCAGGCCAGCTGCATGTCCAGAAGGTCCTCTAACCTCCGAAACCCATCTCGCGAAAAGCGAAGGACGAAACGGGGGAATTTCCATGGAGTGGCGATGCGCCTGAACCTTGTACACACCAGTCTGAATCGGTCTAAGTCGGACGTTTCACCATGCGCGCTGATGGAGCTGCCATTGGGCACGTCGGAACCGTGGCTGTTCGTAGGGGAGGTATCGTTCGAGGAAGGCTCTGATCCCAAGATGAATGAGAGGATGTGACTGATCAATTCGTCCGCAAGGTCGTCAATGCGCCGTGGTCTGTCCATGGCTTTTTCTCAGCAGGGCAGCCGCGTCTCCGGCTGCTTTGGCTACCCGCAACAACATGGAAGCCCGGCCTGGTCAAAGGGAATCGAGGAGGAAGGCGCACCTCATGGAAGGGTGCATGAACGAAAGTCGATTGATGGCGAACACTCTACGTAAGAAGAGAAGGAGCGGGAAGTAGATCAAGCAAAAAAAGGAGTGAAAGGTAGCAAGGGCCTTAAAAGGGTAAAAATAAAAACCTACGTAGAGAGAGAAGGAAGGGGAAAAAGAAAAAGAAAGGAAAGGAAAAGAAAAAGGAAGACAAGAGTAAAATGATACATCCCCTCTCCAATCCTTAGAGAGACACTCTCTATCAACTGCAGAGTAGGCGGGCCACCGAGACCGCGCTTGGAGCACGGAGGCATGTCTGACAAGATTTAGAGCGTCCCACATGGACCATACCTAACCCGGCGGACTGGGATCATCGTCAATATCGAACCCAGGGCATTTCCCCCGGGCCAACACCGATGCGATATTGGACAAGAACTGACACACACCAGGGTCACATGATCGAAAGGGCATGCGGTTACCCAGCGTGAACCTGCAGGAAAGGTTACAAAGGAAGAGAAGGATTGGTGAATAGAGTGATCGTGGGCTAGGCCTAGGATGATGGAGGGGGGGGGAAGATGATGCGACAGGAGAGTCAGATACCTGCAGACGAACCCCGCCTGGGAAGCGAATCGTGGCGCGGTGTAGCTGCAAGCCTAGATGACTGGCGCGAAGACCATGGCCACACTACCAACGGAGCATGCAGCACAACTCGAACGTCATGGAGCAAGTTGGCAGCCAACATGCAGAAAATCGACCGAAGTCACAACGATGGACTGCATGGCATGGCCTCACAGGCCACAATTACCGCGTGGGTGGGCGAATCTGCTGTGAGAGGGAAAGGATCAACATGCACTTAACATGCATCGTCGTCCAGTAGTCGCCGGCCCGCCTGCGCAACCCCAAACATTGGGGGAAGATAAGATCTCCTGGGGAGCCTTTCTTTTCCAATGGCTTCGGAAACGACCAGCAGAACAACTCATCATCATCATCATCATATAAAACAAATAATAATAATTAAACAAGAAATTCAAGACAAGGGGGGAAACAGGGTGGGGAAAGTAAGGCATCCGAACAAACCCTCCTCGGAGTTATTAGCACCACACACCCACCCTATACATAACATGGATGGTTTTAAAAAAGGCGCTGGAAATGGTTTTACAGGAATCCGGATAGCCTCATTGGCGCCCTCGTCATTTGTCCGTCCCACGGGAAATGCGACAAGAGAATCAATCACCCCCAGGCAAGCGCAATTCGTTGGTTGACGTGGACTGGGGAACTCATGAAGTATGTATGTATGTATGTACAAATAATGTTGATGGGACCCAATCCGCAAGTGTGCCTGCTTAGCAAGTGTGACCATGAAAAATGTCCGTGACGAATAACTGATGGCTGCATAGGTCGAGCGATGAAAAAGCAATTTCCCGTCTCCAGCCAATCGTTTAACTTGATTCACTCTTGGCTTGTTCCATCCGCTGCCGTCTGATATCCGTGCTGCTGATTTTGGACGCAAAATCTTCGAAATCACTCGACGGCACGTCTTTGGAATGAAGCACGTCAATCTCAAACACATCGAGCCTCTTCCAACCCTTCTCTGCACGTTTTTCGTTGACCGCGGCACCTCCCGAGCGAGTCTCTTGGGAGACCACGATAGCGCTAATGTCCTCCTCCGTGATGGTAGGCCCAAAAGGATCGGAAATCTGCACAAGTTTCAGTGTCAATCCGGACCGTAGCTTCATCAGATTATATTTTCCATTGGGTCCTGGCTGCGTGACCCGCTCGGTACGTGTGACGCTTTCGTCGGGAGGGTAAAAGTCCATGATGGCCGTCAGAAAGGATGCAGCACCTTCACACCGCTCCTCCCAGCTTTCCAGGCAGTCGGCATACTTCTTGTTCACTAGTAGCTCATCGCCAGTCACGCCGATTGTCAGAAGCGCCTCTTTCCCCGGGTTGGCGTCCCAAACGGGATCCAAGACCAACGCTAGGGCAGTGAGCAGTAGCTTGTGTCCAATATGAAAGTGATCGAAGGTGCCGCCTACAATAACCGAATGATGTGTCTTGCTTCCTTGTGAGTCGTCCGGCACCACAATCGATTCCGAAGATGTCCAGTTGGAGGCGCCGGAAATGGAATGCAGAGTCCCGGCATTGGGGTCCTTAAACTGGGAATAGATACTACTGAAGGCCGTTGCTAGATTCTGACCTATTTGATTATCCGGGTAATAGATTCGGCCCCATGGACGAGCTGATGTCGCAAGGGTTTGCAAGTCTAGGATGGGTCCCATCTGTGAAGCCTGGGAGGAGTCCTTCCAGGAAGGATGTACAGTATCCAAATCAAGCAGAATGACTCGCACGTTGATACCACCGGGGGCATCCAGCTCAATACTGTTCTCAACGGAGACTATTCCAATGAGCCTATAGAGATTTGCTAACAAGCATTGGAGACTTTTGAACAACTTAGCCCGAGGCTGACGGGTATGTGATTGGAGTCCCGGAAGAAAGAGAGCAATATCCAAGATGGCAGCGTGGTTGGTGCCATTGAGTTCAGCAAGCTTGGTGAAGACTGTAGATAGGAGCGACTCATACACATTTCTGCACTGCTCGAACGACGCCGCTGGTGGGGGTGGAAGCAGAAGCAATGCCGAGGCCGAGCTGATGCGATCTAGAGCCATACTGAATGCGGGGAGCTGTATTGTATGGCGAAGAAACACTGGGACGGGACAAGGAGGGCGACGTGGAAAATCAAAAAGTAGCAGTGTGAAGATCGAAATAGGGTATCGGGATTGCGAATCTCCTGTTCCAGACGACCTGGAGTGTAAGTAGTTGTTTTCTCTTCCTCAAGAGTCTGGGGAAGACGGAAATAACTAGTAGTAGTCGGATCGATTGGCACTAAAGATAAAATCAATGGATGTAAGAAACTAAATGTATTGGGAAATTCCACCCCCGCGGCCGGCTGACTCAGCGGTCCTGAGACATTCCAAGTCAATCAATCAATCGACTTGACCTGGATGAACGTTATCCCTTCTTATGCCCGTCGCCCGCTTCTTCTTTGCCTTTTACCCTCTTCCAAAGCTCTAGGATGTTCTGCTGAGCTACTTCCAAGGCCATTTGTACCGAGTGATTCAGACAAGACCACGCATGCCCTTGGTGTAGCCAGAGCTCCGAGCTTACGCATCCCTCTCTCCCCGCCTCCAGGTCCAGTCGGAGAACAACTGAAACACCGTCAACTGCAACCCCGGGCGGTGGCAAACGATCGGAGGAATTGTGTTCGCAATTCCACTGTCAGGGCCTGGTAACCTATCGCTAGAAGGAGAAAATCCATTGCTGTTCCACATCGTGGCCTCGGTACCATGTCGAACCCATCGCAACCCTTCGAGCCCAATCGACGAGCGACAACTTATGGCCGGCCAGAGGAGCTACACATTCCGTCTGGGGGTATGGGAGCCGCAAGCTTACAGCGACAGTCTATGTCCCATGAATTCCCTACAGCCGCCGATAACCACGTTCCGTCCATCAATGTCCACCCCACGAGCTCCCAGCCCAACCAATATGGGGCCGGCGGCAATAACATGGCTCTCCCAGGCGCGCTTCAGCCAGGAAACGCCAACCGCCCCCCAGCAGTGTCCATAAATACCGCCCCATCTGGCATCCCTACCCTTTCCCAGATGTCTACGCAGTTGCAGCAACAGCCGCAGCCGCAGCCCCAACACCAGCAACCACCACAGCAGCCGCAGCAGCCGCCGCCGCCGCAGCAGCCTCCGACAACGCCCCGCTCCAACATGAGCAACGCTCATGGACACTCGAGATCCAGCCCGGCAAATGCTAGATACGGGTCATCGCCGGGTGCTGGATTCCCGCCTCATACTCCACAAGGCGCGAAATACTCTCCTTTGGGCTTGGCCGATATCCGGCCGACAGGCGATCTTCTTGGTGATCCTATCACCAGCCCCGGGTCACTGCCCTTCAATGGAGATAATCAAGTGCCGTCGAATAGCAACTATATTGCACCCTGGCCGATATATGCGGTGGATTGGTGTAAATGGCCCATTCCTGGAAACTCGGGCTCCTTTGGAGGCAAGATTGCGCTTGGAAGTTATTTAGAAGATAACCACAATTATGTGTGCCTCTCTTTTCCTCACTTGCTCCTACAGATGAAATTAACTTAGTCCAGATACAAATTATTGATACCCACTGGACTAAACCAGACCCAGATACACCGGATGCAGCAGCTGGCGAGATTAAGCTGGAATATGTCAAAACGGCAGAGGCCACACATTCGTACCCTGTCACGCGGATACTCTGGGAACCGCCATCATCTCAAAAGCAGTCTACCGACCTCCTGGCGACCTCGGGCGACCATCTGCGGTTATGGTCTCTGCCTGCGAACCAGCCGGCGCAGACGTCCAATTCGATTACACGATCGGCGACCCAAAGGGATACGCCTTCCGCTAAACTTTCTCCGTTGGCGTTACTCTCGAACTCAAAGTCTCCCGAGCATACTGCCCCCATCACCTCGCTCGACTGGAACACGATATCTCCAAGCTTGATTATCACGTCCAGCATCGACACGACTTGCACCATCTGGGATATCCCTACACTCACTGCCAAGACGCAACTGATTGCACACGATAAAGAAGTGTACGACGTCCGGTTCTGTGCAAATAGTGTCGATGTTTTTGTCAGTTGCGGTGCCGACGGTAGTGTGCGCATGTTTGATCTCCGCAGTCTAGAGCACAGCACTATCATCTACGAGCCGACAGAAAAGAGTGATAAGTGTAGGTTTTATTGACTGCACCCCATCCCTTTCCCAAAACTAACAGGGATTTTGTCCACAGTAGTCAGTCCCGGAAATGGCAGCCCCTCGGCCCCTGCGTCCATCTGGCCTCCACCACTTCTCCGAATCGCAGGTACGTGAGAGACA